GTTGGTAAGAGTCGTGATGGAAGGTAAGCTCTATTCATCCTAGCTTCCACCTCCATAACCATTTCCGGATTTATAACTACATGCATATTACCAACCAACGAGGCATGGCAGTGCAGTGGACACAAAAAAACCATGCAAAATTAAAAATAAAATCAAATGAAACATTATATAAATACTAAAGTAAAAAAATTTTAAAAGAACGTGGTAAATAAAATGCACGTATGTGTTGTATTTAGAAAATAAAATGATATATAACGTGAAAGATCTATTTACATATAGTATACAATAAATCAAGATAATACAATAATTATAGTGCTCAATAAAGATGTGTAAATATGTGATACACATGTAAATAAGTAAATATAGTTTGTAGTCTTACTTTGTCAAGTAACTTTTACTGGTAGCAAAGACCGATTTATTGTAAAACTTATAAGTAAACATTTTCCATGCAATATAGTACTATAAAGGAGGAAAAAAACATACCAATGTACAAATACTGCAAGAGCAACGAGGTACGAACAAGGCATAATGATCATACTTACAGCTTTAAAAACGAAGTAATATAGCAAGCTTTTAAACTAACTGATATAGCAAATCATAATAATCAAATCTCACTGAGATGGTATGAAATATGATGTAATAAAGTGCACCGATAATGTGCACACGAATACCTGAAAGATATAATAGTACCTGGTCTTTGCATGACGGCAGTAAGACCACTTCGTCTTCTTCTATCACTGCCTCCACTTCCGCTTCCACTATTATTGCCATTCGTATCTCCACTTCCACTACTGACTCCTACGTTTAATGACTGAGTACATGGTACAAGTGTTGGACTTCCACTTGGAATCTGTTAATGGTACAAAGTTTAGATATGAACTTTAAGTAATTTTTAATATTTTTTACTATTTCTCTTACAGGTTGCAAATGTTCTCTACTGCCCGGTTGACTCCAATTTCCGTCGTCTCCGCTACCAGAACCACTACCATGTTGTTGATAAAAGACATGAAGATTAGCTCCACCATCTGAAGCTCTTCTTCCAAAACTTCCCGCTACGTTCAAACAAATATTTATTAAAGAGTAACAGAATTAATCGTCGGATATCGTAGAAATAATTTATGTTACTCACTTGCTCCCATAACGGGAGGTGGTTTCAATAAATGCTGATCCTTGATTTGAAAGTTTTGTGGTGGTTGATGTTGAACTAAAGGAAGGTTTAATGGCAGATTTGTATGAGGTAACACCTGAGGATCAGTGTTATTACACTGTAGTATAGGAAGGAGTCGTAGTGCCGGATCGCCCGATGTATGATTATAATTATATGGATATTGTGTAGGTGGTTGATGTGCTGTATCTCCAGGTCCTACTGTATGTCTTCTTGTTGTGTGATAAGGTGTACCAGGTGTTAATTGCATTCCACTCCTTTCTTCAGTTTCTGCTTCGGCATCACCATACTTAAAAAGAAAGGATTATAAAATAACGTTAATATTTACACAATTAAAATAAAACTATTTATAAATGTTACCTTTTCTAATTGATGCGCTCCATCAGGAGCATAATCTCCTGGTATAGTTTGAATACTGGGTAAACTAGGCATTGTTGGTTCTAATTGATCAACAAGAAGATTATATATTGCTGATACATGATCGAAAGCATTCCCTTGAACTGCTTTTAATAATGTGTCTGCACTGAGTCCTGGTAATCTTAACATATTTTCTATTACTAACTGATTTAGCTGTAGTGGCACATTTTCAGAATTACACCTACAAATACATGATTAAACAATCTCACAATATGACATTTTTAATTTGTTCCTCATAAGTGTAATGTATTATCATTAACATTTCTATGTACCCTCCTGGTTCAGGTTCTGTTACACCATCTCCGCCCATCCAGGAGTGTGCTAAAATCTGTGAGATACTTAAACGTCGTTCTGGTTCTACTACCAACATATGTCTAATCAGTTTCTCGCATTCTACAAAAACAAGTAAATTGCAGAATAAATCAGAATTATAGAAAACAATTGTCTGTAGGACAACATTTTATACCTGCAGACATAAAAAATGGTATTCTAAATTTTCCTGAGATTACTACGGAACGTAACAGTTGCATTGTAGGTCCATCAAATGGCAATGCACCACAAACCAATATATACAAAACAACACCAAGGCTCTGAAATCAATTACTTATATCAAATAATTGATACTGATTACTTAGGGTATTTTACATGTACTAAAACTGTAATAAAAAAATACTACCGAAATTAGAACTTCAACAATTTGTAACATACCCATACATCAGCCCTTGGGCCATCATACTGTTTTCCTTCAAAAATTTCAGGAGCAGCATATGGTGGTGATCCACACCAAGTGCTAAGCGGAACACCTGGAGTATATTCATTACTAAATCCAAAGTCTGCAAGTTTTATATTATTGTCTGCATCAAGTAGTAAATTCTCAGCCTAAAATAATAAAATATACACATGCATATAATTACGTGAAATTAATTTTATTTTTCCAAATTTCTAATACTTTAATAATTAAGAAACAGATATGCATTTAGACCTTAAGATCTCGATGAACGACTCTTTGTTGATGGAGATAACGAACGGCAAGAACAATTTGACGAAAAATTCTTCTTGCTTCTGGTTCCGGCATTCTTCCATTCCGTACAAGATGATCAAATATCTCTCCTCCAGGAGCATATTCAGTGACTAAATATATCATCTTGTCTGTTTCCATTACTTGATATAACCTTATGATATGTGGATGCCTTAATCGTTTCATTATGTGTACTTCGCGAAAAATTTTAGCCAAATTTTCTTCATTCAACTTTGTTTTATCTATTATTTTAATAGCCACCTATAATAGAAATATGATTACATATGTAATGATTACTTTAATAATTAATAAACGAAAGTCTCGATGATATTAATAATTTGTTATATATGATACATATTTATAAATCATAAAAAATTAATATTGATTTTATATATGAATTTAACTAAATACTTTCATAAATATACTAATTTAACATTATCAAATTAAATAAATATATGTATTGATATACATAATAAACCATATGCACCAACAAAAATTCTTTAAAACATTGAATCATTATATTCTAAATATATTTAACACATCAAGAAAAGAGTCATAAAGTTATCAGTAGTATACTCATTACTTATTACGTGAGCTTTGCACACTATTCAAAATATATAAGGAAATTATTAAATAAATAAATTCTATATCTTTTCGTGTACTTATTGCACGGTTCTACAAATTAATTGAATTGTATTATCAAGAAACTATTCAATTATAGTACTATAACATTTGAATTGATTCTTGCATAAATAGAAAAAAATATACAAAGAGAAAAAAGCGACACAAACGGAATGTAAGTTGAAACAGAATATTGAATATACAAGTATATATCTATATAAATTTTCGTACAAACTAACACGCGATACTTTCATTTTCATTCTCAATACGATATTTGACATGTAATAGCTGATAATAATTTGAAAAACATCGAAGAAACATATTTCAATCGATGTAGCAGTGTCTGTTGGTAATAGCAGTTTGCAAAACATTTTTTAAGCTTGTTAAGTCCCTTTATCCCATGACACCCTGTTATTAGATAGAAAGTCATTGAAAACAATAAAATAAGACGAAATTTACGCATTCACACTGTTATCCAAAGATATAACGACAAAATGACGGATTCTGTGTTTGTAAGAAAAATGTCTTAACAGCGGTCTTACCTTAGATTTTGTCACGACGTGGGTAGCCATTTTAACAACGGCAAAATTTCCCTTGCCAATAGTTTTCTCCAATTCATAATAACCAACACGGATAAGTTTGTTGACAGAAAATTCCTGCGAAACCTCATTGTGCGACGTCGTCGCGGATGCCATTTTTTAATTACTTGTCTCGCTCAACTCGTTACCAATCACTTACTGCTTAGTACATTAATATTTCCGATAGGGACGCCACCAGTCATCCGATGCCTCTGCCATCTAACGAAATAGTTAAAATTAAAAAAATGTTTGCTATACACGGAAAATCGAGCGGTATCATCACTTATAACAAACATATTACAATGATGACTTATGTGAAATGTTTTATAACTATAGAATATATAAGATTTGTTAATTACCTTTATTTCTTAATTAATTAGTGTTTGTCTATTTTTTATGCGGTCAGGAGTAATTGTTGCATTTTCTCTCAAACTCATCACTAGAGGGCTGTTAATTCTCGCAAGTTTTCATTTAAAACTTAATACTTTTAAATAGATAATCATTTCAATCATAAACATCTTCGTAATTAAGACAATATTTGCAAAATAGGCATCACTGATGGTTTAATGAAATTAAACTGGTTTTTTGTTTACAACTTTGTAAATAAAAGTAAAAAATTGTTCATTTCTTCCCTCCCTGTTCCTGTTCTAGACATTAATTTTTCTGTAGCCGCCTGTTACAGGCAACCGTATTTATACAACACATTAACATAAGTATATTTTACAAACAATACAATTCATATAAATTTAGATTTACTGACTTCTTGTTAAATTTACGAACAAAAGGTTGATGCTCCACTCATATTTAGTTTATGGCGGTGCATGAATATATTTAAATGGATAGAAAAATAATTATTCCTTTTTAAATAGATCATCGGTTTTCTGATGAGAAAGAATTTATTTTCGATGAATTGTTCAGATATACCATTGAAACACGTTAAATGTTGACCATATATGTGATCGAGGAAAATGAAAATTTTTTATTAAATTATATTTTGTTACATCTAATATTGTGTCTTCTATGGTTGAAAAGTGGGTTGCTTTCGTATCATTGTTATACTCATAGTATTCACCGCGAAAATTGCTACGTAGACGAAAACAGATTGATGAGGATTGTCAAGAATTCATTTTTTAAGCAGAATGCAATAGTTAAAAATTAAATTCTTTTAACAGATGTAACATAATTGATCGTTTGATTAAAATCGGAAATGTAAAAGTACTAGTTAGATGAAACAAACACTACTCATTTATTAAAAAAAATTATAAATCTTAAAAAAATGGAAGAAAGTTCGGTTTTATGGATGCTTTCCTTCGTAATGCTTATTGGTTCCTGTATAGCTGGGTCATTGCCTTTAGTTATGAATTTGTCTGAGGTAATTTGTGTTTTGTTGCATGATAGATGAAAGGATAAAAGTTAATTTTTATCTATCATTTTCTGTAATTGTCATGCGCTTGAACTACTGGTTACAGATCCTACAAAGAACTCCATGATCATGAACATCATGAACCTTTAATCTTTCTAGGACAAATTACAACTGGTTTCGATACTTGGTGCCGGACTTCTTGTAGGCACTGCACTAGCTGTAATTATACCCGAAGGTATAAGAGTATTGTTTACTGGTGGAAACAACAATGATCAAGGGTTTTACAGTTAGTATCTTATAGTAATTAAATTAAATTATAATAGTATTATTAATAAGTTAGTTTATTTTATCTAATAGAAACAAAATGTTGTGTTTCTGTTATATAAAATGGAATTAAATATCGCATTTAAATCTTAATCCAATTCAATTTATCGCAAACGTTTTTGATGTATTAGTTTCTTAAAAAAAATTATTTAATTTTTGCAGCTAATTAAAATATTTGAGAGTTAATTTTCATGTTTAATCGAAATGTAATTTATTGTTCTTGATCTTTATCTTTTTAGATGCACCTCACTCCTTAATAGGTATTAGTTTAATACTTGGTTTTGTATTTATGCTTCTGGTTGATCAGTGCTCAGCTAGAAGAAACGGAGGAAGAGAAAGGAGCGTTACTGCTACTTTGGGCCTTGTAGTTCATGCAGCAGCTGATGGAATAGCATTAGGAGCTGCTGCAACTACATCACAAGCTGATGTAGAGTTAATCGTATTTTTAGCAATAATGCTACATAAGGTACAAACAACAAAGTTATATAATATCCCTTATTTATAATATATAGAGAATCGTACAAATTTATAGTTTATATTAAACAAATAAGTCAAAAATATTTATAGGCACCTGCTGCATTTGGTCTTGTGTCATTTTTACTTCACGAAGGAGTAGATAGGAAAAGAATAGGTAGAAATCTTTTAATATTTTCTTTTGCCGCTCCTTGCCTTGCTCTTGTAACGTATTTTGGTATTGGAAAGGTAAATTATTATAAACCTATAAAATTTAGTTAATATTATTTGTATATTTGTAACGATTTAAAATTGTTATAATTTTTTTTTTAGGAAGGAAAAGAAACGCTTAGTAATGTCAATGCAACTGGCTTGGCAATGTTGTTTAGTGCAGGTACATTCCTGTACGTTGCAACTGTGCATGTGTTGCCAGAATTAATGACGAGAAATAGCAAATACACGCATCTACCGACTACCGAAAATGCGACAGTGTCTTCTGGACTTAAAGTTAAAGAAATATTAGTTTTAGTGATTGGTTCATTTTTACCTGCATTAATTACAACTGGTCACCATCATTGACGAAGTATCATACAAAACATTGCATCTGTGTTTTCACTATGTACAATATAAAATGTCCCCCTCATTAAAGGGTATAATTTTTTTACAAACTCCATGATTTTGGTCTAAAATCGTGAAACGATGTCTAAAAAATTTGTCAATTTAGACATTTTTTAAAATAATAATCAAGTGATATACTTTTATGTATTGTATATAACTGTAGAAATGGCATATCGTAATTATTATAAATTTGTAAAAATTTAAAGGTAGAAGTATAAGATACAAAACTATGTACAATAACTATAACATTTCAAATAAGTTTTCATTTTCCAATGATACTTCATAAACATTATTTATTGGTAAATGTAATTTTTGATACAAAAAATAATTTAAACTTTTTTCTTTTCAATGTTGCTCTATGATGTTATTGTTACAGTATATTTTCTAAAATATATATAAAATATATACCTTAATAACTACGATTCATATAATTATTTAGAATTACTTGAACAATACTATATGTTCACATTCAAACATTAAAATTAATCGATTTATTTATAGTATTCTATTTCATGTTTCTACTTTTTATGTAAAATATAAAAGAACCAAATTTTTTTAATTCTAAAATTTGTCTTCTGATTATGACATACAACATTGCATGATCATGAAACTGAATTTCATAAAAAAAAAAAACAAAGATAGTTTACATGTTCTACATTATTGTTAGTATGCTGTTATAATAATATGACTAGGAAAACAACTTTTATACGCATAAAGTATAATCATTTATTTACAAATATACAATAATAATTTCAATAAAAATGACATTTGACGTATACATTGTTTTTTGTACACATACTTCCTGTTCTAATTAAAATAGTTTGTATTAAATTTCGTTCAATAATTTTCAATATATATCCTTACTAAAAGGAAGAGCAAAGTAAACAGTAAAATATTAAAGAATTTGGGAAAAAAGAAATAAAAATCGAAGTATTTATTGAAAATCGTAATATAATCCGATAAGTGCACAATTGTTTTCAGGTATCGTGACTGGAACACTTTCAAATTCGAGCGCTAGTATAGCCAATGCATGTGTTCCGGAACTTGGGTGATGATGGTATCCTTTGTTATCACAAACCGTGGTGGCATACAGCTGTAATTCACAACAATGGTGGTGCCGGTTGTGTTTTAGGTTAAAGTTGCGTGGCTTCGAGTAACTTTAGTCCAATTAGCATTGTGAAAAATGGACAATAGGATCACAATATGTGACCCGGACGAAGAAGAAATCAACAATGAAATATTCCAGGATATCGAGCCAGTCACGTGGATCAATGACGATCCGAACTATGATTTGGATGAAATCAACATGTTCTTCCATAGGGTGGATTCTGATCAGATTATATACGAGGAAAAAAAGAAAAAATGTAAATTTATCGGTAAATATGTTATGGGTGATGTTCTTGGTGAAGGTAGTTACGGAAAGGTGAAAGAAGTGCTGGACTCAGAGACACTTTGTCGTAGAGCAGTGAAAATTTTAAAAAAGAAGAAACTTCGTAGAATCCCGAACGGAGAACTTAACGTTCAACGGTATGATAAATAAATTTTTCTATTCTTTTACGATTTTTTTTTTATTTTCATAAGAAGACACATTATGAAATATTTTTAATTATTAGTAATATGTATTAGGTTGGTGCATGTAAAATGTTTAGGTCGATGTAAGTCAATTTGAACAATGTCTTTTAGAATTTCAAACATTCCTTAGATTTTTACCTTAGTTGAGTTTCCAATGACATTGTCAACTTTTAATTTTTAAGGCTAACGTTGTAACAAACTTCTTATATTAGCATAATCTTTTTGTATTGTTGAATGTATTTGTTCAATATCTATTGAATAGATTTTGCATGGAACTCTTTTTTTCTATCCTATAGCATATTAAGATTTATTGTTAAATATTATTTCATTTACTTATTGCAAAACTTTACATTTTTAAGAAAACAACATTTCATGTGCATCAACCCAATATACAGATTATTAATTCTTTGCGGACTGGTGTCACTAAATAGATACAAGAGACTTCCATGATATCATTATAAATGTTTACAATATGTCTATGATATCTTTTTCAAATAAATTAAGATGTTTTTGGTGTGCGACTAATACTTACTGATAGGATTACATTTCTTAAATAACAGATAATGGTCCTTTCTATATATATTTCTAATTGATCGTATTAGTCTTGTTCCAAATATATAAAACAAAACAGTAATGCAGTGGGCAAGAGTAAAGTATATTATTGTTGCAATATATGTTTGTATAAATCAGGCTTGCAGATAAGAATTTGTTTCACAAAATATTGTATAATGAAGGTATACAAATTTTCAACTTCAGCATGATATTGTAAGAAACATTTGTTTTTGTAATGTGCCAAAGGTTGTTTGTGTTAATTGAAATTTATTACTTTTATAATGTAATCTTTAAGTAAATCATTTTTTTTGCAGCATGCTCCTAAAATTTCTTAACTAGGTTAATGCTTGCATGCTAGGTGGTCCAGTCCACAAAGGATTAAGATAGACACAGTACCAAATGAATTGTGTGTTCTGCATTAAGTTGTATAATTTCTCATTAACTTAAAAAAAAGACAAAAATAAGGGAATTTACTTTCATAAGCTTTATATAAGTATAATGAGATTATAAAAGAAATTGATACATTACATGCAATGTAAATATTTTTGGAATTGTATTTTATAAATTCTATAGTATCAATAAACATATGACGGTACCATAGTCAGTTTAAATTTACGACAAGAAATATAAATATTTAATATTACAAACTTTAAAATGCATTCAGTATGATTCATTATGTATTCTTTCAATTTGCATAACATTTTCTTCTAAAAAGATTAGATTGGTATGCAAAGTTAACACATTTTTTTAAGTCATATATGTAATTACTTTCTATAATTCTAAATACTGTTTGTTCACGTTCATTAACAGGGAGATAAAACTATTAAGGATATTAAAACATAAGAATGTAATTAACCTTGTAGATGTTTTGTATAATGATGAAAAGGAGAAGATGTACCTAGTTATGGAATTTTGTGTATGTGGATTACAGGTAAAGTTTAAAATCCTTATACAGTTTATTTTAGAATGCATTGCACATATACATCTGCACAAATTGATACTCGATTATATTTATAGTTTCAGACACAATCCTTGTGAAAACTATCTCGACATTTATAAATGTTACACTTTTACAAAGATTTTGAAGCATTCTATTATATATATTGTAATAACTGTTAAAGTTCATTTGTGTCATTGTATGTCCAATGAGAATATAGAAAGAACAATTTTTGAAGTTGTTGATTTTAAAATGAGTATATTTGAAAGATATGAAACAACAAATACTTTTTCATACCATTAATTCAAGTATATTCCTTATGATATCTGGAAAGAATATTATTTTCTGCAATTGTTACATAGAATAAAGGACTGCATGGGATTAACAACAACTAGATTTCTATTTATTAGATCTTTTACAGGATATGTTGGGAAGCACACCACTCAAGAAGCTCCCAATTTGGCAAGCACATGATTATTTTTGTCAGTTGCTGGATGGTTTAGAATATCTCTACAGCAAAGGAATAGTACACAAAGATATAAAACCAGGAAATTTGTTGCTAGCTTTAGATGGTACCTTAAAGATCAGTGATTTTGGAGTTGCAGAGGTACGTATTCGGTTTACTCTATTTTCGAAGTTTAGAGTAATCTTTCAAATTTATGTATTGAAATTTTAAAAAGCAGTACTATTATTATAATTTTACAATTTTGTAATCTTTCTATTAGGCATTAGATATGTTTTCTGAAGATGACACATGTAAGATGGGACAAGGTTCACCAGCATTTCAGCCTCCTGAAATTGCAAATGGCTGTGAAACATTTTCTGGTTTTAAAGTAGATATATGGAGCAGTGGAGTTACATTGTAAGTGAATTTTTATGTAGATTTATACTCACAAACTTTAACACATACAGATTTGTATGATAAAATTATAAGTATGTATAATTATTCTATTAATAAAGACGTGAATGTTTTGCAGGTATAATATTACAACAGGTCAATATCCTTTCCAAGGCGACAATATTTATAAATTATATGAAAATATAGGGAAAGGTGAATACACAATACCTGAAGAAGTTGAAGAGCCTTTAAAATCTCTTATACAAGGAATGTTACAAAAAGATTCAGATAAAAGATTTACTTTACAAGAAGTTAGAAAGCATCCATGGACTATATGCAGGCATCCTAAAACACAGGAAGAAGTGCCTATACCCCCTCTTAAGGGGCACAAGTGGCACAGTATGACTGTACTACCGTACCTGATGGAATATCATTACGGAGGTGACGACAATCCTACATATTACACTGAACATCAGTTAAATGGTATGTACTTCCTATATTTTCATTTTGCATCAGGCATTATGCATTATGGTATTCCAATTTTGTATTAAAGCTTAAACTTTTATATTATAGTATTTAATATTTTATTATTTGTTTGTTTGTTTGCGTGCGTGCGTGTGCGCTTGTAACTAATACAAAGGTAAGATAAGTGCATTGAGACTTGCATGTGTGGAACTATTTAAAAAAAGTATAAAAACCATTGATATTGATACATTTGATGCTTAATACATTATAATTAAAAGACTGCATTGTTGAATAGATGTCATTTAAATGTTATTATAGTTATAATAATAATATTGTTTAGTGGATATGTGTGATTTGTTTAATTTGTATCAGTAAACTGTGTTTTAACAAAACGAGCACATCATTTGCATGCATTTGTTTTCAAACTAAGATCTGTATGGTATACTTTTATTGTTTTGTCGTAATAAATAAATATTGAAATAAATAAAACGTAAATTTTTCTTACAAATATGTTAAATCATACCAATTGTCTTATTACAAATAATTCCTTATGACACATCACAAAGGTGAAATATAACTGGAAAAAATAATTCACCTATACAAATTATAGTCATAATAAAATAAAATACATAGGCAATTCAATAAAATACAGCTTTTGCTTTTCAGATTTTAAACGGAATACTGAACAATCTTTTTCAAATCGACTACTAGTATTCTTATCAAAGACATGCACCATTCTGTAACAATGACATACTTATACCTACCTATGATGTTGCGAGCTGATAAAAACGGGTACTCTCTATATAGTGTATACCCTGTTTTGCCCCTACGTATTTTATAACGTTAAAAGTTTTCTATAGAGCAAATATTGAATTAATGTCTTTAATTCAATAGTGTTTGTTTTGAATAGTCATATGCATTAGCTTTTGTAATGTGCCGTGCATGTATTAAAGTAATAGCAATAACATTACAATTATAGCGAAAAGAAAATTTGTATTTTATACACTGCACGATTAAGCATAGTTATTAGTTTGACTTGTGTATTTAAAAGTGCATATTAAAAAATTTTTAAAGGTATTAACCCTCATAATAAATATACGTAACAATCATTAATAAAATTTTCCTCTTTATCTAGAAGAAAAAAGACTTCAAGAAATGGATAGAATCAGTGAAGACCAAAAAACTACATGGAATAGTCACAACAGTAAACCAAATTCACATCAAAGTAAACGAAGATGGCGTAAACCAATCTCATGCATTAGTGTTAAGAAATTTCCGTCTTGCAAGCCATCGTGATTTGTCTTATTGTCATGCTTATCTTTTATTATATATTTTTCTGACTATGTCAGGTACAAAGTTTCTCTGAAGTGGAGATGACTGAGAATTTAATAAGTGCTGAAGTGCTAGGACAGTTACCTAGCTGCAGCTCGAATTGAGTATAAAATTTGAACTAATTCAAAAGCATTAAATGTAAACATTTGTGATATTAATATTAAATAGTCATAGTAGATAATTCATCATGCTCTATTAATGAGGTTAATGACTGGACGCCCAAATAAAGTGATTTTCTTTCGTGTGCCATAATGAAGTTACAATTATTAATGGTATCTATGGTTACGAAATTTTTTGTACAACTTTTTCCTCTTTCATTTCTTATTAATTTAGATGGTAAAGAGACATCAATTAAGAAAAACACCATAAAGATTTATACAAAAATTTAATAATAGTTATTATTGTCTTCATTTATCATTTAAATTACATTCGTATTATTGGCAAATTGAAGATGTATCACTCTAAATCTAATGTTGATAGCATTTTTTCTTAATATCATCATTATAAAACAAAAATGTTCTCTTTAATGATTAAACAAAAGTAAAAAGTTTTGTTTGTCAAAGAAAAATTTTTACATTTCTCAAAGTTTCTATTTCAGGCTCCTTTATATATTATATTAACAAAGTATTTGCAACATAAGATCTCTGTAGTCTATATTGTCAAAGAGGGCAAGACACAGATTTTTCGAGCATATAATTTGCTTGGTGCTGGTTGATATCAAACGTATGTCACAAACATCGTTTTCAATCGATATTGAGAAATTCTCTCCAACATGTGTACATGTTAAGAATATTTTATATATAATTGTTATTTAGAAAACATGATCTGTGTTTTTAGGCTCTGCATATATTATAGTATTACCATTGTGAGATAACTTGCAGACACTTAACGCAATGCTTGTAACATGACTTAACACATAACAGATATCGATTTACCTACGATGCAAGAATGTAAGGATTGTTTCACATGTATACTTACAATAGATATTAATGAGGCGTACTTGAGTATTATTAAGGGTAAACATGATATTGTTGATTCATATATCTCCGTTTGAACTTCGTACTAAGTGTTTCAAATTCGTGCTTTAAAAGTGTATAAAATATTGTCAATGTGGTGTGATAAACCTGACGTACGTTATCTCTGTATGCAGACACGTTACACACATATATTTCAAGTACGAATCATAAAATTAAGGTTTTTAAAATATACGTTCGATCAATTTGTTTGGAGCAAAAATATATCATATACTTGACACGTTTCCACGATAGAATTATTTATTTCACACAGAATATATTCTTGGTGGCTAAAAAATTATAGAAATTCTACTATGGCTGGAATGAATAATATTTTTGATCATATGCAAATATTAAATGATATCGATATCGATATTATTTGAAATACCGTAATTTCATCTACATAATTTATATAAGAACAAAATCATAATGAAATGTTATAAAATAATGTATTACGTAAAATTCGAAGTATAACGAGTATGAAGTATAAATTGTTCTTTCCTTACAGAAATTAAGGTGCCTAAATACTGCCGAGTACTCAAAGCACATGGAGAATAAACACAATTTTCTGATTGTACATATTATATATTGTTTTTATCTATACATAAATAACAAGAAATCATAATTACGTTGAGTTAACTCGAATAAGAATGAAGAAAATAATAAATAGAAAGTAGACGTTTAAACCAATTTTTTTCTTTTTAAATCTTTTTATCATAGAATTGATTGCATATGCCGCATTGCAATAACATTGTTATAGAAAAGGTGTATCATAATAATTTTATGGCGAAGTAAAATGTGTACATTGATGAAACGTGATAGCGAAATTTATATATTACTCTGTTAAATTTTTTTCTAAATTCGTAATTCACAAATTTAGAAATCTACAAGTGAAATTAACAAAATTGATAGCAGATTTAAAAAAGAAGACTTATACATAAAAAGTATATACGCATTATTTTTATATATTAGTCGATTATGTTCCCTGATATATTTTTCAGTTATATGTATGTACATATTATATACACACAAGATACGTTCAACATGTTTAGATATATCTATAAAATTACCTCATTGATTTATTATGAAAACTGTTTTCAATTTTATGCTTTGTCATTTTAATTGTCAATTTATGCGCATGTCAAAAAGGTAATTTTCGTTTAAATTATAAATAAAAATATTTAAATTCATAGATTCAGCTTGAAATTTGTTCAATTGATACATCGTTAAATAATATTGTATATGTCACAACTAGTATTAATGTAAAAATGAATAATTTGTGTTGAACAATTCTTTGATACAGGCGTAATTTCAATTAGTTACATGTATTTTTATTAAAATGTCAATAATGATAAAATAAAGTTGTAAACGCACATAATAAAGGAACATTGTTTAAAAGATTTTTGCTAAGTTGAGATATATCATTGAAAGGCACTATCTATATAGTTCAAATGATTAACTGTATAAAAACTGTATATTATTGTACAGAATAATACTTGTTAATGTTTGTAAAAATGTTTACCAGAGGACATATATTCATAGAATTAAGATCTACAATATGTGTAAATTTATTATTTTTTCATTTCATTCATATGTTCCACGGAATAGGTACAGTTGAAATGTGCTGTTAAAAAAACAAAGTGTAAATAGGTGTGAATTGTAACTTAAAACTGTAATGTAACTGTATTCGTATACAAAAAAAATGAAAGAACAATATTGTCATTGCATCTTATTTTTAATTTAATTCTTTTAAATACAAATATACCTTTAAATTTAAAATAACTTTTGTAGATTATTAATTTTAGTAAAATATTTAAAATTGAAATAGTATAGACCAGATTGCTCTTTCTTTTTGTTTTTATTTAATTGTTCTACATTCAAATCGATTTTATTTAATTCTTGAACATATATTTGCAAGATACTAGTTTATTATTGCAGTATTTTAATACATAGATAATAGTCATAAGTACAGAGAGATAATTCACATTACATTGTTTATTATGCACAACAGGAAATCTAATGTGATGTACAATTTCCCTTGTGGATAACTTAATTCAATATCGATATAATAAATTTGTTTTAACCATTCAACGATATATATAATAAACTGCCATAGAACAAATCATAATTAAACATTACTCAAAATAATGTACTTATTCATCTAAATATTGATTTATTCGAAATTAAAATCTTACAATTTAATGTTTTTACAATTCTCAAATATTAATAACAAAATAAATATTTATATACCTAACATATTTGGAATGATTTTGCAATAATTCTTTTCAAAAATACCTGTCAAAGGTAATGATTATGAAACTATTAACAAACATCAAACAATCAAGTACATACATTCATTTTCAACAAGAATTGCAATAAACTTTTGAAATAGTAATAGACACTAGGGGTGGGCAGGTTCTCGACATTTCGGGTTCGGGTCGGGTCGAGTATTTTTCGAGTCACGTTAAACCCGACCCGAGGCTTAGGTACCCGCCCACTTCTAATATACACACAGTAGATAGTTATATGGATGTACATTACATCCAAATGGGGGCATAAAAATACATGTTTACAGTATGTATAATGTAAATTTATCTGACAAATAAATGTGTTTACTATTGTAACTATTATTAAAAAGTTTTTATTACTAATATAGAACTAATATATTACTGTGAAACATAATAATAAATTAAAAGTAAAGGAAGCTATTTTCTGCAACTTGTAGAAATAAGTTTTGTATCTACACAGACGAGAAATGCGTATCTATTTTACATACATACAAGGTGTTCCCGAATAACGTGTACAAGCAAACGGAAGGTGATTCCTTATGGGAAAATAAGAAAAATAAAAAGAATAAAATTTTTTTCATTTCAGTTTACTTTTCGAAATAATCAAGTTTGAAAATTCGCTCTGTTTTATACGCACTGACGACTATAGCGTTTACCGTGCTTGTAAACAATGTTTACAGAATATTTACGAATTACTACATTAAAAAAAAAATTAAAAACGAATTAATTTCATCGTTTAATAATATTAATTACAGAATTGCTGAAATTGATTACCTCGCTTTCGCTGACGAATACTTCTACAGTCTTGTAGTGGTCGTTGAAGTTGACATGTGTATAGCTTTCAACAACCATTTTCCAAAAGATTTCTTTGCATTTTTTTGTATCATTTTCCGATAGCGGATCCTACGAAAACAGGAAATCTAATGTCTACAATGAACCGACGATTTGAGTAGCATATCAAAAGTCGTAGAACATTGTTTATAAACATGGTAGACACTACGTCACAGAGTGAATTTTCAAACTTGATTATTTTGAAAACTAAACCGAAATAAAATAAATTTTATTCTTTTTGTTTCTCTTATTCTTGCACAAGGAATCACCTCCCGCTCACTTGGACATGCTATCCAGGAATACCCAGTATATTGCCATTGCATTGAACATAATGAAAGTTTGAAAGCTTCCATAGTAAAATAACAATTTGAAATTTATTTTATAAAAAAAATGCATTGTAAATATTTAATTCTATCTTCTTTTCTAACAGAAATTTTAATCTTTCAGCTATTATATTTTCTCTTTTTTACATTTTGACTGTACATTTGTCATAGAATTGTTTTTTGAATTATAAAATCCCTTTGAAAATGTCAAGCTATTTATAGTAACTTATCACGTAAAAATACATAAAGTTCTGCATAATTAAAAGGAAAATAAATACTGTATTCTTTGATTTTTTAAATTATTTTCTAAACTTACTTAAAAGAAATGTCATTTTTTCTAAGTAAAATATTATAAAATATACTTTATAATGTTTATAAATTATTCAAATGCTTTACTTATCTCCTCCTATGACATGTATATAGTTTTTAACAACGTGATTTTCTTCAACTCACTTACGTTTAAGTGCATTTAAATGCAAATTGGTTAAGTACTTACGCACTATGTATTGATTTTCATTAAACAACGTCTAATTCATTTCTACATAAACAATTATGGTTTTAAATTAAACATTTATTACTCTAATCCGCCTTCCTCTTCTAGCTTTGAAAGGAATTTTGCCACTCTGTAGTTTGATTCAACTTGGCGTGCCATATCTATTAGGCATAGTAACTTCTTTATGCCGATAAATACTCTGTAACGAAAATTACCAAGATTATATCTTCAAAGTTGATCGATTTTTATAACAGTCATTATTTTCTAATGTATAATTAAAAGTGTACCGTTTTCCTTGAAGTTTAGCATGTAAATATGCCATTTCGTCTTTATTAAAGAGATCTACTTCTTCTACAACATTCAAGAGATGATCAGGAGTTGACAGATTGGGTACATGGAGAGTTGTACTAAATGCTGATAACATTTCCATATCATCCAGAACTTGCCTATGGGAAGTATATAAGCCACAATTATTATTATCTCGATTATCGTAATTTTATATAATCATTTCGATAAAGATAAATGTCTCACCTGCGACTTGTAGTGCAGAGTATTAATAATTTGCGGCCACGTGGTGGTTGTTTTTTCAATAAAACTAAGAGTGCTTGCAAAGTTAAGTTAGAGTATCGTGGTCCAATTGGACCGTAATCTAACAAACGCTCGATATTATCAACTAAAATGCAACTAAGTTGCGAGCGATATGCATCGTCAAATATCTAAAAAATAAAAAGGTAAAATGAATATTCTGTTTATAATCATTGATTTTGTTTCTTTGTTTGCCTTTGAAATAATACAAAGTGTCAGAGAATGGTGAGAGAAGTCAAAACACATAAAGAGATATCAAAAAGTCCTATATCATTTTATACTTTAAGATATACATTTTCAAAGTATGTATAAACAATTAATGTTTGTTGACGTGGCTCCTGACAAACGCTATTTATATCCCAGTTACAGAACACACATGCGCCAAAAATACAAATCGATATACGAAAAGTATATATTACCTTTCGGATAGAAAGACATTTTGCGGGTTCAGTAAAACCAACCATGTCCTCTGGTGTGCATACTTTAATAAATGGAAAATCGGAATTTTTAGCTATTTGAGCAGCAAGAGCTGTTTTTCCACTATTTGGTGGTCCTTCTATAAGAACTGATACAAGACCGGAACCTTCAGTAGAGCGAGCTTCTTGAATGTAGAGACTACCATCGGACAAAATTTCTGCCACTGGTTTACCCCAATTAATAATACCGCGTGTAAGAAGATGATCCAAAGCTTCTGCACTGGTACCAAACGCCTAGAATAAGTAGTATATTAAATATTATATTATACAGTAATGAAAATATAATGATCAAAGTACTTTTTTAAATACTACTCGAATCTTTCTAAAATTACTTACAGGTTTAACATCATTTTCTAAAGCATGAAAGAAATCAGTTCTAGAAACCATAAGCTTTTCCATTGCAGCAGGATCCACTTCCACTTTGCTAGAGGCTTTGATTAATCTGTTCATAGCAGTACTTTGCGCAGCTCTAACTAAACCTTCCAATTCTGCACCACTGAAATTTTTAGTTTTAGTAGCTAATTCTTTCAAATCAACATCAGGTGCTATCTTCTTATAGTCTCTCATTCTGGATGTATGAATATTAAGGATTTGGAATCTACCATGTTCATCTGGTAAACTGATTTCCATTTGTACCTTTAAATATGCATGAGTTTTACTGAAATAATTATCTTTATAAATGGTAACTATGTTCAGTTCAAAATTATTAAAAACTACCTCTAATCTACCAGGTCGTAACAGTGCTTCGTCAATCATATCTCTTCTATTAGTCATACCAATAACAAGAATATTATTTAATTGCTCTACGCCATCAATTTTTGCAAGCAGCTGATTCACAACAGTATCATGTACTCCTGTATTTCCAGCAACACTGCCTCGGGATTTACAAATAGCATCGATCTCGTCAAATATAATTATGTGTAATCCACTGTTTGGGCCAAGCTAAAAATTAAATTTGATTCATCATTGCTTTGATATACAATATTTTAATGAAACTTCAGAGAAAAGTAAAACTGTCTTTATACCCTTTTTTCTTCGTCTTCAGCTTCTGCAAATAATCTTCTAATATTAGCTTCACTTTCTCCAACATATTTATCCAAAATCTGGGGGCCGTTGACGATTTTAGGTTCCCTGGCATTTAACATAGTCCCTATCTGTCGTGCCATTAATGTTTTACCTGTACCTGGTGGACCGTAAAGTAAAATTCCTTTCACATGTTTACAACCTAATTGAGTAACAATCTCTGGTGGAAAGACACGGGACGCAAATGCTCTTCGAAAAATTGCGCTAAACTCCTTATCCAGTCCACCAATTCCCATTTTTTGGAAGTCCCAATCGGGATTTATAATCGACTGACGAACAACTTTTCCTTTTGCTTTACCAATAAGATTCAAACTTGAATTATCTGCTTTTTCAAACTGTATTACAGTATCGCCCAAACATCGTCCCATTTGTGTCTTTTTAGGAACTGTATTTTGTCCAGAACTTATAGCAGAGAGATCAGCAGCTTCCAAACTTTTTACCACAAGACCAAGCATTCTCTTGTCTTTAAATTGAAACACCAACTGCTGACCCACGGTGAATGCCTGTCCCGAAAATTGCAATAAGAAGTCCTTGGCCATTTCATCAGTATTATATGGTTCCAAAGAAGTACTAAAATAAATTGTATTACAAATTATGTAACAAATATTACTATTATAAAATTTATTCTTATCAACACAAGTACACGGATAAAAAAAATAAATGTACGTACGACTTTTTTTGTAAAAAGTCTGCTTCTAGTACAATATTGCATAAACATTCTGTGCTTGAAGTGGGATTGAAGTGATAAGGTTTAACTTCAATATCTTGATTGAGGGAAAGAGTAGCCCATCTTCGCTGAGGTAAACTAAAACCCACAGTTCCCCTAGGTACTTCACGATGTCTTTTTACAGTAAATACAAAATGATTTTGTTCAGTAATAACTTCGATATGCCTAAAAAATATAATTATATGAATGATTATTCCACCATATTTTACAAATAAATGTACATATTCTTATGCTATTATACCGATAAAATATTAAATTATAATTTTAGACATGTAAAACAAAAAAAATTTATTCTAATATATGATATATAATTAACATTCTATAGTTAATACAATTTAATACAATTGTTATTAAAAAACTAGAAATTATACAATATCTTTACTTAATTAGTTAAAAACTTTCCTAAAATTTAAATTGTATACATTGCTTCCTAATTTTTAAGTCCTATTGTAAGTATTAAATCAATGAAATAATAACAAAATGACTTATCTGTACCTGACATCATCTGGGAAGTCATCTGGATTAATTATAGCACAATTACAGAGACTGAGTTCATCTGTGGGACACCTCACTGCCCTCATCCTCTGTGAATGAATAAATTTGATCATTTAACAATTGAGTTATATTTACTGAAAGCATGTAACGTCCATAGTCAAAAGTATTGATGAGATTTGCAATAAGGAGGGGGAGGTCACAAATAAGTTATATTTAATTATTTTTTGAATTAGATTTTCGAGATAATTGTTGCTATGAATACACGAGACGAAGAATAAAACGAGATTAATAATCATTTTTATATTCAGACTTACCATTACTGACATTTTATTGACAGAATTTTGTGAACACAGATCTCTACACGGTACGGAACCTGCAATGCAGGATATTAGGACAGACAGTACAGCCAATAATGTAAATCTAAAGTTAAACAGTATCGTGTTAGGGAATTTTATTTTTATACAATAGAAAATTTTCCTATAACCTTATTGGACAAATACAAAAATATTAATTTACTATTATTGAACAAATATTTTGCGTGTGATATAACAGTTAGTACATAGACATATAAATATTTATACATTCAAACAGTCATTAAATTCGTTTAAATATTTAAATGTTATATATTTTTATTTACTAAATATAAATTTGTAAGTAGAAATTGTTACTTTGTAATCATTTATACATAATAAAAGATCGTTACATAATTTGATTCAATTCGTAAATATATTACATACGTTTAACTGAAAGGGTTGGTAATGTAAACAATGTGATTTCGCTTGTTACTTTCATATGCTGCCGCTTAGAGCGGTACAACTCAGTGTTCTACTATTTAGTTTTAGTGTAAACTATGATATAGAATCGATTCATTTTAATAGTGAAAATCAGCCTTATCCCCTGTTATAATAAATACTCTTTAAAAAATGAAATTCTCTTATTCTCTACGAAACATTGTGTTACAGGTGATTGTGAAATAAGAATGTAAACAAAACCTCGTACTATAGTTAATAAAACGAAATTAGAAAAGACTTCGGGAAAGAAATATTTATTTGCTCGACTTCATGAAAAACCAAATGGCTCGAGAAAGAAATATTCTTAATTTACAATTTAATCAGGATCAAGGTGACAATTAATTACGATTTCAATTATTTAGGTTATTAAGAATTATGACGTATTTAATTCTACTACTCTGAAATCTAATACTGTTATTGCATTCTTTCAATTCTTTAACAAGATTAAAATTTGATGATGGATTTATGTATATTTGCAAATATAACAGTATAAATATTAACCGTTTGTTATAATACTATTTTGAACTAACCTTTAAATTCAATTATCAAAATTTCAGGTTACTATTATTAATAATGACTACCCATCATTTTTTGTATCAATATGATTTTTTAATATTTTAATATCTTTAAAAAAAAAGTATATTTAATTTTCATTTTTCTAGGATGCTTTACATGTTGTATGGAATCTGGCCTTAGGGTATATAATGTAGAACCATTAGTTGAAAAAGCACATTTGGAAAATGATGTAATAGGAAGTATAGCTATCGCAGAGATGCTTTGGAGAACAAACATTATTGCTATAGTAGGTGGTGGTACAAGACCAAAGTTTGCAGAAAATACAGTACTTATTTATGATGATATATCTAAAAAGTTTGTATTGGAAGTAACATTTACCAGTCCTATTAAAGCTGTCAGATTACGCAGAGACAAGTAAGTTTATTAAAAAAATTGGATTTTCTGTTCAGTGAAAATAAAGAATACATTTACTTACTTAGGAATAATTTTAAAAAACAGAATGATAGTAGCGCTTCAACGCGAGGTACATGTTTTTTCATTTCCTGTGCCAACACGAAGATTGTTAACTTTAGAAACAAGAGATAATCCAAAGGGATTAATTGAAGTTGCTACTTTGGCTACTGCGCAAAAGCAACTTCTTGTTTTTCCTGGCCATAAACAAGGCAGTATACAATTAGTTGATCTAGGTGCTACAGAAGCTGGAAGTTCTAGCACTCCCGCGACTCTTATGGCACATCAGGTATGCATATTTTATAAAAAAAAAAAAAAAACTTGAGTAAAGGCAATATTACCATATCTTCTATTAGTATTTTATGTTTATAAATAATACTATTAGGGTGCATTGGCTTGTCTCGCAGTTAACAACAGTGGAACTATGATTGCAACTGCTTCCATACAAGGTACTCTAGTTAGAGTATGGGACAGTATACATAGGCACTTGCTGGTAGAATTGAGAAGAGGCATAGATCCTGCTACAGTTTACTGGTGAATATTATCCTTGATTGTTAAAGAATAAATATACATTTTGTAAAATATATTTGTAAGATTGTATTTAAAAAAAAATTTTATGCAATGTGTTTCAGTATCACGTTCAGTAGAGATTCTGAATATTTATGTGCCTCTAGTGACAAAGGAACAGTACATATATTTGCATTGAAAGACACACAATTAAATCGCAGATCTACGTACGTAAATAGAATTGAAATTTTTATTTGTTATAAGAAATCAGTGTTGGGCAATATGTAATTTAATTACATTTGCCATGATTATTTCTATACGGTTATTAGAATATATTTTACCTAACACTGCAAGAAAAACCGACAAAGTCAATTTATTTTTATTATTAAATTAATGAACTCAATTTTTTTTTAGTTTCTCAAAAATTTCATTTTTGGGAAATTATATTGAAAGTCAGTGGGCAATGGCAACTTTCACAGTACCACCAGAATGTGCTTGTATGTGTGCATTTGGTACAAGGAGTTCTGTAATAGGTATTTATTATACAGTAAACAAAACTAATATTATGATAATATAAGATATCAATAAATACACTATTTATTCTATTTTCATTTTATATTTTTTTACAGCTGTTTGTATGGATGGGACATTTCATAAATACGTTTTTACCAGTGATGGAAATTGTAACCGTGAGGCATTTGATGTTTTCTTGGATGTTTGTGATCATGATGATTTTTAATGTATATTGTATATCATATTTATTCGTTTTTATGCCCGTAGGAAAGTTTCTAGTCATGCCAAATATGAAACTTCTTGCAGCAATGTTTGTAGAGCAATGTAATTAGATTAATAATTGTAAAAAGAGTGCAAGTCATTACATTTATTGATTTTTTAACTTAATATTCTAAATATTCTTCAATCCATTTTGTATGCATGGATTTTTAGTGACTTATGCCCTCTCCAAACTAGCGGTCCAATTAGTATGTAGTAATAAAATTTATTTTATAACATAAATGTCTTCTTAGCAGCCTTCTTTTCCTACTAATATTACTTTCTTTTTAAATATTTTTTCTCTGAAATCTATAATTATTTTTCTGGATTCCTCTGTTTTACTTGTTGTTGTATTAATTCTAAAATAAATAACTTAATTATTTTATAATCGATGTTAAAAAAAAGTGACAATGAAAAAAATCGTGTTATACGCACGATATGGTTCTGGATTAATCAGAGGACTTATTATTGTGAAATAGGAATGTATTCCTATAAATCCTACAAAACATCCTACAAATGCAACAAATCGCCAACCTTTCAGATGCATTATTACTGCTGAAACATAAAAATGTATGAAATAAATAACATTATAAAATCTATTACTTTACATTTATAAACTAGAATTTACTTAAACTACATAAATAGAACTTTTAATAAAAACATTCAAAATTTTTAAAATGTCATACGATATTGTAAACTCAAATGCTTCGATCGCATAACTAAACGTGCACGTTTTACATTCTTTTTTTATAATTCCACACATATACCAATTTCTTATAAAGTAAAAAAGTAACCTGAAATTTATTTGCTAGTAATGTATAAAACATTTATACATTTATTTTTTATTTCCTAATATAAGCATTAAAATTATAATTGTTTAATTTAAAATTTCTGTAAGAAAATAAATTATAACAAGTGTATTCTTATATTTATCTACAAACATACTTCATGAATAGATCAATATGATGTAATTTAACACAATTTAATACAGCTATCAGCTTAGATATGATGCAATTTTCGAAGCCATGCGTATTATTTGAAAATTATTGAAAAATAAATCGAAAAATGGTCAACAAATTTTTTTAAATATTTAAAAAGGGATTTCGATTCGAATCTTATCGCATGATACTGAAGTTCATAAACGTAACACCTTTACATCCATATTTACCCAGTCATCGGGGTCTACTCCGTCACTAATTTTGATGCCCGTAATCCATAATATGTACTGGCTATGTTGTTACCTTCACTTTGTTATACGCTAAGGAAGTTCGTAGTCACTATTATTGATTTCGATGCACTCAATTATGCCCGATCTGGCTACACTGGCTGTGTACCTAATTGTGAATGCTTACCTTAACATCATGTTACACTAATTCACCGCTAGATGGTCTTCTAGATAAATAATGGTCTACTTTCTCACTAGTGTTCAATCAATCGTTTCTAAGTATATATACCCGTGGCGAAGAGACTCAGTTGTACTTGCTTCGGCAGTACATATACTAAAATTGGAACGATACAGAGAAGATTAGCATGGCCCCTGCGCAAGGATGACACGCAAAATCGTGAAGCGTTCCACATTTTTTGTTATTTGAAACAGCAAAATATTAATTCAAATTCTACAAGAATATATAGCGTAAATTTTATTTGAAAGGATTTTTATTTTTTAATCTATTAGACGAATTTCATAGTTTCTAAAATAGTTTCCGATTTTATTGTTTCGAAATAAAAATTTCTACGGACTAAATAAATTTTTCATATTATTATTCTTGACTTTTCGACAGAAATTTTTATGATTTATATATTATAGTACAGATGAGGTATCGTTGACCAGTAGATAGATAAAATGATAAAACCATCTATCTATAAAAGCATAAGAAATTGTATTTCCGGCTGTGCACTACGATCTGAATTGTTGACAATGGAGTGCGTAATTAATTTAATTTCGGTTTAATAACAACAAAGGGGACAGACCACTTTGTTGGAAATTATATTTTGAAAAATTGTCAAGACGTACAATTATTTGATTAAATACCGGCTGTGGTCCATAGATAGGTTATTATATACAACAAATGTATGAATGATTTGTAATTTGTTAGAAAAATGTGGAAACAGTGGTTGTCAAATTTCATATTAGCCGGTACTATTAGATTTTTATTAATGAATTCTGGATACCAAAAAGTTATTAGCGATCGTGTGGAAGTTTCTACTGCATTGAATTCTTGGAAAAGAGGTTAGGACATATCAATTTGTTGTTTAAACTTTTTACATAACAATTTAGTAGTTGTTATTAATTTTCGTGATAATAATAAGAATTTGCTATAAAAATAATAAAAAACAAAAGTATGTACGTTTATAAATTTATAGAGTAATTAGCGGTCAACATGATAATGTATTAGTAGTGATTATATTAGAAAGTATTAAATGTTATAATGATGTTTACTTATTTTTAGTGACTGAAGGTGTTCATTTATATAACTTTGGCATTGACCCGTACATGGGTGACTTATTTCATGAAACTCCTATCGGTTTATATATTTTTGATCTCATACAACGGCATTTACCTTGTTGGACGTTATTCTTCTTATTTATCTTCACTGATTTATTGACTGCTTTACTTCTTGCATTTACAGCAAAACAATATGCAACTGAACTGGTTAGTTTATTTTTATATTAATATTGCTATTTCTATAGAACTTAATTAAATTATATTGTTTTAATAATATTAATCACAGGCTTCTAGAAAAGAAGAAAAATTGCATGATGAAGATGTAGAAAATCAAAATCATGGTTCTGCAATATCTACTTCTATGATGTATGTCTCAGCGGCATATTTATTTAATCCATATATAATACTAAACTGTGTTGGGCATACAACAACAGTATTTACAAATTTATTGCACTCCATAGCATTGATTTCAATGACAAAATATTCTATATTTTGGAGCTGCTTATCAATATCATTATTGACATTGCAAGGACTTTATCCTATTTCACTTATGGTACCAACAGTTGTATACATTACTCGTTCTAAGAGTACAGAACAAAAAAGAAATCTTATCATTTTTATTATTATGATATTTGCTAGCATGTTAACGACTCTATTTTGCATTTCGTACTGTATCATGGGAAGTTGGTCATTCGTATGGAGTACAGCAGGCTTTATTTTAACAGTTCCTGATTTGCATCCAAACATAGGGTTATATTGGTACTTTTTTACAGAAATGTTTGAGCATTTTAGATGGCTCTTTATTTCTTCTTTTCAAATAAATGTCAGTTTGCTGTATATAGTACCATTAGCATTGAGATTACGACATGATCCAATGCTATTAGCATTCTCTTATTTAGCAATTGCTGCCATATTTAAGTCTTATCCATGTATAGGAGATGTTGGATTTTACATGTCTCTTCTGCCACTTTGGAAACATTTGTTTCAATGTGAGTTTTTACTGTAAACTGTATTAATTATTTTTTATTTGTTTTCATAGAATATGATGATTTTTGTATTCCTTTTAGATACTCAGCAAGGGTTCATCATAGGCTGTTTCATGTTATTTTGCACAGTTTTTGCACCCACTGTTTGGTACCAGTGGATTTATTCCAGATCAGCAAATGCAAACTTCTACTTTGGAGTAACATTGGCATTTGCTATAGCACAAATTTTTCTGGTAACAGATATTCTTTTTGCAAGTGTAAAACATGAATTTGCAATACGTCATGGTATTAATAAAGATGTTAGTGGAAGTAAGGCGAAACTATTTTTAGAATAAAGTTGTATCTTACAAAGTTCAGTATTAAAACTGTTTATTAAAATTCTAAAATTAGATGACTGTTCTTCAATGACAATTTTAAACTATTTTAAATATAATCCTTATTTTTATGGACGAATATATTGACCTATATCAATTTATAAAATGTTTAGTTATTAAAGTTCTTTTAAGAAAGAGGTGGAGAGGGGGGAAGGGGGGGATGAGGGGAGGAGTGAATGAAGGAATGGAATGCAAGGGCGGAAATGGAAGTCGACGGCGGGGAGGGCGAGCGGGGGTGGAGGAGTGGGAGAGAAGGGAGGAGGGAGAGAGGGAGAGAGCGAGTAGCGTAAGGTTAGGCTAAGAGCGTGCGGCGAAGGGAAATGAGAGAGAGAGAGAGAGAGAGCGAGTAGCGTAGGATTAGGACAAGAGCGTGCGGCGAAAGGAAATGAGAGAGAGGGGAAAAGCGGCGGAGGGAGGATGTAAGGGCAGTGAGGAGTAGAGTAAGAGTAGAATAAGTAGGATAAGTAGGATAAGTTAGGTTAAGGGAGAGATGGAAATGTAAGGTGGGGAGGAAGTGTAACCCTAAGGGGAAGCAGGAAATAAATCTATCTACTATTAAAGTTCTTTAACACAAATTAGCGTGGAATCAAAAAAAAAAGTAGATACTTATTTATATCTAATGTTTTATTATAATCAATTTATAAATACATTTAGTGGACACCACTGTACATTGTTTCATGTTATAAAATTCAAATTAATACTGTATTGGATTTTCATTTGTAGCTTCTTCTTTATGCAAACTTTAATTACTGTTGCTGAATTTTTAATTGTACATTCCAAATTTAGTTTGTTTGGTTTCAATACACTGATGTGATTATAATTGAATACTTTTCATATAACACCAGCAATATCAGTACATGCATTGTTCTTATCACAATATTCCCATAAAGTTTTCCAACATCTGTCTTTACATAGTACATCTGGATTTCCTATTACTATTACAAATTTTTTTGCTCTTGTTAGGGCAACATTGAATCTCTGAAAAACAGCATACACTTTTATACTTTGGAATTACTATATAATATAAATTCAAGTTATTCAAATTAGCAAATTACTTCTTTTAGGTATTAAATAAATGTATACCTTTGCATTTGATAAAAATCCAATATGATCTTTACCATCATGTTTGAAGGATTTAGATCTTACAGTAGACAAAATTATAATTTCTTTTTCTTGCCCTTGAAATATTTCTACTGTTCCAACAGTTATATTCTTTAATCCACATTCATCTAAACATTTATTGATCATAATTTGTTGTTGTTTAAATGGTGTTATAACACCAATATCTTCCTCTTGAATTTTACGTGGACCAATTTTAGCATGCATTAGTTTTTTCGTGCAATGTTCTACAATCTTGATTTCTTCTTCATTATAAACACTACAAAACAATGTATTTTATTTTTGTTGTACATTGTACAAAATATTTTCTTCAATTAAGTACGAATTTTATAAATTATATCAAAGTCACATTGCAATTACCTTTTATTTGGAGTTCTTTCTTCTTTACCTTTAATTTCAACAAACAATATAGGAAACGTTTTATTTAATAGTACTGGCCAATTTAAAGTTATCTTATTTATATTCGAGTCATGACAACATAATAATTCATTATCATAAAATAACATATTGGACACATGCAAAATAGGTTCCTCGCTACGGTAATTGCGAATTAATTTCGTTATGTAACGTGAATTATATTTATTTTCCACTTTTTTATATGGTTCGCATTCCATTAACCTTTCTAGTAGGGATTTTCCTAAAAATATAATTAAATTGTATATAAACTAGCAATAATCTTTACTTAAGTATTTATTTAAAGAATATGAAATTACATTCACTCACCAAGTAAATGCTCAATTCTTTTACATCGAATTACGGGTCCCAGTTGATGAGGATCACCGGCAATAATAATTTGAGCATGTAGTGTCCCTGTGCATGTTTCATTTTGCGTACTTGTTAGTGTAAATGGTATTAATGATTCTAGTTCTATACTTTGACTTGCTTCATCAATGAATATATATGAAAAATGGTCACTTTTTAAATTGAGCTTTACCAATCTACAAAATAAATCGTAAATCCTATTGTATAATTATTACTGCAATAGCAATGCCAAAAAAAATGAAGTCAAAACATACCTTGTACATGTTACCAATGTTGTAATAACTATCTTTTTTAAAATAAAAATTTCTTTTGGCAAAAAAAGGACTTGACTATTAATAATATTTGAACTAGGATGAATAATTTTATCTACATTTTCCCTGTACATAAGGAAAAGAAGGTAATGAAGTAGTAATTATTTATGAAAACAAATTTGTAACATCTTACCAATGTTTGGACGCTGCATACATACGAAATATGTCTTTAGAAGGAAGAAAAGCTAATAATCTTTTTCCAATTTCATCAGCAGCTGCATTTGATGATGTACATACTAAAATTTTTTTATACTTCCATTGGTTTCTAATCTATAAAATGATAGAAGTCTTAGAACAATATATTCAAAAGGTGCTTCAGTTACACGTACAGTATCATAGATTGTACTACATAGATTATACCTGACAAATGGTTTCAACTAATGTTGTTGTTTTTCCAGTACCAGGTGGACCAAATACTATATATGGTGCAGGATATGCGGAATTGCTTAAAATATTAATTACTGCCTGTGTTTGTTCTGGATTACTTGCTACACTTTTATGAACCCAATTCAAGTCACTATATCATAGCATAAATAAGAATGTAATATAGGTACAAAAATATAAACATAAAAAGGTAATTCATCAATTAATCTTGATAAAACTTACACTTGTAGTAAATCATAATGATCCCTGCTTATTTTAGGATAGATTAAATCGACCAAATTATGCTTACACATAATATGTAAAACATAATGACAACACTTTATTGGCCAATTTGATACACAAAAGTAAACAGTGACTACTTTATCCTTAAGATATTCTTGATGTTTCCTAAATGATTTTTAGAAATATTTATTACTTCTTGTAGTATGCAAAACGTTATACAAATAACACGCAAGCGCGTGCGCGGACACGCAATACACGTGCGAAAGAATTCATATAGTTGTTCTAAAAAATATATTTACACATGAAAAGATTAACCTTCTCAGTCATTTAATCAAAACATAAATTAAATCAATATTTTCATTGCTTTGTAACACATTGTTTGGACCATATGGTATACGGATGTGTATTTATACTTACATATCGAATAATTTTAGCACTACATTTTTTCCTTTAATATACACTATTCTACTATTGTACACTCGTGTTGAATTTATAATCCGCAATTTTACTATATCACCAAAAGTAATGAATGGGTCATCTTCATCTAGGGTAGGCACATTAATAAGAAATTTGTTTGAACCTTCGGTACATAACTGAGTCTTTAAATTATGCTTTGATGCAAGTAACTGAAATTCATTGTCTTCTATATATAATAAAATTTTAAATAATATTAAATAATGTTCTGGTTTTATTTTTTTGATGTGTGGAAGATTATTGATAAGCTGTATATAATTTCTACATAATTGACTACCACAAGGACTTTTTATTAGATAACATTTTAAAGCCTTTTGTAAATCAGGAGGTAGTTTAAAATTTTTAAAAGACAATTGTTTAGCTACGCCAAAACTGGTACAATGTCTGAAACATAGTAAAGCATTAAATATAATTAAAATTATAAAACAAATATAAATCATTTTACTTACGTGCTTGTTCCAATAGTTGATCTTTTGTTCTTCCATTTGATATTATTTGCCATTTCCAAAAAACTATTTAAATAATATATAGATTATATTTATTTTGACCATAGAAAAAATATTTATGTACAATATTGTTGCAATATTATTAGACTTTTGTTATTCAAAAATTGTAATGCAATAATTATTTACTTACTTACATAAAATTACTTTTTTCTATTATGTAATTATTGGATTTTTATTAGAATGAGGGAAAAACAGTAGTTCAACACAGTAAATATTCGTTTGTATAATTATTTTCAATTAAAATGGACACGTGTCGTTTTAACTAAAACGGGGTTTTCTGTTAATGGGTAACTATACATATAAACTTATACCAGTTTGACCATCTTATCAAGAAGACTAGTTACTTTTATAGTTACTGTTGAAAAAACTACATCATCAATTACAATGTAATTATTACATTGTGATCGCTACATGTAATCATATGGTAGATACGTATGAATCATATTTAGTAGAAACATTATCTTATCTTATATTAAAGTGATATTGCTACGACACTGCTATTTTTTTAAAGATTTGGTCATTCTGATTGGGATAATGATTTGTATTGGAGGCTCAGTTATATTCTTTTTGAATATACATAGTTACATTTCATAATTCTTTGTATAATGTGTTATTATAAAAATACTTAAAAAATAAATCAAGTAAGAATTAATAATATTTTTGTGATATAATAATTATGTATTTTTGCTATTGCGAACCTCGGTAATTTATTGGGGGTCGTTATCTAGATAGCATATTGGGAATCCCTTACTCGCGTTAAGTAATTGTTATCAGTAGTCTTCTAGTAATTAATCCGAGAGATATTAAAAGTATCCTCGCATAACTTCCAAGCATCGTATCTGATAATATGCATCAATATGTACCAATGTGGCCAGATTTGCCATAATTGAGTGTTTGGCGGTTTTTCCCACTACTTCGTTAGACGTTAGGAAGTTTGTCGTTTCTAGTGTCGACGTCGGTGTACTAAATTATGCCAAATCTGGCCACATTGATATGACCTATCATTTCTGAATGACCATTTAACAGTGTTCATGTCAGTTCATGTGACGTCGATAATTTTTACTATTTTCTACAGTGTATAACCAACGATTTAATCGTAAGAAAATGGTAACATTGTATTTCACAATAATAAAAATATATTAAAATGTAAACGTAGACGGCGTGAAACATGAACTACTTCGTATGTCGTCGAAGTAGATACATCAAACGCGATTGTAAATAGTATTCTGCTAATTTTTACTTGGTATTTTTGTTTGCATCTGTTACTGTTTTATCTGTCGTTCTCTCTATCAAAATTTGGAAGATTTCTACGTTCTCTTTATTAAAAAGCCAAGAAAAAATGATTTATATGTGGAAAATCAGAAATTTTTCAGTATATGAGCTTTAAGGTATATTTTTTATCAAAAATTATGTAAAGTAATTTAGGAAACTTACGAAACGTAGGTATTTGTAATGCATTTAATTCTATATCTATGATTGTATAGTTTTTATTGTAGAAGTTCTTATAAACAAACGAAAGAAATTTTAATAATAGTAAATATATAAAAAATGTATAAATGATTTACAGGTATCTTGTAGTTGTAGCAAACATGTCAGAATTGATAGATAGTTCTGCAGAAAAGATTGACGTAGTCCTTCCCAGGCAAGGCCTACTATATCAAGAAGAAAATTTAGATTACATACTTTGTAAACCTAAATTAATTCCATTAAAATCAGTTACATTAGAAAAGTTGGAAAATATGCAAAGAGATGCAGAGTTAAAGATCAGAGAAACTTCGGAGGATGAGAGCAAAGCGAATGATAATGAATAGGGTGTAAAAATGGATAAAAAGACATGTAACAATTATAAAGTTATTGTGCAACAGAATTAAAAATAACCAAAATGACTGTCGAAGCATTTTTGACAGACATTGTAGTAGCATTTTGTCTTGCTGCAACCTTATTGTATAAATATGGAAATATTTTTCGTCATCATATCTTTGTTACAATTTCTGTACTCATAGCATGGTACTTTTCAATACTGACAATATTTATATTACCATTGGATGTTTCGTCGGTAAGTAAAACTTTAATAAAGTATGTAATGTTAATGGTTGTAAATATCTAATTAAAATGTTCAAAACATTTTCTATATATTAAGTTAATTGAAAGTTACTATTAATACATTAATACATTTTCTTATAGACTGTGTTCAGACAATGTGTTGAACAGAACATTCATAATGTCACGAAAGCAAGTTCTGATAGTACAACAACAATGTCATATCACACTTGCAAAGAACCTTGGCCTTACGTTCCAGAAAATGTATTTCCAAATTTATGGAGAATTGTGTATTGGACATCGCAATGTTTAACATGGCTAATATTGCCACTTATGCAGTCTTATATAAAAGCAGGCGATTTCACTGTTCAAGGAAAACTGAAATCTGCTTTGATTGACAATGCTATATATTATGGGAGTTATTTGTTTATATGTGGAATTCTTTTAATATATATTGCATTAAAACCTAGTTTAGATCTTGATGGGTCAGTATTTTATGCTAATGTGTTGAATGATAGAAAAATATTTTGTATATTTACATATATATTCGTCTCATAGTCAAAAGTTAAAGGCTATAGCATCATCTGCATCAAATACATGGGGTCTATTTTTGCTGGTATTACTTCTTGGATATGCACTTGTAGAAGTTCCTCGTGGTTTATGGAATGCTAGCAAACCTGGGTATACTTTAAATTATAGCTACTTTAAAGTAGCTAAATTAAGTTTAGATAAGTGTGAAGCAGAAGAAACAGTAGATGACATACTGGAGGTAATATTTCACACTAGTTGTGTACAATAATTTTCTATTTTCATTGCATTATTTATTTTATTGTTTAGTCTTTGCAAGCTGCTACAGTGTCTATTGGACCTGGACACCCATTTCATTGTAATTTAGAAACGATTTTTCAAAAAATTCCTGCAGAATTAAAAGACAGAATGAATAGAAGGCAGTTACCAGATGACACACCAACTGACACACCGTCCGAAAAATCTTTGATTCGTCTTCATAGACAAGTTGATTATTAATTGAAAATATCATATACGTTTAATGTAGAAATATGTACATAAATATTAATTTATTTATTCCTTCCTTAGACTATAAAATCACTGCAAACACTACAACGTATAGAAACACAGTGGGGAATTTTAGTTGATAAAATAATTGATTTAGAAGATATAGCAAAGAATCAAGTCAGCCATGATAGAAGATTCAAATCAACTTTTCCTATACATCGTTCATTTCCACTTTGTATTGTTTATAACCCAGTTATTGGTAAGCATTAAACGTTGATAATTGTAAAAGAATTTGTCTTTACTCAATGTTTGTGATTATTCTAAAACTTTTAGAATGGTATTGGAAATGTCTCCTGAAGAGTTACGTTCAAAAAATAACAGCTATTGTTGTTGGATGTCTTTCAGTAGCTGTTGTGTGGTCAGAAGTAACATTTTTTAATAAATCTCCAGTGCTGTCATTATTTGCTCAGTTCTTAAATCTAGCTAGGGAAAACTATGATTATTTTACAATCGAAGTGAGAACATATAATCAAATTTAATCATGTCAATACCCGAAAATTGTACAATAATATTATTTATTTCGAGAATTGAAATATTTTTTTTCAGTTACTGTCTACACTGATAATTGCGTACCTCTGTTACTGCGCTTATTCAACCGTTTTAAAAATTCGTGTTTTAAATTTATATTACCTGGCACCACATCATCAAACTAATGAGTATAGCTTAATATTCAGCGGTATGATGTTATGCCGTCTCACACCGCCTATGTGTTTGAACTTCTTGGGTCTCATTCATATGGACTCGCACATTATAAAAACTCACATATTAGAAACTCATTACACTCAAGTAAATACATTATGTTAATAAAGAATACTTGCTTAACATTATATGGTCGATATAATTCATACCATAATTTTATCTATTCAGGTAATGGGTCATATGGATGTTATTTCCATTATATCTGATGGATTTAACGTGTACTTTCCAATGGCTATTTTGGCATTTTGTCTAGCAACATACTTTAGCATAGGAAGTAGATTACTTTCTATGTTGGGTTTCCAACAATTTCTTGATGATGATGAATTTACAACAGATCTTGTTGAAGAAGGTCGGGAGTTAATAAAACGAGGTAAAATGGTGTTTGTGTAATTATTTTTGAAATTATTAGTATATTTGGCTTATACTGTTAACAAATGTAGCGGCGCTATCACTTCTGCACACATATATTTACGAATCGCTTTTAGAGAGGCGCAAACGGCAAAGGGCAGAAGATTCAATGTGCAGAAGGCGTGAACTTCAAGACAGATTTAGCAGTACTGTAAGTTCGTCTCGTTACCGAACATCTCGGCAAAGCACTGATACAGGCATGTAGTACTTATTTTATAGGATTAATATTAAGACTTACTCGAAGCATTCAAATTTTCGATTAATTAAATTATACGTATTAAAGTGCGCCCTTTGAAGCGGGATGAGTCAGTAGAATCCGCAAGAGCTGGCCTGTTACGTGATTTCGATCCTGCGGATTATTATATTGGTACAACATCCGGTGTTGATAGCTATGGTGCAAATAATAGTTATGATAGAAACTATCAGGCGGATGATTTTTATGAAGAACGTATGGACAGTGCAAGAGCATTTACTACAAATACAAACCGTGTAGGCCCTCCACCAAGAGGATTGTTCGACGATATTTAAATGCAAATTAATACATACTATTTAGTTTTATCCAGTAATATGGATTACTAAACAGGTACATTTATAGTTAACAATACTCACATTTAAACTATCTATCCTTGGTACATACTAGAATTTTTTAATGCAAAGGTTGTGAATATAATTAAATTCTATGTTAGAATAGTAAAAATTATGTAGTGTAGTGTTATCATTAATAGAGAATCAGTTTAAATATGCATTGAAAATGGGATTTAAAAAGTCTCAATTTTATGTACTTTTACAGCTTATTATCAAGTTATTTAACAAAATAATAATGGCATGCATGCATATACATAAAATTGTCACTAAAGGTTTTAAGAGTTAGATTAATTTTACTCATATTTCTATCTTCGACAAACTTTTATCATCAATATAATAATAATACATCAATTATCTATGAATTGAGAAATTGTAGAAATAGTTTTATTGATCTAATGTAAAGTGTTAAATTTCATATAATATTTGATATATTTTTAACAATGTATGCATAATATATATAAGTAAACATTACATATTGCTGTAGTGAAAGGAATTAAAAAGAAAATAATTATAATTATAATTTCAGTAAATTTTAAACATCTCTTGTTTCAATTACTTTTTTTTTATTTTGAACAACAGTATGTTTTGAATTCAATACATAATTTTTATGTATACATTTATAATGCACGTAAGTACAGCCAACTGTACATTACTTATGACATAATGAAGTAAGCTTAGGAGAAAGTTAATTTTAAGTATAAGGCTGGAAACAGTCGAGCGACTTTAGCCATTGCGACATCGCAGCGATTCTATGTTTTTCCTTGTTTTGCAATTGAAACAACGAACGCAGACAATATCGATATATAAGTGACTTCACGGTAATGATTAGAAAAATTTATATTTCTAAGTATGAAATGCAATAGCAATGTGCGATTCTGCTTCAATGTCGCAGCGAGCATTATGGGATCACAACGACTGCGACCCCGTAACGGGAAAAGTTGATATTGTCTGTCCTCGTTGTTTTAATTGCAAAACAAGAAAGAACATAGAATCGCCTGCAATGTCCCAATGGCAAAAGTCGCTCGTCTGTTTCCAAGCCTTACGTGCTCCTGCAGTGTATATCGTAACAAAATGAAAGTAACGTATTGATTTTTTTTTATATTTAGAACAATTAATTATATCATTATGTAGCCTTACATAAGGTAGTATTTATCATTCTTATCATAATATTGAAACATTCTATGATATTCAATAGAAAATTATCTATTACATGATTCTGTTTATATTTTAAGAATAAAATTATTTAACTAATTGTAATAGCAAATGCCAACAGGTATTTATCTTTGTTACGGACGTTAAACGTTCAGTGTTATTGTTTTAATGAAGTTTTAACTAATTGATATTTAATAACATTTATATTTATTAAATTCTACACATTCTCAGCAAAGTTTCAGATTCAAAGAGACTTTTATTTATCTCGATAACAATTAAATTTTATTGTAAATAGTGTACAAATATTCGTATTATATGACTCGACGCGTACAATAAAATTTATTTATTGTTATACGCCATTCATATGTTATCAGACATGGGGTAAAACGACGAGCTTAAAAATGGATGAAATCAATAATGTTTTTTTTTTTATTGTGCAAAATCAAATTATGTATATCAATTTTATTGCAAATTTTTCATACAGATATAGAAACAGTTATGAAAATATGTATTTAAAATATATCTGTAATATTAACAATATCTGCTAATAAATATTTAATGTATTAACAAATTGTAAGCATACAAATTTTAACAATCTTTTGTTTTATGTTAGATACAAAGTATATTTTCAAGATTGTATTCGTGTAATAACAGTTTTTTATAATTTGAAAAATGTATCAAGAATAAATATCGGACGTATGTTAATAAAACATGAAAATTTCACTGTATGTGAAACTTATGTTCCTTTGTTTTTACATTTTTGTGCTGTTAGTAAAATTGTAGGCATACAATTTAAAAAAAAATATCCTACATGATTATACTGAAACAAGAGCAAATCAATAAATCTTAAATAATATTAATAAACTGTAATTAATTATTAGAATCATAATATGCAGTATAGTAATTAGCAATGATATATCGAATTTATTATTTGAAATTTGTATGCGACAAATGCATGAAAAAATAACATACTTCATAAATATTTAATTAGAAGTAAAGAATTCATAAAATATTTAACAATTTATCTTTTACCAACTTTTTTAAAATAAATAACATTAGACTAAGTGTATATGATAGTATTCACTTAGTAATTGCCCAATATATATTCAATAGGATCCTTTAATTTAATAATTTTTTCAATTAATACCAATAAGTATTATTTGTATTTTAAATAATTTTTATAAACTAAGTAAAAGTGTTTCCCTCTAATTTCACATGACCATCATAATTCTCATGTAAAGTAAACTATATAAAATGTAACTGTTGCTAAAATGAAGAATGAAAGAGTATAAGCGATCACTATTTTTATTATTTTTACGTGCTCTGATTGCGAGATACGGTTTTTTCCGTGTCTGTACCTAGGACTCGTTAATTCTGGCATTAATAGTAATGGTTCCAACAATAATAAACTGGACCGATTTGCACGGTGTTCGATCACGTCATCTTGTTTCAGACTGTGAGATCGAAAAACATCATTACGGTAATTCATCCAATTCTGCAAATCGGTGTTATATCCAATGTGTTTTATAGTGTTCAGAATATTATTATGATTTATATGAAATGTCATGGGTGTAATGCCATTATCAGATATTCTTTTATAGAAATTACTTGCACAGCGATGATACAATTCTGTGTTCACACTGCCCTTCACATCGCCGTTTATGAGAATAATATTTGGTTTTAATGCCGTTTTCAGATCAAAAATATCTTGCAGTTGACCATAAAAATAGAATATGCTGGAGGCATTAGTTTTCAAGTAATTATAAACTATCAAGCAATGTTGATTGTTATCGTACTGCGAAAATAATGTGCTGCCATGTTTACCATTTTTTGAACAGTATTTAAAGCACACAGTATCATTTTGTTGAAACTGATGAGCTTCCCTGGCATACAAAACTTTTTTCCCGTGTATTAAAAGGTCAGAGTATATTGGACTGTCTTTTAAACTGGCGCATTGTTTACAAATTTTTTGTCGTGGAAGAAAAAGTGTATTTATTAAAGTCTTTGCTGTAGTTGGACTATACTTTTCATAATAATCCATAATATCACATTCAAGTGCATTGACTTCTTCATAAACGTGATCCACTTTTGATGAGTATTTTATATTTGTGTTATAGTCTGCATGTTTCTTTATGAGTATATTGTTTTTATCGATCAGTTCGTTCTTAAACTTATCCAACGGTTTATTTACGTATTTTAAAGATAATGTTGATTTGTGAGGTTCGTTTTCTAATATCGTTGAAAATTCTATAGTATTCGATGAGGTTTCAATCGCTTCTGCATTAGTAACAAAAGTAGAAGATACGTATTCATGTTTGACGTCTGATTCACTTGGAATTTCTTCGGGTTCCTGAATTGAAAAAGAGCTATCGTTTGTAGAACTCACATTAACGGTTCCAAACTTGCACGATGGCATGCTTGACTTGCCTATGTGCGAAATACCATATGCGTGTGTTTCCGTGCGTTGTTTCTCTATAATTGTGTTAGAGAGGTGCAATTTATCATCGTGTTCTTTATGTCTAATTCTATGTTCTTTCTCTAATTGCAAACGTTCTAAGTGTAATTGGCGGTGGTGAACACACGCAAAATTATATCAATTCGTTCTTTCAATTTCTTCAGATCGAAACTCCCGTTTAATCTTGTCCAAGTCGTAAAGAACCTGAAATTAAAAATATAAAAACGCACAATAGAAATATTCAGTCCTAAATCCTCTGACAAATATTTGCAGTACAAATAGAAACCTCTAGTATAGAAGAAGCACTCCAAGCTTGAGTTCTGCAGCTATCCTTACAAAATTGTCCATCATTATTAGTAAGTTCAGGAAGACCTCTCCAATAATTTGTTGACGCCTCTATAAAATGTCGAGAAATGATAGTTTCGATTGATTCGACCGTACGACGTAATTCTTCTTTTCCTCCGACTAATGGAGCAAAATATAATTGAGCTCGAAGGAAATAACCCACGGGCCAAACCCATTCCTGTAAAATACAATAAATTATATTACTTTTATTTCGGAGCATTTTATAATGAAATATATTTTTAACGCAATTATTTACAGGTCCTTGATGATAATTCCAACCATGAGCTAATTTAGTATCTCCACTGTCGTTAGAATTATCATAATATCCATTATATGCCCAATCAGCAGGATCTAATGTTTTCATTCCAAGCGGTCCTAACAAAATTTCTTCTGCTTTTTTCAGCGCTGTCCATGCATGTTGCGGATTAAATAACTCCGGAGCCTTTACAAATATTCATATCTTAACATCGTGTGGTTAATGTCTTTGTTATATTTTATTCAGAGATAAACTATGAGAATGAAATACTTACAACCACCATTGCAACAGGGAAATTTGACCGTAGTTGATAATCAGCCCATGCTTGTGTTGCTCCATGGCTATCTTTAAAAATTCCACGACGATGAATAAGTTCTGGTTTCAGCTCTCCCTCTGTTGGTGTTTCATTAATATAGAAGTACTTTTCAAAGTTCAGTGAAATCTTATCTGCCCACTGTTTATAACTCCATGTTACCACAGATCCTGTAATAAAGTAAAACCACATAATGGCACAATGGAATAGAAGTAAAACTAAACCTGAAGCTTATCTTACCATCGCGGTTTTTTCTCTGTACACTGCCATAAGGGAAAAGGTTTTGCTTATACAGTTCAGCTAAGAAACTAAGGATACTCTTATTGAGCCCCACTATTTCAACAGCTGAACCATCTCTTGGAGTAGCAGGTTTCCCTTTGTTACCAGCTTTCTCAGAAGATCCCATTTTGTCCATCCATGTACCACAGTTCGCATCATTTCCGCCAAACACAAATCCAGTATCTGGATGTACTCCAATTTGATTATTGAAGCCACGGTCTGTCATGTGTTCATCAATTTGTCTCCCAGCGTTTCTTTCTCTAAAGCAAAGCCCTTGAAAATGTACCAAGAGAGCTTCTTGAATGACATCGTGTAGCGGTTGTTCCTGAAAATACATTGAAAAATATGGTACATTCGATATAAACATTTATTAATTTGTTTACAATAAATTATTTTTACGTACTACTTGACCAGCAGGCAATGGTGGAGAATCATCAGTCGGAAATAGTCTTGAGACTTTATCTGTTAAAATTTTCAAACCATTTGGCACTTCTTGTATATAACATTGTATTGTGTACAGCCACCACCACAAAGCATCTCGACAATTATATCTGAGAAGTATTGAAGACGTTACTTAGAAAATATAAAAATAATCATAAATTATTAAATGTGAAAGTTTATTTTTTACCTAGCGTTTTTTCCTTTGTCCAGTAGATTAGGAATGAGACCATGTCGTAAAGTTCCTGCATAACCAAGAATAATGAATCGTGCTTCACTATATCTGCCTGTTAATATAAGTAATCCTCTTAAAGCAATAAATGTGTCTCTTCCCCAATTTCTCATATAACCTGTTACAAAATGTGGCAAACCGGCAGATAATGTCATGCACATTTGTTCGCTTTCACCATTATATTGTTTAACTGTTGGTTTAGGAGAATCTAAATTTGGAGATAAATCCGGTAATGGAGCTGATCTTACAACGCCTCCAACTTGTATTGAAACTAAAGATAAAAGTTTTACGTAGGTAGAACCATCTTTCACGAAGCTAAAAGAACATAATAAATTAGTAAGAATAAATATAAAAACATAAAAATGTATCATTTGATTAAATACCTTGATGTTAAACTATAACATTGCTCAAGAAGAGTCATATAAACATTCACGATTATAACGTCGAAATAGCTGGGTACTAAATAGCGAGGTATTAGTTTAAATGGCTCTGTTGCTTCTTCAAGCCATATTCCAAGATCTTTAGTTCCGTCGTCTTCTTTTAAACGTTGCCATGTGTAGTCTGTATGTTATTTTTTTTTTAAATATCATATCTGATTAATTATACGTTACACGACAACACACAATACGTTGGCTGTAGTATACTTACCAATCAACCAATTACCCTGTCTGAGATTAATGCACAGCGGATGGCCTAAATCATTATTTGGACGAATATCCGCCAACAAAGAAATAACACCTGAAAATTAAAAAATATTTCCTTGTTATTGCATACAGGAGTAAGTGGAGAAAATGGATGTATAATTTACCTTGCAATCCTGCGTAAACAAGGGGGCCGTATCCAGGAATGTCATATACGCCAAACTTATTTGAGGTTTCATCGCGCTCTTCTTGATCGCATCTATACAAAGCTTTGTTTAGATCTACCAAATCCATACGAGAAGCAATAACACGTAAATCTGAACTTTTCGACGATGTTACTAGCGAAATAGTATTATGAAGTTTTGCAAGAGCAGGCTTTATGTTAGCGTGCAGCGACACCCTAAAATTCAATGTATCAGTATTTGTGTTTCGTGTTAATTTCTATAAAAATAATGTAGGTAAATATTACCGTATAGCAATAATAGAACCAGGTTGAAAGTTTACAAAATTCAGTTGAGTTATTTTAGGATCTCCGGAATCAACTTTTTCCAAAATATCTGAGTCACAAATCTGTATATGTTCTTTGAGATTTAAAGTATACTCCGAGAAACCATTTATATAATTTTCATCTCGCGCGTATTTTTCAGGGTAGTGGAAAGGTGAAGTGCCATTCCTAAAATCACCATGACATCAAAATGAGTTTTAAATATATAATAACAAGGATTCAAATGCTCTTACTTTACTCCCACGTAAGACAATGATGCTTCTAAAATAATTTCTTCCACTACTCCTTCTACTCGCAATGGTTTTACGTGTCTTCTTAAATCGTTAGCATTAGAATCTGGATGCTTGAAAGCTGTAAAAGCGACTAAAACTACGCTATCATGACTCGTTGGAGAATGTCTTGTTACAGCTACAACATCGCTGTCTATTTGGTCAACGAAAACCTGTAATTTCAACGATTACGATTTAAATAATTTGTTTAAAATAAATAATTTGTGTAAAACGCATATTATAATAATGTACCTGCGAAAAGTTCTGTTGTCCGAGAGTATAATGCAGATTATTTAATGCTTTTTTCCCTGCAATTATACCAGTCTTTAGACCTACGAGTCCAATACCACCTGCCAAACATTCATCATCTGTCCAGGAAGCATATTGTCTTGTTTCATCTACTACATGTATCTGTAAACATTAACAAAAATTTCCTTAATGAACATTCATCGGTTACTAAATTGCTTCAGTTATTGGAGCCCACTAATGACTAATACTTTAAATAAAAATATAATGCATGTAGTGGAACTTACATGATGAGGAACTAATTCATCGTATCCTCTGTTGCTGCCACTAGCACATGCTGCCATTGATACGAGTGCTGCGCTTGGCAGTAAATCAAACGTACTGCGTTTTTCCATTGGACTTGGATTGTCATGAGTTAGATCTAAGAAGAGGGCATGTGCTATGCCAGGTACCAAAGGCCGTTTACGTGGTTGTAAAAACGCTCCAACCGGTTCACCTCCATATCTATACACCAATCGACCTTCTTCATGACTGTCCCAAGCAGACATGGCTTCTGTTGTGCATAATGAAATGAAACATTTAGTAATAATTTACATTCGTTTCTGAAGTCTTGCAACATAAGGTATATCTACATACCTCGAATTAAAGAAGTGATACCAAGTCGATTAACAAATATATTGTCCTTTTGGTCAGAATTAGTAAATAATTCTGCAACGACGTATAGATTTGGACGGATCCGTCGAGCAATATCAAGCAGATACTGAAAAATTGTGAAATGCATTTAAGTAAATTTAAACTTATATATACAGTTTTTAAGAGTTTTACAAATTAAATGGTACCTCTGCAACTGGAATAGGTGTTGAATGGCAATTATCTAAACGAATACCGTCAAATATTTTAGCCGTCTGTTCAATGTAAGTAGTCATGTGTTGCCATAAAAAGGGACAATCTTCTGGTTTATCTCCGTATCTATAATAAATGCAATGCAATTATCTTACAACATAATAATAATAATTTTCCTAGAGCAGTTGTATTACCTTAACTTGACACTGTCACCCCACGCAATAAGTTCTCTTCTTATATAGATGTTAGAATCGGAATCAGCAAAATTTTTCAAAGGATCACCATTCATCACCCACCCATTATGAGCCATAAGATAACATCCTGCATCTGAGTACATTGTTGCTTCTCTTTCGGTTAATGTTTGAGGCGCTCCATAGTCAGTAAAATATCTAAATAAAATCACGATAATAATGTAGTGTACTTTAAAATAAGTTATGCCCGTATGGTACAATGATATTGAATGTTTCTAGAAAAGACATACCTAGGAACAAGCGGATTTCTTTCACTTATTTCTTTAACTCTTGGCCCATCCGGTTGTACTCTAAAATATCTTATACCAGCAATTGTATTTTCAACTGCAGCATTCAGATTATTTTGTACTTCATTAATGATAACATCATTAAGTTCTTGTAATTTCTTTCTTAAATCTTCTGCACAACGCTTTAAACGAGTTTCTTCGTCAAAACAGTCAGCTCTGTAATAATAAATGTTACAAGCAATAATGAAACAAAAATAGTAAACAAACAAAAACAATTATACATTAATATCTTATTTATACCATGATTGTAACACAATTTACCTATATATATTATATTTTTGTAGCGAAAGTTGCATATTTATAGTTGCTTTTAGCCTGCGGAATTTAGGGTCTTGTATCACTTTAATGTCTTTCAATATTGGCTCAATAATATCCTGAGGCATTTGATTTCGTGCTGAATTCAAGAATTCAGCAATAGTTTCATTAATGTCTAATATATATAATTCGTGTATTTTTACAAGCGGTAGAAAATATGTATGAAGTGCATGTCGAATTGACTGTAAACATAAAAATTCATTGTTATTATCATTAAATATCACTAAATACTGTATAATGAATTTGTTTTACATTTAAATGTTCTTCAGTTTCAACGACTGATGGAATACCCTTAAATTCCCATTCTCCAGCTGCTACTTGTACTGTTAATTCAAATAATGCAGCATCCAAAATATATGCAGGACGCAAATGAGGACTATTCAAACAATTGTATGTACATTCCGGGTGAGACACTAAGAAAGGACTCTCATTAGCTGTATGATTTAAAACAATGTCACATATACTCAACACCTGTAACATACAATGTTTAAAATAAAATATTACAAGCTCAAAATTTAATTATACAAATTTATATTACTTACATTCCATTCATTACGCATTTTAGTAACAAGTTCTTCAACATCATTGAATGTAACTGGTTTATCATCATCATTAAAGGAAGGATTTAATTTTAATTGATCGCTAAGGCTATAAGATGATTTAGAATATCCCAATTCCTAAAATATTATGCATTAAATATAACAGTATACATATTATCTGAACATAAAAATATGTAATCCTTTAATATAACATATAAATATATTACCTGAATTGGTGTGAAATGAATTACATTATAACCAGAATTTCGACCTACTAACAGCTTATTTTCCCAGGTGGAGAAAGGTCCTAAACATTTTGCCAAAACGGTTTGACATTGAATACAATCTAATGGCAGGTTTTCTCCATTTTCTCCTACTTTAAGTTCCGGATCCACTAACAGATATCCAGAAGCAATGGGTTTTACACCTTCGGCACTAAAAAATTTAAAAATTATTAGAAATATCATATTAGTGTTTTTTGTACAATAATACTTACTTAGGATCTGTAAGATAATAATGGAATGAACCAGCCAAAGACAAACATATGCTGGCTGTCTCATTTAACCATTCTAATGAATAGTACGTGTATCTTTCAAATTGTTGAGTTCCACCTAAAGGATGATTTATGAAAAGATCAAGGGTCCTCCCAAGAAGAGAAGCACCTAATCGAAATTCCACTCTCCATCCTGATAAAAATTACATTAATCTATGAAATTATTTTAACTTATTTGCACAAGAATTGTAAATAAAATAAATCTGTTACATACCTTTTTTTAATCTATACAATACACCATCAAGATGTTCACCATTATTTAAAGTTAAGACTCTTATTTGTTCAGAGTCATTACTTTGAGTTGATGACACCTGTTCTGTCATATTCTCGACTAGTGCCTAAAGATACAAATAAATAGTTTACAACATCTATATTAATTATTTTATAAATGTATTAAAACATTATTTTAAGATTGTAAATTGTGTTCCATCAATCTTAGATAAATTGATATTGATACGTGGAAAAAATTTTTATATTATTTTATTAATATTTTCCATAATTTCTCAACACTTATCTTGTAATACAGTATATTATGTCACTAATTTTATGAACAACACAACACAAGATTTTTTATAACTGTATATATATTAAACAATAGAACGAAGTTGAAACAAGAAAATTTAACAAATAAGGAAATATTATGACTGTTAAGTTAAAGAAAAAAAGTTTTAAATTAATGCACAACATATATTATGTGTATCCATGATACTTTTATAAGACAAATTACTTCTGTGGAGATTAGTACTTACACGTGAAATGTGGTAAATGGATTAATACTTAGCGCACAAGTCCCTTAATATAAGTTACTAGCACAAAGCAGCTAGCAAGCGTACAAAAAGCATATTATATTACAAAGTTACGCTGTATGAACATATATAATACCTAGAGCTATTCTCATTCTACATGCTTGGATTATCTCTTTGTAACAGTATAGGCAGAAGCAACTTGCTAACATATAATACTAATTGTATATTTCTTGCTATTATTTTTTATCTACCCATTACTAAATTTAATTCTAACAAAGTTGACAAACAAGTTATTAATTTGAATACATCACCACTATCCCAATATTAAAGTATTAGCCTGGAAATATGAAATTTTAATTTTCTAGATTCACACTTTCATTTCACAGAATCTTTGATATATTTAGTATTAAGTAAAATATATATTTAAATATGTACTTGTGATATCCTCGAATTCTAAAAGATCTTCCTCCACTAAATTATCACAGTTAAACTAGCCAAATGTTATAAAGACAATGCATTATCAATAATGCATTAGATAATTAAATGAACTATGGTACTCTTATCACTCACAACAAAAGATATAAATACACAGGGTTATTAGAATGTATCATAGTACCTATTTAAACTTACATAATAACAAAGACATTTTAAGTAGTGGCATTTGTAAAGACATTGAAGAATGCTCCTAAACTTCCTTAATAGTGCCTTTGCTGCATTTCGAAAAAAATTATTTATTGCAAGTACTGAATCCATTCTTAACACAAATAAATCATATAGCTGAAATTGCTTGTTACTAAGAGAAATGAAGTCTTTAAGTTAATTTTATATTATCACATCTGTTATCACAGTATTTTTTTCTTTTACTTAAGCAAAGGCCATTTTATCTGTTACCTACAACAAACAAAAAGGAAAGCCATTTAATTACAAAAAAACGTTATAAATTACTTTTAATAAATTCTCTTATATTAAAACAAGATGATGTATTAAAAAACTGTTTTATTTAACTACTTTGATACACATAATATATACAAAGATATAAAGTTTTTATATTCAAATGAAAAAATTACTATTTACTGTTACTGCTTGTACTTTCTATGGGATTCTGAAAAAGACATTTTTATAGATATTTGTGTGCAAAATGAGATTTAATCTGGATCGCCAGTTATTTGGATGCAAGTATTCAAACAAAAATGTACATTTTTTATAAAAGCCATAAGAATGACAAATAGTTATGTTGAAAGCTGCTATAACATAGCTATGATTGTTAGAAATTCAAATATATATTAATATAAAATTGGTTTGTAACAATACATTGTAAATGTATTTAATGGGGTTAATAAATCCAAACAAAATCTTAGTTTACACTTTCCTTTGTATAAATGTGGCATGCAATTTATAAAAGTAACAACTGCTTAGAAAACACATATTACACTTTTCTCCTGAAGATATCCTATTGTATCTTTCATTTTTCATACCTGACTATACTGCTAACGTAAACTTTTCGAAACGAAAGTTTTTATGCTCCCATTTGAAAATAACAGGAGAAAAATGTAAATAAAATAACATTAATTTAAATACAGAATCTGATGTATTTCTTTGTAGGCAAAAGTTTAATGTAATTCACTGTACAATTTTTTTATTTTATAATAAATTAAGAGTAACGCGTTTTGTTCAAATTGACCTCTACTTCACGTAGAGAAACTTTGAAGGTCGTAAAAATACAAACATGGTTCAAGCTAAAGGGACGACGGAAGAAGCAGACGACAGGTTGTAGTTTACAACAAATTCGGACTCATTGATTGGATGTTGAAATACGGCAACTTCGTGTTCAATCTTTAAATAGGAATCCTTTTCTTTTTCAAAAAGTTCATTTTAAATACCAGTGGTTTAATGACACTTTGGTTTAATGATGGTTTAATGATACTTTGATTTTCACTTATAAATTTATTTATGCAAACAACTTAACACAAATATGCTATTCGAATAACAAGTAATAAATAAAGGTTATTTTATTTGAAAATCTGATACATACTACAGAAACGAAATATTATTTCATTCGTTCTAAATGTCTAAAATAGTATTCAGAGATACTATATAATGAATCTATTAAAATAAATTCTAATTCATTTTACACAGCTCTGATTATTCGTTTTCATGTATATCTCTTAAGATTACGTACTATACAATATTTGGCTATATACATGTGTATGTGTATTTATATGTTCGGTCTAACGATATACCTACTTACATATCGTACACCCACATATACATATAATTAATTTTATAAATTAAAGCTGTCGCATATAATGAGCGTAATCTAAAGTTAAAAATAAATTGAATACTTGTAATAATTGATTCTTAAAAATCAATCTAAATTTAAGCATTTTCGCTATTGCGAAAATAATTCAAAATAGAACATTCACGAGGAATGTGAGATACGTATAATTATAAGGAGTATGTGTCATCGATCATTTTTTGAATCGTATAATTAAATGTACATATGTAGATATATGCAATATGATTAATTAGAAAACGGTGGATATTTCGTGTCATTCCGCATTCGCTGTCATTCGCTTTCTCTTTCGCACCTTATCTCAAAATGGCAGCCACTACGAAAGAACTGAGTAAGTAATCCCGAAAAAAAATCAATTAATTTTGTTTAAATATGTTTTTTTTTGGTAGCGACACAAGCTATATCATTAATTATGTTCTCGACTGCCCGATGGAAGTGTTATTGCTAAAGATTACAACAGCTTTAAAGATATCATAGCTCAATAAAGAAAGTCAGTTGTCATGCCGTGTTGCAGAATGCAACTTCAAGTATATCAGTCCCTTTTTCTTGCGGTTCGCATTTAAATTTTCATTTCATTTTGTAATTCTTTTCTTACCTTTATGTAGTTTTTTTTATTTTATTTCCAGCACACGTACGCATCTATCAAATAAATAATACCGTATACACTTCATTTCCCTTTTATCATTTAAACACTTATAATGTTTTAATATTTACGGTATTGTTTAAGGATTAATTTTTGTCAATTGCAAAAGCAAATTACAATCTTTATGTCATTTCCAGTGACATCAAAGTTTTGAATACAAACTATGGTTATTAATACTATAGTTGTAAGTAATTGATTATTAGGTATTATAAGTTTTTTTTCTTCAATACTTAGATAAAACACTTCAACTAGGGTTGGTTAAAATCAATATTATTTAATATCTATAAACAAATTCATATACAGATGAATGAATTGTCATATATGTATTTATTGTTTCATGAAAGTCTTGCTGGAGCTAGTGTTTCTCAGATTAGGATCTGCAGAGACTGATGAACAATTACAGACATCAGTCTGCAAATTTTTGCCTCCAGTATTGCTCAAGTTATCTAGCTCACAAGAGGGTGTCAGAAAAAGAGTAATGGAGTTATTAATCCATATAAATAGAAGAGTAAAGAGCAGACCTCAAGTTCAGTTACCAGTTGAGGCGCTTCTGCTACAATATCAAGACCCAGCCGCCAGTTCATTTGTAATTGTACGTTACTACTAAAATTTATTAATCTGAATAATTTTCAACAGAACATAAAAATTAATTGTTTGATTATATGTTTACAGAATTTTACAATAATATATATAAAACTAGGATACCCTAGGATGGAAATGCACGAGCAAGTTAAGTTAGTCCCAAGTGTACTAAATGCTATTGAAGGAAAACCATTGTCTCATCAAGATAGGTTTGTTATTAACTAGTTAAATTGTTAACTATCATTTAAACATTGGTATCGAGACAAGTAAATACATATAAAGAATTATTTCAGCTTGATGCTTATGATTATGCCTGTGTTGGGACATTTTAATGTCCCTATGGATCCGAATAAACAGGCTTCTCTTCTTGGTCTGCAAGATAAACCTTATGTAGCAAAACAGTTACTTAAGTTTATGCTCGATGTATTATTATTACCTTATGAGTAAGATTATTTATTATATAGATTGCATTTCAATAATTTCGATAATTTTTATTGTTATCAGTTATTTTGTTCGATTTATGTAAATGTAATTATTCCAATTTAATACTACAGAAAATTCTTACTATAGATATGTAGGACAAATGTCAAATCAACAACCAGGTCAACCAATTGATTGGTCACAATTTCCTGTGCCACCAGGATTAAGTGAATATGCATTTAAGCGAGTGATCGGCGAAAATCCGCCAACAGTAGAACAGCTCGAACAAATAAAGCTGGGAATTGTTAAATTTCTTGCTGCTGGATTCTTTCCTGATTCAGATATTCTCATACATGTGATAGTAGCAGATGCAGATACTAGATTTCGTGTTGCTATTACAGGAGAGTTGACATTGAAAATGATTGTTAAGTATGTTTTAAAATGTATTTGTATAATAATTGTTTTAGTAGGAGCTATTAAATATTCTGAAGTTTTTTCTTGGTAAATCTAGTACATTAGACTGGTCCTCGATGCAGTTAGCTGTGCCGCTTTATACATTATTTTTGGGTACCGATGCTTTAGCCGCACAAAAAGAAGTCAAACCGGAAATAAAACGACAACCTGCAAGTACCCGAATTCGTCTTAAACTGTTGCATCATCTTTGTCATGTAACTAAAGCTGGTTTTATTATACCGCCGTGTATTCAGGTATGTTATGCGAAATTATATTATATTTTATGATATTTAATATCATTTAATTTATAGGTAGTTTTCGATTCACTTTATGGAAAAAATACCAACACAAAATTAAAATCAATGGCATTGCAATTTGCAGCAAATATTGTACAGCAGTGAGTTTAATGTATCATAATTATTTTGTTGGTCAATTCAGATGTTAGTACATTTCAAAGATGCTGTTTATGTGCATGTTGTAATATACTTAATACTTTAAGGTGTAGCCTTACACCACTAACTCGTGTGGGTGGAGTTATATTAGATGGTATGATAAAATTGATTTCTGAGGGAGCCGATTTTCGTCACATAATAATGGCATGTACTGTTGTTAAGTTATTGGTACAAAGAATTCCGTCATTGATCAACAAAGCTTCTAATTTATTACGTAAATCATTTGATACACTTGTGTCGGTAAGTAATTAATAATAAAATGAACGAAGTGGAGGAGGCGTGTATACATATATGCTATTAAAATTTTTTATTTTGAGCCGATTTTGTTATGGCGTTTAAGATGGAGGGTGATTTTCAAAGAGAAATGCGGGACGCGCTGATTTCCGTAACGTCTGCATTTGTACTTAATAAAGACGATGAAGCTAATATAGCCTTAGTGAATGATTTATTGGCCACTTACATTGAATCACCAGAATTTAATGTCAGGTATGCATATATTGATTACATGAATTGTACACGCATTCAAAAGTAGTATATTTTGTATTTCATATATAAGGTACTTTTTTTGAGAACAGATACGTGGCTATGCATTATGCTGCAAACATATTTCCTTCTGAAGATGCACCTTCTCGTTATCTTTTGTTGTTAGCATGCGGAGATGATAAAGATGAAATACGCACTGAAGCTATGAATGCTTTGTACAGTGTTATGCATACAAACGAGAGCAGTAAACAGGATGGTAATCAAATTTTGTTACCAGATTTTCAAAAACTTGTTATTTACATTTATTCAAAGATGCAGACGAGAATGCCCACTTCTAATAGTGGAAAAGTGAATGTTGAAAGTAAAGTACTTCCTTATAGTGTCCCTATTCTGACTCAGGTAATTAATTAAATGCAGAAATAATTTATTCTGAATATGTCACATTTTCCTTTTTTTGAACGAAAAAAAAAAAAAGATAATAATTTGTTCTGTTATAGATGATTACTTATCTTCGTCTTTGTTTAGCAAAAAGTGCTAATGTTACTGTATATAATGAATCGTTACAGCATCCTGACGAAAGTACACCGTTAATTGCACGTTATTTAGAAAATCTGTACAAAGATCAACCAGAAACATTAAATAATTATCTAGATATGATTTTAATTCTTAATCATGCGTCTGCAGGTAAAATTATTAATTATAATTACAGATATTAATTATAACTTCTTAAAGGTAGCGAACGTTATATTATGATGTATTTTACTTAATATAGATCAGTCATCTCTACAAGCTTTATTGGAAGTGATTGGTTCTGTTCCACAATATGTAACAAAAATTTATGAGAAAGAACTGTCATGGCTTCATACTTTACTTGTATCTACCAAGTCAAATGTAAGACAATTAGCTGCTAAAATTTATGGTATAATAACTGCTCAGCTTCCCATAAACGACTTTGAGACTCAAATTTCCGAAATTATGAACATTATGAATAAGAAGAATTTGGAAGCACAACATGGAGCATTATTGACCTTAACATACATGATGGAGAGGAGAATTATTTCTAGCAAAACTGATACAAATAATGCTGTATTTAATTTAGATATTTATGTTAATGTTGTGAAAATGATATGTATGTATATATGTTTCTGTACAACTGCGTAAAATCTTTTCATATTTTATTTGGAAAATGTTTCTTTTAGATACTCACCTTCGCGACGGTACAATTCTGTTGATGGATGCTGCAATTCAAAGTATTGGTATTTTGGGAAAAACATATGGTTTACCATTACCCGATGGAGGCGAAGATGAACCAAATAAGAAGGCAATTGTAGAAATACTATTTTCTCTATCTAATAATGTAAAATTAAACACTAAGGTTCGTTTTTGAATTATTGTCAATTGTGTTATATGAATTATTATGCTTGATATTTTGTGTATATTAATCTTCATAGATAAAAGAAAAAGCCATTCTCTCGTTAGGATATTTGTGCATAGGAGAAGATTTTCCGCATACTACAGAAATAATAAATAAAATAATTAGTATGGTTAAAGAGGTAATGTAGTTATTGACATTTATATTATTAAAACTTTAATGGGTAAACAAACTTTGAACTTAGTTTTATACATTTTATAGACAAAAGACATTGAAATGCACTTAGTTATGGGAGAAGCATTGGTTTGTTGTGTTCAAGGTCAAGCATCTCCAGAGCATGAAGTACATTATAGTAACACCAGCAATGAACTTTTAATACGTACATTGGATGAATTACTTAGAATACATAAAGATCCACATCCTAATTTAAGACAGGTATTCATTTAGTAGTATTTATGAAGTTACAGTGTCATCGTTTTCTTTATTATAAATATTTCTTTTTAACAGGCGGTCTGTGTATGGTTATTAGCGCTTATAAAATATAATATCCGGAGAGAATGTATTAAAGAGAGGTTTTCGTTATTGCACAGAGCATTCATGGATTTTCTTTCAGATGACAGTGGTTAGTAGTACTTTATCTTTGTTTTCAGAAGAAAAAGATTATAAAATTCTTTATTATTAAAGCGTGTTATTTAAATTGTAGAGATAGTGCAGGACATAGCTGCAAAAGGCCTTAGTTTGATACATATTAATAGTACGAAAGAAGAAAAAGAATTTTTAATTTCTAGTATATTAGAGCAATTTACAAAAGGACATAAAGCTGTGAAACAAGTTACACCTGATACAAAATTATTTGAGGAAGGTCAACTGGGAAAATCTCCAACAAAGTATGATATATACATATAATTTTATAGTATGGCACGTTTTGAATCTAATATTATTAGTTCAATTGTATAAATAGTATTTTGTTTGCAGTGGGAATTTATCAACGTATAAAGAAATTTGTTCACTGGCTACAGAATTACAAAAGCCAGATTTAATATATTATTTCATGCACATAGCAAATCATAATGCAGTATGGACGTCTAAGAAAGGCGCTGCATTTGGATTTGCAGAGATTGCTAAAGTAGCAAATGATGAATTAAATAAGTATTTGCCCAGTATAATTCCATGCTTATACAGATATCAGTTCGATCCCACGCCCAAAATTCAACAGAGTATGTCTAGTATTTGGCGTTCAATTGTTCCGTCAACGAGTAAAGCTGTAAGTAATAATAGTTATATAGTAGATACAGTAAGATCCCCAGTTACAAAATGGGCACTTACAATTATGTTTTTTACCTCGATAGATCGAACAATATCATAAAGAAATATTGAATGATATAACTGGCAATTTAGAGAATCACGAATGGAGAGTGCGTATCAGTTGTTGTAATGCGCTTGCAGATTTATTAAGAGCAAACGTTCGTTTTAATCTAGCAGAATGTGCGCCTGAATTATGGAAAAAACTGTTTCGAGTAATGGACGACATTCATGAGGGTACCCGATTAGCAGCCGCGAATACAACTGAAATACTTAGTAAAGTAAGTTTTGCAAATCGAGTTTTATGGAAAAGTATAAGATTAGTATTACTTTAATTGTATTTCGTTACATTGCTGACATTTTGTATTAATTTATTAATATAGGTTTGTGTTCGATATTCCGATGCTTCTTACGGTAAAGAGGGAGAAGAACTTATACAAGCAATACTACCAGTATTATTAGATATTGGAATTATTCATGTTGTGAGTACTGTAAGGTCAGTGTCTCTGCAAACAGTGTCGCAATTAGTTTCGAGAGCTGGTAGTTTGCTTAAACGGTCTCTAGTCATTTTAATTCCTGCTCTTTTGACTACGACTGGAGAATCGGAAAATCCTAATGTTTCGTATTTATGTAACTTATACGCAGCAAAATCAGGGACACGGGAAACTATTGATAATATTAGAGCTGCTGCTGCTAAAGAGCATTATGCTATTGATACAATAACGAAAGTGAGTTGTAATGCAAAATCTTTCAACCGAATAAGAACTTATACTTTATTAATACTTTGTATTTATTTTAACACAGTGCATACAATATATTGACACAGAGGTTTTAAAGGAATTAATGCCAAAAGTGATTGAACTAATTAAAACTAGTGTGGGATTTGGAACAAAAATTGCTTGTTCGCATTTTATAATTTGTCTAAGCGCTCACTTTAAACAAGAATTGCAACCTCATACTAGTAAGTAAAAGATTATAACATACGCTTACTTTAAAAAAAACTGTAACTGTGTTCTATTCATTGTTCGTAAAGGTAAACTGTTATCGGCTTTAATGAACGGTCTATCGGATCGTAATTCTATTGTTACAAAAAATTATGCGACCGCCATTGGACATATAGTTGGATCAGCAAAAGAATCAAGTCTTAATAAATTATTTAAAACGCTCAACACGTGGTATTTAGAACGAGGTTTGTGACAATTTTTAAAAATTATGCATACGTGGATATTTGCAAACGAAGAGTATCATTATCTTATTTAACTTTAAATTCTAGATGATACAAGTAGATTAGTAATTGGACAAACACTGCAAACCATAAACAATTATAATCAGGAGATATTACAAAATTATTCAGATATTGTTATACCCCTTACATTTTTTGCAATGCATATGCCCAAAACGCAAGGTTCGTAGCATGGTCTTACAATTTGATTTATGAATAATTTATTATTACATTAACTTCTGACATTTTAATAGAGAATGAAAATATGGTTAATTTATGGATTCATTTATGGAACGAGATAACTCCGGGTACTGAAAGCGGAGTCAGGCGAAACATAGAAACAATAACAGACCTTTTACGTTCATCTCTGGAATCGTCATCGTGGAATGCAAAATCCCAAGCAGCAAATGCAGTTCATACTTTAGCTGAGAAATTAGGCAGCGATATTGACCCATCTGTGAGGAATACATTGTTAAAAGTGTTAACGGACGGCTTACGTGGAAGGACTTGGGATGGAAAGGACCGACTATTAGATGCGCTTGCTACGTTAACATGCAATAGCAAGTATGCATGTAAAAATATGTTCTGTTTTAATGATCATATATAAATACGATTTATTGTACTATAATGAATAGTGACAAGAATGTCGTGTTTGCGTCGTTCAGTTTTGGAAATACGATGTTTTGATTGTAGACAAGCTCTCAAAGAGGACCCTGAAACATCTACAGTTATAGTACAGGTGTTACTTAGAGAAAGTAAGAAAGAAGCTTTAGAATACCGTCGTTACGCATTACAAGTATTTGGTATGGTCTTGCACGAATTGGATATTGATCAATTTAAAGAGATATACGATATGGCTGAAGAAATTTGGACAACGGTATGTACTATCGTTAAACATAATATGATCAAATATTTTCCAGCATTATTACATAAGCATTGTATGGTGTAGTTACCAAAGAAGGACGAAAATGAATCACTAATCTCTGATGAGAAAGTAAAAAGAGATGATAACATTATGAAATTAAACGAAACCGTATATGGGATGCTTGGAAAAGCATGGCCTGCATCCTCTAAAGAGACTCAAGGTGATTGCCTCATGTTGTACTAGTAAGTATAAAATATTTACATTATTCCTTATTTATCTTCTTTTGGTTTAGATAAATATTGTGTAAAATTTATAACCCATTACGGCACAACATTTCCCGTGCAGTCTACACATATTCAAATGTCAATGTTGACATCACTTAACTTATTTGTCGATAAACTTGCCTTGCTCAAAGTGAATAGTTCCGAGTTGTCGATCAAAGAAAAAGAAATGTTGGATTTTACTTGTGAAACGCTTAACAAAATAATAAAACATAGTATAGGTAAGTGTACTTACAAAATTCTTGAATGCAACTAAAGATGTAATTAATGTTTTTTTTTTGTTAATTAGTATGTTTATCTGCAAAATTTGAAAAACTAATACGACTTTATGCTTCCGTATATTTCTTAACAGGTATTTCGTATACCAGAATAAGGAAAGAGGCTTTAAACATAGCTGTATCTCTTGGTAAGAAATTACGTGATACTGAAAATATTAAACAATTTGAACAAATGACCGTAATATTCCAAGAAATTATGCCACAATTAACGAAGGATAATGCAGAAATTCAAAGTAGGCTTATGTATATCAAAGAAGTATTTAAACTATGAAAACACTGAATCATTTTAGTACTATCCAATCAATGTTGTGTACCTTTAAATTGGTGACTACATTTTCGGTCACGCTAAAATAACAATGATGAAAAAGTGTAATATTTACCAATGCCTGTTCCTTTAATAATACATCGTCATAAAAGTGGCTAATAATAACAGTAACAACAATTCTCTAATAATACATAATTTAAATTTCACTTTAGTACTGATATTTTTGATAATTTCCTATTTTTTTATATTAAGTTGTAAAAAGATAGGAAAAATATATTTATATATATATTTGTCTCTGTACGAGTTCTGTGCAAATAATATATTACACAAATTATGTTGTTTGTAAACATTTTCATTTTTAAGGTTGAATGTATTTAACACCTTCCCGTACTTTAACGAGTCTGACTCGTGATAAAGATTTTGGCCCGAATATAAATATCACGAGCCAGGCTCGCGGACAGCAAATCACGATCGTGATTGAATTTTAGTTCCTATCAGTACGCCACGAGAGTCGGTCACGATTCTTATAAGTTCTGTTACAACGTAGTTTAGCATCAGTCCCGCAGTTTGGGCTCGGATTTCGTCTAGCTAAATGGTACGCGAAGGAGTTAAAAACCTTTCTTGAACTAACAAGACTTATATTTAGAATATCTTTTTCTACGATATTTTCGCATACTTGGTAGGTAAGTAAAATAATGTGTAATATATAATTAATAGCTGTATTATGTATCATTTTTACATAAGTTTAGTATTTATATGTGTTACAAAAAATTAAAAAATAAAACAGTGATCTTGGATTTGAAGTATGAATACATTGTATTTATATTACAAATAAAATGCAGTAAATAAATTTATACTCAGGTAAAACATTGCATTTCGTACATTCTGATACTTGCTTCTAAAATGAGCATTTTCTTTTATTCACAATTCTACAGTTTATAAACTAATGCAACTTTTACGATATAAAACTTATCTAATGTTTTATTTAACTTAATTTTGTAAGTAATATTGAAGCTCCTGAATTCGACTTGGATTTTAAAATACTCATCATTCGTTTCAATTTAGAAAGAAGAGTAGTTGTAATTGACTTTGTTTCATTTTCTAATAACAACACTAATAGAAAACATCCTCTGTTATATTCTATCCATTCTTTTATGACATTTGTCTTCAAGTGATTAATTAATACATCTCCAAAAGTAGTTTCGCCTTTCGTCAGTAACACCTTATCATTCCGTATAACTTTTTTTAGCATCATATGTAAACCTGCATGTTCAACAGTTTTCTGTTCAACACCGTATTCTGTAATCCTTATTTCCGGGTCTGTGATAAATGCAGCAATGGATTGAAAAGCCTGCTTCAGTTTTTCTCCAGTGCCTACTTTCAATATTGCTAAAGTTACCATTGCAATAGAACTGTTAGACATCCAAGTTGCTGTATTTAGTGTTATAGTCTCAAGAAGCAAATCAGAAATTGAATCAAGAAGTTCTTTCTCTTTAATGTTAGCAGGCTTTTTACTTGTTTCATTGTTGTCTCCTTGTTGTAAGTATTTAACTATACTAGGAGGAAAGTAAAGGGAATTTCTTCTAGCTATTAAATATAGAATTACATGTTTCCCATATACATTTGATGCTATATCTGTCATATCTTTCTGAATCTCTGAAAGGATAATTTTCTTTAGGAGGACAGTATCATCTACGGAATCAAATAAAGCTAATAATATTAAATATCCATGTTCGGACATACAGACAGATTTTACATGATCCTTAAGAGCTTTCATTATAATTTTTCTATCTTTGTTTGTACCATGCCATATACATGTTACAGCATTTTTTGAACCAGGTTTAGTCTGAGATAATTCTACTATGGAATCTCTTAACATAACTATCATTTCTGTCCTATCTTCAACAGAACATTCATTTAAAAACTCTAAAAGGACATATTGCACAAGTGTGAAGTTCAGAAGTTTTTTATTCAGTATCCTCATTAGATTTCCTTTTACAGCTGATAATGTTGCTGATTTCATGTTCTCTGTATTTTTATACACATCAGACAAAGTCTTAACATCTTTATCCTTGGCTTGTTTATATATATCACCATAAAATTCCTGTTTAAAGTAGGTCTTTTCAGTAGGTGTTGCCCACTCTGCATACATAATTTCTAACAATGGCGCAGATACAGAGTGACTCATAAATTTCACAATGTTACAATAACAAGTAGAAATTATTTCATGTCTGATTTTTTTAGATCCATATTCTAACATGCTTTTCACACAATTCTTTGCATATTTCGATAGAATCATAGTTAAAATCAAAGACTTTAATTCATTAAAAATGATTATTCGAATTTCTGGATCACTGTATTTAAACATCCACTGAATAATACGAGACATATCATGCATAAGTATTACTTTATTATAATGAGTCTGTAATAAATCATGTGTTTGTAAAATTAATTTTTTTTGTTCTACTTTTGTACAATCAGATCTGCGTAATTTTTCGCCAATATGTTTTACAGTGACCGATATATCATAAATATTACTTAATTTTTTTGCTTTATATTTCTCTTTCAATTCCTTTTTCTGTTTCTTAATTTCAAGCCAATTAGGCTTTTGTGTAGAGTTTTCGTTCGTTGTTTTAGATCTTTCCTTCGCATCATTTGTAACAAATTTATGGTTCTCTTTACTAATATTTTTTACAGCCTTTTCATATATTCCCCTTTTCTGTTTCTTGATCCGAGGTTTATTGTTCGTAGTATCTTTAGTGTCATTATTCGTAATATCATTATTGACATCATTATTAACAGATTTCTTTCTTTTCTGTACTTTCAATTCAGTATCTGCATTTAATTTTCGTTTCACCATTTTATTCTAAAGACAAAATTAAAATATAGAACACAGTAAATAAATAAAAGACCAATGTTTACTTACGTTCTTTTACGTATAAAATTGCAATATCTTTGAATATTAATGCCAATAAATAATCAACATAACCTATCAAAAAATAAAATTAATCTATCCAGTATTTTACTGATTATATAATATTTCAGACTTCTACGATGATATCCTATTAAATACAAATTAAAACGGAACTTTTAATGTAAATAAAACCTTCTAAATTAAATTTCATACTACGTATAACTACTTCTAAATGTGCATGATTTATATACTGCGACCATATAACCAGTTGTGTGGATTTTCCCCTAAGCAGCGTGGCCAGAGTTGGCATAATTGTGTGCATCGACGTTGACATTAGTAACGACGAACTTCCTTAGCGTTTAACGGAGACATACATACAAGAATTGTCCACTAACATAAAATTAAAGAACATTATTTGAAATAATGGAATACTAATAGATATATAAGTAGAATTTCTACGTATTCTTCATAAAAATACGCGTTGTTTGCAATTTGAAACATTAAGATCCTCCAACCCGTTCAAAAGCTATAATGTTTTAAACATGCAATGAAGTTTTCAAGAAATAGTCCACTAAAATTATCAACGACCCTGAGATACGCAGGAGGAAATATTCACCGATATAATCTCAAATAAACATTTTATTTTCCATATCAATAATTAAAATTCGTAAATAAATCAATCGCATTATTAATGCATGTATGAAATTTATTAGTCACCAATCATAACAGCGCTATACCCACACGTGAAACTTAAGAGTATAGTTAAAAATTATCGTTCGGCCGTTTCACGTGCATTCGAACGTGAAACAGTATCGAGTTTACAAAGGACATACCATAACATTAAAATATAGCTTTTGTTGCGGAAGTACTATTCAATTAACACAAAATGTTGTTTTAATATATAAATTTATAATGATTTAATACATTTCTATTATTTAATTTAATATAATAACATTAATGAACTAGTTAAAATAAAAAGTAATAATACAATTTTACGTTTACAATTATTCGTGTATAAATCACTGTGTGAGTGAATATATTTGGATGTTTTCTTTTACAATTATGGGCCATCTCTCATTTATCCGCGGAATGATTGGTTATTTCATAAAGTTCATCGGCCTTTGATAGGTATTATGTTATAAATGTACGTTAGTTTTACTTTACATTCTTTCTTTCTTTCCTTCTTTTTTTTCTTTTAAAGTGCACACGAATGCATTTATGATTCCCATTGAGCTTCGAATGAATTTCATTTGATAATCTATCCGATCTTTGAAATAACGTGGCAACAGTCACAGACACGTAGCAAGCTAAGATTCCAACAGAAGGCAACTGATTGCTTTAAGATTTATTGGCTAAGAAGTGTTCTTATTTCTTTGTGCATATGGCAAAGGAAGTCAACGTAACTAGGACTTCCGTCATGTCCTCTATCTTCAACCAAAAAGCGACGCAATACCATTTCAAGTTTTTCTCGCTGTCTTACTATTGTTAACTGCAAAGATTCAATAGAATATGATTATAATTAAACTTTTATTTTAACTTATATCTTAACATTTGCTTACCCTCATGCAACGATGTCTCTCCATGCGTACGCGATTAATAATCTCTGTTATCCGTTTGTTCAGTTGAGTATCTAATACTGGCAGTGCTTTAGAATCTGTGTCGACTTGAACTACCGATAAAACTCCGAACACTGCTTGTACCCATTGTGGAGAAAGTGCCAGGCCTAGCCAAAGGAACATATGGATACTGTTTTCTAAAAGATCACAAAATACAAAATTAATATACGGGAAAGCTTTGAGAAATAGAGAAGCTGCGAATGATATGTTTACCAAGTAAATATGCGCCGTCATCGGCGAATTTGTCAATAGAACAGCGTAACATTTGGGGTAACTCTGTATCTTGTGGATCGATATCGTGTAAAGAAAGTAATCTCGGATAAATATACACAACTGATATTGAGATAGGCATTGTTGCAACTGCTTGCATAACAAAAGATCTACTATCAATAGTCATATCAGCACCTACAAAATTAAGTTATAGTATTATTTTTACTGTATCGATGGCGTCACTTAACGTCATAAACGTAAGATATCAGATACTGAGTAAATGGAATATAAATAAGTAACTATACCTCCAGATAATGCGTCGCTTTTTAATAACGAGTTGATGTAAAGTGGAAGTAGCTTCATGCACTCTGGTAATATTAATTGACCAGCGTTAGATGGAGAAGCACAATGTTTGCGATATGCAGCCAGCATATTTGCGCATCTTGCGACTAAATTATCCTTTACAGTTTTTGGAGTTGATTCGATCAGTTTGAAAACACCTAAACCATTATCAATTCAAAATTTATGATTCTCAGTGAATGTCAGTTTCTTAATAAATACTAATGGATTAAATCTTACTTAGTTTAGAGAAGTAATTTATAATAGCATCTAGGTCACACACTCGGTATAATTCAGCTATCTGAGACGAAGTTTTTAAACTAAGATTAATGATGCGCAATCTTCTGATTCCGCTGCAAGAAGTATATAACAATGCTGCTTGAATATATACACCTTCATCATCTGTCAGTTTATCATCGTGCTTCACTTCTACAGCAATAGCCTGAAATATTTAATTAAAAAATTTGTTGTATCTACGGCCACTGGGAATGCTGTACGGTTTAATCGAACCGTATCGTAAAAATAATATAACGTGCAAAATTCCTATTATAAATAATACTACCTTATTGCAATCTATACTAGCTAATTCCATATCTGTTGTATTTGACATAAAGAAATGTCCGAAGAAATCAGTTGCTCGAACACCAGTAGATGTACGTACACGCATAATAGCATCAAATGCAATCGGTCTACTAATGTTATTAATAACGTCTGAAATTAAACGATCGCCATCTACGTCAGCCTAAAAAATGAAAAAATTATAAATGATATTTATTTCCCGCTTATGTGTTGCAATATGTAACATCAATATTTATCACCTGGAAATAAGTATATTTATAAACTTCTCCACCGGTTAGTCTAGCAATTTGGCCTATTGTTGCAATGTCCACGTACGAATTGTTGAAAATAAACAGATCTACAGAACATCCAGCACCTACGCATTCTTGTCCTAAGTTATTGTAAACGTTATTTTGTGGGGCTAAAATAGGAAGTTAATATTGTATTACAGATAATTAAAAATCCCTACTTATACATGACACTATATGAAGAATTTACCTAACACGGTTTTTTCTTTCTCCGTTCCAAGTACAACTCTATCATCACGATTTTTTAATTTACCGGGGGCTTCAGCAATTGGTAAAGAGGAGTGGAAAACCATTAATTTTCCAGCACAGTCTGAAGTCTAATTATTAAAGTTTGAAATGATTATTGGATTCGTTTTAAACAATTCTGTTTGCTTTAAACATATAAAATATACCGTCAGTGCTTCTAATCCAGCTCGTATTGCAGGCGCAAGAATTGTTTCTGTTTCGCGAGTATCTGCGAACATGGCTGGAATTTGTGTCATTAAACTGTCAATAACTGCTTCGCTTTCTTCAATGTCGCATAAAAATCCGTCAAGAAGTGGCATAAATACATCTTGTATATCTCCCACAACCATCATTTGTGGTTGAGCAAGGCAGGAGTTAATGTTGTAAAAGTGTACCGTATTATTGTATGTTATAAATCCCACTTTCATGTTTGTTTTCATTTGACCAGCGTCAACGGGTAGGTGCCGCAAAATTGATTTCATTTCCGCACAGAGTAGACTGACTAACCCAGACTTAACTGTGTTGTATGATACATCGATTACGAACACAATAGCTGGTGGTTTCGGATAAGTATTGTTCTAGAAATGAAATTTCAAAATGAAAATAATACGACTAATTAACTATTAGACTAAAAACTGTTCAAGTTTTTAAATCTGTTTCTTACTCTACAATAATCTTTTGTAGCAATATATTCGTATGTTCCTAGCATTAATTCTGGTCTTTCGTAACGATCCATACGTTGGCTGGTATGATCTAAATGTTGAAAGTACTCTGCTGGTACTAAATTAAGAAAAACAAGTAATAATTATTATGCTATGTAACAAAACTTTTGATTGCAATATCGGCTGTTATTGACTATAACAGAGAGGAAATATTGCCGTAAGTTAAAATTTGATCTCACTGAAAAATCATGCGCGTTTACGTCAATCGTGAAATTGGAAAATAGTTTCTATTTGTTGAACAAAAATTAATTTTTTACCTTCTGTTGTCGCTTTACAAAACATACACTGGAACTTTCTACCCGCGTCAATAAATTGCATAAATGGACTCATATATGCTTTGCACCGTACACAACGAACTGGACCAATTTCCCCCATATCTACAATAGGCGGTTCGTATTCGCCTTCCGCTACACGGGCCATTGGACTTACTATTAGACCAAACGGAACATGCGTCTGGGAATACAAATTATTATACAGATTACGTGAAATTAAATTAATAATCTCATATACTCAATGTTCAATTTACTTGTTTTATAATATCTGATGTGGTAGGAACAGTGTACATAGTAGATCTGATATATCTGGGAGATGCATTTCCTTGATCTTGGGTTACAAATGTGGTAGTTACCAATGGTGGAACCAATCCTCTTTGATTTGTTATAAATACGCCACCTCTGACACATTGGTCTTCTTGCATTACTTGGATCTTCATAAGTAATTGTATTTAAAATTAGTTTGAACTATCAATACACAGCAAGATCATACTAATCTTTAGTCGGATTTCTTACTGGGCTTGGCATCAGTTCAGGATCCAAATGTCTAGCTTGCTGTGGTTGAATACCAGGTTGATATCCAGCTGGTGCTCCAAGTTGTCCACCTTGATATGTACCTCTTTGAGTATTGTACATGTCCTGTAGTAAATAAAACTATGTAATGCAACAGGAGATTCCTAGCACAACTTTAATAATTTTCAATTGTTTTAAAACTACATTAAAATTATTTCTATAAACATACATTATTATAGCCTTGATATCCTGCTTGTTGGTAGTTAGGCATCGTACCGGGTGGATTACGATTAACCACTAATGGATTTCCCATATTTTGTCTCTGCATCGGAGGTCCAGTCGTGTACTGTTTCTGGCCCGATTGTGCTACATTCATGGCTGAATTTATCATTTGTCCTACAGGTTGACCAGGTAATGGAGGGTGTACTTGCTGACCAGATACATTTTGTTGTCCTACTAACGGTGGTCTATTAAAACTCTGTTGATTTGTTGTTGGAGGTACATTAACGTTTTGTTGACCAGGCATTGGAGGTGGAGGTATATTTTGTTGACCCATTAATGGAGGACCAGATAGATTTGATTGACAATGCAAATTAGATGCAGCCATATTTGTTGATTCTGGATAGGAATGTCCAGGTTTCTGCTGTCCCTGTAGTGGAGGATACTGTTGTCCCTGTAAAGGTGGTCTTGGAAGTGGAGGACCAGATATATTTGACTGTCCTTGTAAGGGTGGACCTGGTAAATTTTGCTTAGACATCTGGGGCCCGGATATATGTGGTTGTCCTGGCATTAATGAACTAGAAAGACTTTGTTGTCCAGGTAAAGGCGAATTTGACACATTCTGTTGTCCTTGTAATGGTGAATTAGACAGATTCTGCTGTCCTTGTAATGGTAAATTAGACAAATTCTGCTGTCCTTGTAATGGTAAATTAGTCAGATTCTGCTGTCCTTGTAATGGTAAATTAGACAGATTCTGCTGTCCTTGTAATGGTAAAGTAGACAAATTATGTTGTCCTGGCAATGGTGAAACAGTAGATTTTTGTCCTGTTGGTGGTGGTCTGGTAAATTTTGACTGTGCAGATGTATCAGTAACATTTCCCAAACCGGATTGACTCTGTGAAGATAATCCTGCATTGAATCCATGTTCAGATGATAAAGTTTGTCCAGGGTAATATTGTCCAGAAGTAGTTCCTGTAGAATGTCCAGAGAATGGAAGACCAGAGTGAGCTGTAGAAATATTTGTTGAAGTTGTCGTTTGTTGTTGAATATCCTGTCCAGAAATAGATGGTCCAGATTGTCCACCAGGATCAGTTTGCCCACTAGGTCCTGTTACAGTAGAAATATATGTAATACATATGTTGTGAATTTCACCATTTAATTACTGTTTTTTATACTAATCACTACCTGATGGTGTTGCATCTAATGCACTGTTAAATCCATTGACATTTGATAGTGTAGATACTGTTGGGCTACTTTTGCCAGGTAATGGTGGTGGTGGATAGTTTTGCTATATATTAACAAATATACAATGTAAGTTAATACACCATACAAATAACAGTGAATAATATTGATATTATTACTGTTATTTAATTTAATTTTAATTACCCCAGACAATGGTCTTTGTTGATCCCCCAAAGACATGTTTGTCATTTGATTAACTATACTGTTTTGACTTGTTAGAGGTGACACCATATGTGGGCTATTTGTTGATAATTCATATTGAGTATTTACTGAAAAATACAAATATTATAATTGTATAACAATAAAAGTGTTTCAACAAATAAAAATAAAAAGTAGTTTATTACCTTGTGGTTGTATATGATTCATATAATATGGGGCTGCAGGTTGATGTAAATTAGTAAGAGGAGGTCCTTGCATTGGTTTTTGAGATGTATATGCTTGTGAATTCATTGGGGGTCTCTTTACAACATTTGATGGAAGATTAGAATTTAATTCCTCATAGGGAGATGAAGTTGGAGGACCAGGATAATAGCCTGGTTGTTGTTGTGCCTGTTGCTGCTGTTGTATATATTGGGGATTCATATTTTATTCTAAGGAAAAATGACAAAGAATTTCATTTTATCAATATTCATTACACTTCATTAGTTATTTTAACAAATGTCATTTTTCTAATAAAAATTATTTATTTATATAAAATTACTTTAAAAAATGAGGTATAGTTTTCTAGCATTTACAATAATTTTTATATTAATTAAATACATACATTTATGTATTTATATAAAAATAATATAAATGTTAAAGAAATAGAATATATTTACAATTTGATATATTTATAAAATAATATTAAGCATACAATATTTAAAATAGTGTTAACAGATTGTATATAGAATACAAGAAATTTATATATATATATATACATATATATATTTAACCAAATGCATTCATTTATTGTAAATACTAAAATCGCATAAAAATAAAAAACAACAAGATTACTAGAAGGTTCATAAATTTGTAATTTGGAAACAGACGTTCAAAATATGCTACGTATTGACAGAAGGAAGATAACCTATACAAAATTAACTTTATAGTTCAAATGTGTTACATCAGATGATGATTACGTACAGAATTTATGCATTAGTTATTGGAAACCATTAATCCTATACTGTGAATAATCATTAAAAGTTGTTGCTTTACAATAGTAAAAGAGAATATAAGCCATTTTGCATGCAGTAATACAAACGAACAAACCACACGAACAAGAATTTTATAGAATACTCGTGAAATATCAATTACTTACGTTGTGTCGTTAAATATATTTGAATCATAACAAAAGTTAATATTTCCACAAATGTTTACAATAAAATGAAGAAAATGTATTTCGCTGCAATAGTGACTGCTGCCGATGCCACGTAAGGTGGCATTGCGCATGCGCTTGATGCACGTTGACGAGACACGTCATAATAAAAATTAGATCATTGTCAAAGGAAAATTTAAACGAAGACACGGATATGTTTTGTTACATTGTATATTTATTCCTTAAATGAAGTTTACAAAAACTAAAATATTTACTTCACTGTAAAAGAAAGTGTACGTTGTAACTTTACGGTTAATCAGTTGGTACCTTCATCGCCGCATGGTTTAAAAGGACAGCATTAATGTTTCTACTATTCTAATTATCAAAACTATATTTCAAGTTACATCATTTTTTATCAACGTCAATGCTAATTGTCAGGTACAATACCCTATTGTGTTTATTCAAGTATACTGTAAAAACAATATGTCATTAAAAAAAATAATCGAATTACGTAGAAATGATTTGTAGAAAATTACCTGTATCGTTAGTATACGATATAAATGAATTATGTAGACGAGCTTTATTATATCAAGGACGCCCCATGAAACGCTCAAAATCACATCAACCGCATATATTTTACTGTCACAGTAAATGTAGATAACATTTATATGCAGACATATGTACGTAATGTACAGCATCGATAAAATTTTGAATTGAAATATATATACTTCGTTTACGAGAGACACTGTTTTGCATAGATTTAATTTGAGCAGTTTTACTAATTTCACTCTGCAAACTGAACGTTAATTTAAGTAATCTGTTTATATATACAGGAATTTATCAATAATTTTACGTATTGAAAACTAACCAGTATCTACATCAGACGATTCACTAATCGAAACGGAACTCTTTCCGTTCGTAATGGCATTTAAGATCGAGTTTATTTGTTCAAATCTGAATTTTATTTTATTTATCAATACTGCAAACGAACATATTACGATTGTATTGATGAAATCTGGTATTCGGTCCAATATCCACATAATAACGTATATATAATTTCCAGCATTAATTATAAATCCATAATAATCCAATAAATTGAAAAGTATTACGACGAACATTATAGTTGTGATTTGGATGATATCGTTTTTCATGCACAATGCATGATCGATCTCCATGTTCAAGTATTTTACACTTTTATCAACGCTATCTATTTGCTCATGAATTGTTTTCATTTTTGTGCTATAATATATACTTGAAATCATGATAACAGGTAATAAAATGACGTTCGTGTAATATCGAATTTTTCGGATTTTGACGATGGAATTTATGCTACTGACAAGTTCCAGTATAGAAACCGCGTAACGGTTTACACACGCATGTAGGGCGTAATAAAATGTTAGCAATATAACTACATACAAGTAGTTCAGATATCGAATTTTGTAGAATTTAATGGGGTATAATCCTAAAAAGAAAAGACGGAGTTTAGAAATACTTATTAGAAGTTCTTATTTACTAATTATATTTAACACGTTGAGTATTTTGATGAATATGATTATCACGAAGGAAATTTTGCCATATGACGTATTACCTAAAAGTTTTATCACGCCGAAGAAAAATCGAGATTCTTCGTATACATTAGTGGGATGGAATCGCCCCATGATTATGGTTCTTCACTATGTGACTAAAGAGATTCATAAAGTGTTTCGTATTATATTACGTTCGTGTATACAATTTGTCAATAATTTCAAGTGCATGTTAGGTAATATTGCATAATTAATTAAAAACTTTTTTATTCAAGATTTAAAATCTGTTACAAGAACCACTATTTCTTGCTCAAACATATTGTTTCTAAGCATATATATGTATATATAAATGTGAATCGTAAACATTAACGATATATTTATGCATTTTTATTTTAATAATTGGTATGTATTTTCGGATTAATCGACCGGATATCCGGTCTTATATGGGGCCGGTTAAGCGGAAGTCTACTATCCAGAGAGTATACGTAACAATTTCTATTTTGTCGCTAGATAGCGAAACCACGTTTTTCCAAATTCTTTATTATGGTTTTTTATATGGATATTTATAACTATTATTTATATAATATACATTATTGACATGGGGAGATTTGAAAGGTTAAAGGTTTCATATGAGAATTTTTTGTGAGTAAAACGATACTAATACGAATAGGATTTTAGTAGGTGAAATAGAGAATTTGTTATTGGTTCATTGACTTAATTATCTAAATAATTAATATCTACAAGGAAAAATCACTAGTGTTGGTTAAGTACGTCTTTACGGAACGCTTCGAGTTATCAAACGCTAGTGATTTTCTTTTGAAAACTCCATCCTAATGTTTCCAATGGAAACTTTCCATCGCAAAAGTTTATAGCGTCTACGGCTATACACACAATAATGTTCAGGACGAGGTGGATGAATATTTGGTATATATTCCTTTATTTCTCACAAAAATGTTAACACATGTAACTAAACGTAAATCAACAACGTGCCCCCTCGTACTCTTCCGCGCGCGTTGTGTAAGCTACCTTATTGTAGCTAGAGTGGTCACTCGATTTTGGGAAAACCCCATTAATTCGCTGTCTGTCCACCAGGGGCATCACGGTGATGGCCGAGATGCGCCAACGTTCCGACTGGCGGCCACAAGTTGTCAACCTGTGCTTCCATCTTTCATGCATATATGCGTAGTTGAATAAACGTTCATTTCGTGTGTGGAGGCAGGACAAAGGGAAATGGTAATGTTAGGTTATGATTGAAAATCTGATACATTTCACGCCATCCTATTAGGTGTAATAAAATAATTTATAGAAAGTGAGTCCATGAGTACTTATAAATTTTGTGATTTGTTTCAGTCGGCTCACAAAACGTTCATTATCAAGCGAAAGCTTGCTAAAAAGTTGAAGCAAAACAGGCCAATCCCGCAATGGGTTAGAATGCGCACTGGCAATACTATTCGGTAAGGATTATTATGACGTTTTATTTAAGTTACTTCTATTATTTCTGTCCATAAAATTTACATTATTTTCAAAGTGTTTCTTTAATTGAAATTGTAAATTGAATTTCAAATTTAATGGTTATTCGACCGCAATTCATACAATTTTGTTTCTTTCAGGTACAATGCAAAGAGGCGTCATTGGAGGAGAACAAAATTGAAGCTGTAAATTAATTTTAGTTTATGTTTGCTTCAATTTTGCATTAATGTATATTAAGCATTCATTCTTAAATAAATTTAAACCTTAATATGCAAACTTGGTTTTAACTGTTATAAGTATGACCGTGTGACCAACTTTGCCACCAATTGTGGCGTATGCTATTACGATTTAGTATGTGTAGTTAAATATAGCTGAACCTATTTTTTAAACAAAACAAAAGTAATAGAATAAATGTTGCATGTTGATTGAGTTTTTTGGTTTATTTTTATACATATTATAGATTACAGTGAATTGTGCACTTTACGACGACGCATTTTATCCAACCAATCTTGTAGTAATTCTTCGCCATCTTTAGGTTCTGGTGCATAATAATGTTTCGGTGGTTTTCCTTCTTCTAAACGTACGTAATAATTACTATATTTGTAACGTATTTCTCCAATACGACCTCTGGCATGACGACGCATTCCTTTTATCACCTTGTTTTTTGTTGCAAAAGATTCAGCTAGAAAAAAATATAAATATACAGTTATGGAAACATTTAATATGGTTATTAATATACTTACCAACCCATAAGTTACTCTTAAATTCAATATTATGCTCATCTACAGCCATCTGTTGTGCCTCTAATATAATTTCTTTTACGATAGCTGCACCTTTTTTGGTCATAAAACTTAATTGTTTAACAGCTTCATCTACAGACATACCTCTCACAAAGCAAGCAATATACCATAGTTTTAGTTGACTGTACTTTATGTTCTTTTTCATGTGACATACATACTGATAAATATGCAAAAGTATTATTATTTATAGGGTCATAATGAATAGAGGAAAAGGTATAATAGCTCTTATAATAATAAATACTCACACCAGGTCGTTTTTCTTCACCTTCTTTTTGTGGAGGAAAAATAATTTCATTATATTTAAGAAATTTGCTCTGTTCTTCGTCAGAATTTCTGCCATCTAATATAGGAGATCCATGTATATTAGAAGATGGAATAGCGTACGATGATTTCAATATATTGGATGAACAATTTAAGTTATTTATACTAAATGGTTTACTTAATACAAAGCGTACATATTGTTTTATGCACTGCATTTTCTGTGAAAAACATACATTAAGTCAAACATATATATTATATTTATAGAATTGATAGATTGATAAAAATTGTTCGGATTGTGACAAAAATTTGAGCTTTAGAAAACTAATAAATATTAAAACATAACCATTGCATTAGAAGATAATATTAATGTTACACACGATCTATAGAATTAAACATATTAAACATATACATACTTATATTTATTTAAAGTTCTTATAAATATTTGAAAATTTCATCAAATTACTGTTAATCAATATTACACTGTAAAAGACGAATATTTATGTAGAAACAGAGGTATAGTACGCCACATTGATAGTATGTGCTGTATTAAAAAAGGCCAGATTCCGACATATCCTACCGGACGAGCCATTAACACGAACAAATTATCATATTTTTCATCTAAATATATAATCTATAATTTGTTAATAAAAAATAATTGTATTTTATTACATGAAAAGTCTCCTTACTAGTAGTTTAATTATTTTACTATACGCAATTGTATATGTATTTTGTTATAGTTAGGAAAGGCAAAGTCGTATTAATTTATTTTTAATAGATATCATGATTATATTTGAGCAGTGGCATTAATCAAGTTACAAATACTGTATGAAAAAATAACATAGAAATCAAATTTCTTTTTTATTTAGTTCTATGAAAATACACTCACGTCGCTGTAAAGTGTTTTACGAAAATCTGAACAGTCTCCTGTCTACTATAGTTATCTTTTATTCGTCAGAACAAATTTGAAATGCACGTAACGGTTACAAATTTGTTCCCTCGCATAAAGTCGTAATACTGCCTCGAAATGTTTTATTTCTTGTTATTTTCTTTTATAGAAAAGTATACTTACTGTAGATTTTATTAATTATCATACATCAAACAGACCGAAAGTAAGTATTTACAATGCTTCTTTAATGAAATTATACAATTTTTGTATTCTTGTACAGGGTGTTGATATTTCAATAACTATTGATGATACGAAAAAATTGTTTATATGTAAATTGTAGGATAAAATCGGATCTCTATTTTGACGTAAACGAAAATTTTGTTTATGTTATTAATTTAAATTTCTTTGAATTATGCGATAGTGCTTTTCAAGATGAATTTATTAAGCTTTTTACCCGGTTTTTTATTAGTTTTCAAGATATAACACTTAGAAATTTACTGATTTTCAACAAAGACGTCTCGGCTTGAGTGGTAAGTTATAAAAGTGGTTCTATTGTTGCGGTGTTTGCCATTCTGAGCATAAACCCTTGCTATCGTTTTCAACAGGCAGAGTCAAACACTGTAACAATAGGACCGCTTTTATGACTTACCACTCAAGCTGATACGTCTTGTTTTAAACAAACACTACGAGTACGATAGCAGTAATAATAAGAAATAATTTTTATTATAACGTTTTTCTTATTTCAGATGAATGAAGATACAGTTCGTGTTGCTGTGCGTATCCGTCCATTAGTGAAAACTGAAGTTCAAAAGGGATGTCGAACATGTTTAAATGTTGTCCCTGATGAACCACAAGTAATTATACGTAATACAGATAAAGCTTTTACATTTAATTATGTCTTTCCTCCTGATATTGGTCAAGAAACCTTTTATGATGTAGCTATTAAAGATATGGTAAAGAATATTTTTCAGGGTAAGATTATATGAAAATGTCTAATTGTATCAAGCGGTGTAATTAAATTTTTTAATAAGATTCATAATACAATTATTTATTTTTTTGTAGGCTACAATGTAACTATATTAGCTTATGGTCAAACAGGAAGTGGTAAAACCCATTCAATGGGCACCAATTATGACGAAACAGAAGATATGGGTGTTATACCACGAGCAATACACGATATATTTGATATAATTTCAATGAAAGAAAACTGGAGTTTCAGAGTTACGGTTTCATTTATGGAGCTATATCAAGAACAATTGTACGATCTTTTAACTGACAAAGAACGTAGTCAGTCTATTGTTGATATTAGAGATGATGGAAAACATATAAAAGTTGCTGGAATTGTAGAGAAGGAAGTGATGAATGCAAAAGAAACATTACAATGCTTAGTACGAGGATCTCTAGGCCGTGCAACTGGTGCTACAGCAATGAATGCTCAGAGTAGTCGTAGTCATGCAATATTTACGTTGTGTATACATCAATGCAAAAAAGATGATCCGTGAGTTATTTATTCAATGACTGCAAAGTAATATTAAAATTATTGTTATATATTTATGAAATGCTTTAAAGATATATTTTTCCTCTTCAATATACGTCAGTAATACAGCAACAACAGCCAAGTTCCATCTAGTAGATTTAGCTGGGTCTGAACGTAGTAAAAAAACACAAGCAACCGGTGAAAGATTTAAGGAAGGTGTCAATATAAATAAAGGACTGTTAGCATTAGGAAATGTTATATCTCAATTAGGCGATGCTAGCCCTACATCTTACATTGGTTATCGAGATAGCAAACTTACGCGATTATTACAAGATTCTCTTGGAGGCAATTCCATGACGCTTATGATAGCATGTGTCAGTCCAGCAGGTGTTTATGAAAACGAAGTATAAATATTACTACTTTTAATAATAGTTTTTAAAATAACTCATGCTATTTATGAAATGTTTGCAGATTATAATTTAGACGAAACTCTAAGTACACTGCGTTACGCGGATAGAGCACGGAAAATAAAAAATAAACCTGTGATAAATCAAGATCCACAAGTTTTAGAAATTAATAGGTTGAATAAAGTGGTGCAAGAATTGAAACTTGCTTTGGTAGGTCAAGAAATCGGAATGTCTTGTCCGCTTGAGCATAAACAGCTTGAAGAAAATAATAAGTGTTTGCGACAAAAAATAAGAGATTTAACAGAAAAGCTACATGCAAATCTGATAGAAGTCGTAGTTATGCACGAAAGAGCCGAACTAGCGGAACAAGCTAGAGAAAAAATTCAGACAGATATGCTGAAAATATTAGAAAACTGTAAAGAACTTTTAGATAATTTTGATAAAAATCCTGATACACATACTGAACACCGTACAAAATTAGAAGCTATATATGTACAAATTCTTGGTAAGTAACGTAACTCGGTATAGCTTAAAATAAAATTTGTCCAAATATATATATTTTCTAATAGATATACAGAAAGATCAGGAAAAGACATCGGAGGAGCTCATAAATTGTGGAATATCTGTTACTTCAAAAACATTTACAATGGACAGTGATGAGGACTCGAAACATACATCTGTAAATGACACAAGTTCTGAAAATCCAGACAGTTTAGACGATTTCGATAAAAAACACGAAGAGCATACTTTGCTTCAAGTCAAAAGGAATAATGAAGTACAAAACATAAATAAGGAACTGGCTATTAAGGAAAGTCTTATGTGCCAGTTGTTAAAAGACTCTTCTCAAATGATGGATTATTCCAAAGAAAGACAAGAAATGGAACAAGAAATAAAAACGCTTCAAACGGAAAGGGATGAACTTGTACAAGCGCTGCAAAGTGTTCAAGCAAATAGTGTTAGTTCAAAGTAAGTTATTTATTATTCTTTAGACTTTCCAAACTGATTGATTTACATTTTATCCCCGGATATGGTATTTTGAGATAATATATGAGTTGTTATTTAATTTAAATTGTATATTTATAGGCTGGCAGAAAGTCGGCGGAAAAAGGTACAAGAGTTGGAAAAGAAAATAGGAGAATTGAGGCGCAAAGTTTCCGAGCAAGATAGAATAGTAAAAATCAAAGAGAAACAAGATCAACAAATAAAAAATTTATCAAATGGAATGCAATTGCTAAAGAAAACTAGGGTACAATTAATTAAACAAATGCGTACTGAATCTGATAAATTTGCAAAATGGAAGGAATCTAAAGAGAAAGAACTGAATAGATTAAAAGATCAGAATTTAAAGAAAACCAATGAAATGACTCGTTTAAAAATGTGGCATAGTAAACAGGAAACAGTGTTTAAAAGAAAAATGGAAGAAGCTTTTGCTGTCAACAAAAGATTGAAGGTAGTAAATTATTAAAAAAATTATTATTCCAATGATTTAGAATTAATTTCTTTTTTCTTGTAGGAAGCTCTTGATTTACAGAAAAGAGCAGCAATAAGAAGGGAAAATATGAACAATAAATCAAATAAGATTAAAAATTGGCTCATTCAAGAGTTGCACATATTGGAGAGTACTGTTGATGCTGAATACTCGCTCGAAAATTTAATGCAAGATAGAGCGTCGTTGACACGTGTGCTAGATAAATTGCGAAATAGTAGCGATACAAATGAGGAAAAGATTTCCGAAATTATTGAATTTCTAGATTTGCGTAATACACAAATTACTGATCTTCAACAGAAAATTGTTGAGTCAGATCAAGGTAAGAGTATCTTATATGAAACATATCACTTAAATATATATCTTTATATGTATTTATTTGTTTAGAAAATAGAAAACATTCGAGATGGCAACAGATACATACAATAGATGATGCAAAAACTGCCCTTAAAATATTATTTAAACATACAGCAGAAAATAGGAGAAAACAGTGTGTAAAGGAATTTGAGTACAAGGATCTTTTGGTATGCTATTTAAATTATGTTTGATTTATATTAATCTGAAACTTTAAGCCTTGTAATGTATTCAATACTAAACGCAATTTTAGGAAAAGTATGAAGAAATACGAGCAAAGGGGACGGAAACATGTGCTTCGCAACAGTTCGCAATTGCGAATACAAATTGCATTAAGCAACTTGAAAACGAGGAAATCGACAAATTAAAAGAGGAATTAAAACATTACAAAGAAAAATGCCAACATCTAGAGCTCACGGTTAAATAGGCTTCTTTAATTACATTAACAGTACTTGTACCGAAAATTTTATGTACATTCTTTTTGTTCTTACAGGTTTTAAGTGAAATCAAGGGTACGAATACAGTAGTGAAACCTAAAGTCAAACGGCAAACGATGAGAGTTACGGAAATAATTGATGAAAATACGTGCCCTATGTCAGATGACAGTATTATCGATGATCCTGATAAAGATCCAGATTGGGTACACACACCATTTTATAATCGCATTCAAAAACTTCAGGTAATTAATAAGAAATAAATAAACATTAGCAGATACGATTTTGCATTATAAAGAACAGACAGCACGATCTTGAGATTATTTATTTCTAGAACACAGCCAAAAACACTTCGCTTGATCACACGATACGAAAACGATCGGTGGAGGGGGATATAAAATGTGGTTGTAAAACAAAATGTTCTACACGTATTTGCTTATGTTTTAAGAATAAAATTGCTTGTTCCAACTGTAGTTGTAATCCAGAAAATTGTCAAAACAAAGATAATACTAATGTAAGTTGATAATCAACATCAATAGTAAATTTTTAATATTAGCACTATCTTTAATCAAATATTCTTTCAGATTAATCGTACTTTGCTCTTACAGTATAATGAAGACAAAGAGATCAATGAACCAATAAAAAAACAAAGGTATATTTAAACAATACTTTTATAGTCTCTTGTATCAAAGCTTTTAAAGTTTTAATTTTTTTTTCAAATAGACTGGTGGAGTACAGTACGGAAGCACAAATTTAATTATAAATAGTTCATTTTTTATATAAAAATAATGTTATTTCAAGCGATATTGTAATGTAACTCATTTTACGTTACTTCATTTTAATGTAGTTTATAAATCATGATGGTCAACTTATTTTTATAAAAACTGTGCTAGATTATCAACAAATTGTTGCTATTAATTGTATATAAAATGGACAACTGTTATTTAATTACATATTTTGTAAGTACTCAAAGTAATAAGTAATTTTAGGCTTTATTTCATTTAGAAATTTAATCACATCATGCTGTTTTAGGTTAAGTTCGTTTTATTTATTCTTCAGAACCGATTACTTAAATATATGTAAAAAAAAAAATAAATGAATAAGAAAAAAAGATATGATCACGTAACAATTTTTTTCGACAAATTTGTACATTTTTTACTATTAAAAATTTACCTATCACAAGTACCGGTGCGATATCGATATCGATCGATATCTCGAAATATCTCGATGTTTAACCTGTAATTTAACACTCTCTAGTTCAGTACGATTGAACTTGCGAGAATTGACTGTTTATCGTAGCCTTCTGGTGGCGAGTCCAAATGATGTTGGTGTGCCATGACGCTTTGTGACTTAAAAATACGAGTAGTAGAATGCACTGCTTAGTGGTTTGTTCGTGACAGAATTCATTAAATTGCAATGGCGGAGAATTAGTAAAGTGGTCGAATTTATTTACTATTTGCTCTGTCATCACGTTGAGATTAACTTTCGTTCAGTTTCCCATAACAAATTATGGACAGTAATAAAGATGAGGCAGAACGGTGCATGGAACTTGCTGAACGATATCTCCGCGAGAAAAAATACGAGGAGGCCGAAAAATTTGTACGTAAAGCACAAAAACTTTATCCAACGATGAGGTCTGAAGGTAAGCTAACAGAAAATCCACGTCAGTGTTTGTGCGTAACACATTAATTGATTGTTATCCATCCTTTGTTCTATGTACGTATATCTAGCCATAAATCTTTCGGCATCGTTGTTTTACAACGTATTTCCGTCGTTGTCATGTACGTTTAATAAAGTTTCAGCTTATGCAGCGTTGTTAACTTTTTAAGAAACCATTTTAAAGTTTACGATTGGACATTTTTAACGATATGACCTCTGTAATTGTACGAAAATTAAATTATTTTACTTGCACATGCTTTCATTGTTGAGTCGTGCATTTTTTAAATTCGTTCGAAAAAAAAAAAATGGGTACAAATGAATAGAAAATACGAATTTGGATAGTTTTGTTAAATTCAAAATTCCTTGACGTAACTGACTTATATTCACAGATGTGTTAGCAAAAGTGGCAATGCTTTTGAAACAAAATCAAAAGTCTGAGCCTGAACCTACTGTTAGAAAACGTCATACAGCACCTAAGGAAGCTTCGCATGTTCAAGCTTCCACTGATTATACAAAGGAACAACTTGAACACGTTAAAAGGTACACGTGTCAAATAAATCTTATGATGTATTAAAGTTTTTTAAACGAAGATATTAAAACGTGCGAATGGAATAAATCTTTTCCGGATAATTGTATTTTTATAATTGTATTTTTATAATTGTATTATATACTTATCAATGCAGCTAAACAAGTACCCATAATGTAAATAAATGTACATGTAATATTGTCTGTTATTATTAATATTTATACTACGAAAAATCATATATGTAGATTGTTTTTTATAACAGAAATATTAGGATAAATGAATTACTTTGATTATAGAATTAAGAAATGCAAAGATTATTACGAAATTTTGAATGTTACTAAAGAAGCAACTGATAGTGATATAAAGAAGGCATATAAAAAGCTAGCACTTCAGTTACATCCAGATAAAAATAAAGCTCCGGGTGCTGCTGAAGCTTTCAAAGGTAAATGCGGTTTGTTAAAATGTTGTACTGACAATGCATGTTTCATACTATATATAATATATATTATGTACAGCTATTGGCAATGCTGTTGCTATTCTTACTGATGTGGAAAAGAGGAAACAATATGACATGTATGGTCCTGAAGAGGAAAGGATGCAGAATGTTCATGGACGTCAAAATCACTCGCATTATAACTACACAAGAGGATTTGAAAGTATTATTAACATATATATAATTTTTTATTTGTGGCGAATTTGGATTCAAAGGAGGCAAAGAGGGAGGTCATGAGGTGCAAAGGGAGGTTGAGGGGAAGGAAGGAGAGGGTGGAGGATGATTTGTCGTGGAGGGAGAGGAGGAGGAGGGGAAGGGAAGGAGAGTGAGAGTGTGCTATGGAAAGGTTATGGTGGATGGGATGATGTGGTTTTGGGACGAGCGGAGGGAAGTTCTCAGAGACTGGAGGGGGAGAGAGAGAGAGAGCGAGTAGCGTAGGATTAGGATAAGAGCGTGCGGCGAAAGGAAATGAGAGAGAGGGGAAAAGCGGGTGGGGGGAGGATGTAAGGGCAGTGAGGAGTAGAGTAAGAGTAGAATAAGTAGGATAAGTAGGATAAGTTAGGTTAAGGGAGAGATGGAAATGTAAGGTGGGGAGGAAGTGTAACCCTAAGGGGAAGCAGGAAATAAATCTATCTATCTATCTATCTATATATAATTCTCTGTTAGGAATATGTTATGACATACATACTCATTAATGTTTATTAATAATGTAATTTTGTGCAGCTGATATTACGGCAGAAGAATTGTTTAATATATTCTTTGGCGGAGGATTCCCGCAACAGGAATTTTATATGAGACGTCCAGGTGGAAGATGGATGAGACAACAAGATGTACAAGCTCAGCATGCTCATTCTCAGGTATAAAAATTGAGACAATGTTTAATTAGGTATATTTAATATCGAATATCAGTTCGAATGTTAGTAAAAGAATTGTAATTTTTGTAGCAAGCAAACGGATATACTACATTCCTTCAGATGTTGCCTGTTTTGTTATTAATATTGTTGACCATGATGAGCAGTTTCTTCATCTCAGATCCTGTATATAGTTTACATTCTAACACGTGAGTGTCTTAATAATTTATTACGAGCACTTATGATAAATATTGATGAATAAATTAATTTTAATTAAATAATTACATGCGTATTTTAATCCGTGAACAGAAAATATTCTTTAATGAGAACTACTCAAGGATTAAAGGTGCCATACTATGTTAAAGAAAACTTTCACACTGAATATCAAGGCAGCTTAAGAAGACTAGAAATTTCTGTTGAAGAAGACTATCTGCATAATTTAAGACATGCATGTTATAGAGAGAAAACTTATAGTAAGTATTTTTATTATTTTTTTAAATTTTCTAAAATAGGGTAATATATTTCTAGATCTTAAACATACATTTTTTATTGTTCAGAGGAAACAATGATGTGGAAAGCAAGGAACTTTGGAGATCAAGATTTATTTCAGAAAGCTAAAAATATCGATATGCCCTCGTGTAAAAAGATAGAAACAATGCAAGGAGCATAGCGGCACTATGTAATTTAATAGAATTCTATTGTAGATAGGTGTATATTGTATTTACACGTGTGTAGTTGCTGTTGGATGGAATGAAGAGTATCAAATATAATATAGGGACTATATTATGTTTCTTCGCATCCAAATTTGTAAATTATACTAGTCCTTGGTCTGTTATGAACTTTCACATAGGTCGTTTGAGCTGTTCCATACTCAAATTGTAAATTATTTGATACAGAATTAATTGTAATAGCGTGTATGGGGAATCTGAGCATGAAATATGAATTATTGATATTTAATTTAACCGAAATAACGTATAATTTCTAGTTGATTAGACCGAAGGATGTAATTTTACGGTACAGGAACTACACGTTTATTAATTTACATATAATATTAGATTAAATTGTTTATTTCCTATCGTTACACGAGAAAATAGAATCTACTGAGGAGCGTAATTAGAGGTAAATGTGATTTTGAAGTATTTCCCATGATTTACGAATACCCCTGTGCAGTTTGGATGGTAAAATACACATCGATTCTTGCCATGTTGCTTATGCCACTGATTGAAAATTTTGTGACGATAAATTTCTACACTAACGTTGATACAATGGTATCGATGACATCTAATGTTGCGACATTGAAGCTGCTTATACATGAAAATGTCGTAGACGATGAGAAAGTTTAGATAACTCATTGAACTTAAATATTAATCGCATAATATAGAAATATATAAATTGCACGAAAAGATAAGCTAAAATGATTGATATTATAAAAAAAAGGAAATTAAATTATTGCAAGCATTTTTTTAGATAAAAAAAAAAAAGAGGACAAATTGTTTCGAGGTTCAATGAACAGATTCAATTTTCAAGGTCTAGATTGATCGCAGTGACGCTTAAATTAAAACAAATTTGTGTGTTTCCGCGATGGAAAGCAAGCAAGTTCGCAATATTTGTATCCGAGATTCGTAATGTAAAAATACCGATGTTATCAAAAATTTGCCTCGATTTACTTTAAGGATATTTTCTTCGATGCAATATGCAGGGCATTTCAGTAATCGGCAAACGATAATTCGGGTGGCCCATTATGCAAAAAACGAATCGAAAAACAAACGTTGAATGTACGTGGATCAGTATCGTCTGAGAAGTTATGCTGTGACAACTTCTGAGATAGGTGGAATATGATCTTTGTTAATGTTAGTTTAAAATATTTCAGGCTTCCACGGTCCAGGTTCCGACTTGCATCGAAATTCTTTAAATCTGGACTTGAAGATTTTCAAAGAATGGCTATACCCGTTTGTATTATGATTACTGGGGCACTCTGTATGGCACCTATTACTATTGTCATAAAAAGAAATGCACGTTATTAGATGTATGTATAAGCGACAAAAGGAAACGAGATAGTTTGCGATGCATACGTTGTTTCGCCGTTGAAATTAGTAGAATGAAAGTCGCGGAGAGGAAGTAACCAGAGACATTTAATTTTAATTTGTGAAGTTGTAATAAGTGACCTTCGTTAAGCAGGAAAATAGCACATGCCATCGCGAACGATAAAGTTTTATACGTATAGATACAACATTGAACAGGAGAACATTTCTATACGATCAGCCTGTAACGCGTGTCTCTTATTTATAAATTACAATGTTGCGTACGGATAATACGAGGCGACGATAAACTCGCTTCGAGAGAAACTTTTCTACACGTGACACTGGAGCTTTTTCAACACCGATTGTTATCGTCTCGATTGATCCAGCGATAGATCGATATAAAAAATTGTAGATTTTGAAATATTTATCCATACCTATCTTCGGATTACACACGTCGAATGTGTTTCACGATTTGGTACAGCCCTTATACGTTTAATGGCACTTATTTATCCGAATCATTACTCTATATTGTATATGTCAAAGTATTTTAATTAGCTTCGAAATAAAGAAACTTCGAACACCTGTCGTTACCAATTACGTTTGTAATGACTTCCGCTTCTGTGGTCGCGTTCGATCGTGACCCACTTTGATAACAAAATTCTCATAATCATTGTTGCTTCGTCTAGAGAAAAGGGAGGTTTAGCTTTTTATAATTTGATTCTTCTCTTGCAACAGACGATTTTTGATACGTTTGGAAAAGGCTAGTCGATGCTCAAATCGGTCCACGACCTTATGCCCGTCGTTTCTAACGGGTCTCGCTAAACGGGCTATAAACTTCATCGTCATTACTTTCGGAATATACAGGGTGTTTGGTAACTGGCGGCACATGAAAAAATAAGTCTAAAATATAGTATAAAAATGTTTCATGCGAGGCTTTGTTTTCGAGAAAATCGACTTTGAATTTTCGCCAGGTACACGTGCACTTAACTATGTCTTGTTACAGCGGATCTCGCTATAGATGATTGTCTGGATGGTTATTATTGCAGTTTAAGTTTAAGATAATAGACAATTCCATGACACTGAAAAATTTTTATTCTATATTTTAGACTTATTTTTTCATGCGAAATCACCACCTTTTCGCTTGCACCAGCAGTTACCGACCATCCTGTATCTTTGGTACTTTGTAATCGATGCAAAAGGTGAAAAAAAAAAATTGTTTTTTTGAGCCTGTTATATCGGAGTTCCCTCTTGATAAATGCGGTTCAAGGTTGTCGAAAAGAAAGCTGCGTCGACCGGTATTGACACAGTCCGCGCGGCATTGAGCGGCCAGGTAAAATCTCACCTGTTGAATGCCAGGTGAAATGTCAGTCGATGCACCCACGTGATTCGCGGCGATTCCAAGCCAGCCTCGCGAACGTCGAGAAGCTGTCGCGTATCGTAACACATATCTGACCCAAGATATAATAGCCGATCGAAAGATAGATACCGTTCGTTTAGATCGCCCGGTACGCGTGATCAAAGTTACTCGAGTGTCGTCGGAATTTGAGGACAGCATCAGGTACGGCTCACCAGACTCTTCGTTTTTCCGAAAAATAAAATAAAAAAAAAGAAAATAAAACTGCCTTTAGTTTTCCATTCCATTATCATTGCCGAAAAATTTTATTCGCTTTTCGATTCTTGCGTCGAGATACTGTTACCGGGGTGACCTTTTTCGCGCATCCGCGAGGAATTCCTAACGTTCTTGTTGGAAGATTGCAAAATTGCGTTTCGAATTGGAAATCGGAGCCAGACGCGCGTGAAAGGGTCGATACCGTGGCGGTCGGGACACAACGCGCGGCGCAAATTAGACTTTTAGCGTTCTACTTTCCCCCGAACCGTTGCACTCCGGCAGGTGCAAAGATTCCGCTCAAATTAAGGATGCGTGTTAAGTGTTCCGGCGAGGCAGCGGGAATCGTCGCGCGACTTTCGAACAGTTTCGTCGCGAGCTTCGAAGCTTCGCTATTTCGATCCTCGCGTTTAATCTGCTCGCAGACGCCGCGACGATGGGCGAGCTGGTCTGCGATCGCGAGAGTCTGAAATTCGACGAGGCTTGCTTGCAACTACGAGCCGACGATCGAACACGGAACGCGTGGCTCTACTTGCTATCATCTGACTGCGCCGCGGTAAGTTCCACGCATGCTTTTGCATCACTTTTTTTTTTTAGTTATACCTGCACGATAGTATTCTCAATATTCCGCGAATGATCGATTAATTTGTTGCAGTGCCCGTACACTAGGATCAGACGAATCGTAGCGAATTCGAGTTCCAGCGTAACGATCGATACGGTTAGATCCACGACATTGAGGATCTTGGACGCTGAGGATCCCAGCGAATATGTATCCGCCAAAAACACAAGGTATACGTAAGCTCGCATAAAATTGTATGCAATTGATTATTTTTACTGATTTCTATTGTCGATTTGAGTTTCTTTGGAATCTTCAGTTTCTACTGTTTTAGACAGTCTAACAACGCGCATTAAAAATAGTTGAACTTCGAACACGTGCAGCTTCGAAATTATTAGTGTCTTATTAATTATTGACCCCTTTCATTACTTTAACGAGTCTGTCTCATCATGAAGATTTCGGCCCAAACATAAACATATACGTACGCCACAAGAGTTGGTCACAATTGTTGTAATCTCTGGTACAAAGCAGTTTAACATCAGTCTGGTCTGGGCCCGAATTTCGTCGAGCTAAATGGCACGGAAAGGGGTTAAGCCATCGTTAGAAACAGCAAAGCCTCCCCTTTAAAATGGTTTTCGGATTATGTCGATCCAATTCCCTGTTTTCGAGATATCGTAATTTATGTAAAGGATGTATGCGTCGTGTCTCTTTGTCTTATGTGACTCGTGCTGACCTACCCCACGAAGATGACTGTCGTGACCCAGTTTCGTAGTGTTTCCCAAGGATTTACAGCGCACTGTTTACTATTTACGCGCGCGCGCGCGTGCGCGGGATCAATGAACTCGCGAGCGCTGCAACGAAACGTAAACAAACGTTTCGAACCCTTAGATCTCTGGAACTAGCCACCACATCGACTTGAAACAAAATTCGAAAAAATATAGTATAACCTTCGCTGTTCACCCCCGGACTTTTGTAGCGTGAAATACTTATTCACAGGATCAAACATAGTGTACTAAGAATATTCCATGTTTCAGTAACGTGATTTGCGAACTGACCCCGAATTTCGGACAATTTGGTGTGTACGAGTTGTCGATACAAAATGGAGGCTGCGACGTGAGTGTCCTGAACGGGTCGACCTACCCCTATACGGGTAAGATTTTCGTAATTTATTCTAACCAAAGACGTTAGACGAAATTGAAACGTGATCCTTTTCAGAGCTTCTCGTCATTCTTGGAGTATTGGTGCTGGTCCTGTTCGGTCTGTCCAGCCTGAAATCGTTATGGCACGCGTGTAGGAAGAAGTACATAAAACGTCAGGCGGACGACGCGACGAAGCAACCCTCGAAGCGTCGAGTGAAAGCTATTGATACAGTTCGAGGGTACAGTCTTTAAAAAATACGTTCGTTTCGAAAGTATTTGTAATCTTCTAACGCACCATTTTTTTTTTTGTATTCGCAGCGTGAGCACTCTGTTAATGATATTCGTCAACGATGGATCCGGCGGTTACAAGACTCTGGGCCACGCGACTTGGAATGGCTTGCTTCTGGGTGACTTGCTGTTCCCTTGTTTCATATGGATTATGGGAGTTTGCATCCCCATAGCTCTAACTAGTCAGATGAAACGCGTAACGTCGAGACGCGTTATACTGTACGGGATCGTTAAGGTGATTAACGATCGTTAATAAACAAAATTTGCCCCGTTTTAAATTTCATATTGTCCACAGAGGAGCATACTTCTATTCTTGATCGGTGTATCACTGAACACGGCGAGCACTGGCCCTCAGCTGGAAACCATTCGCATATTCGGTGTTCTCCAACGTCTCGGCGTAACGTATTTGATCGTCGCTTCGACGTACCTCTGCTTCACGTCCAAACGATCAAAGAAGGTACAGCTAAACGTACGTATGCCATTCCGTAAGTAACGATCGTCGAATTGAACGAGACTTTTCGTCCACAGTCGCCGATGTTCCGCGAAGTGCAAGATTTGCTGCTGCTGCTACCCCAATGGTGCGCGATGGCCGTCATCGTGGTCGTTCATTGCGCCCTGACGTTCTGCCTGGACGTTCCTGGATGCCCCACGTATGTACGTATAATACGATGAACAACCATCGCCTGATCGCGATGCCATTAAACGAATTATTGTTAGCGGATACTTCGGGCCCGGCGGTCTCCACGACGATGGGAAGCATTTTGACTGCGTCGGTGGCGCGGCTGGTTACATCGACAGAACAATAATGAAAGAATCTCACTTGCACTACTCGTCGACGGTTTATAACTTTGGCCCGTTCGATCCGGAAGGAATTCTGGGTATACGGCGCTTTCTGATATCAAATCGAGTATTTGCCGTCGTCACGGTGTTCACGCGACAATTTACAATCGAACGTGCTTCGTGTGTCAAGGTACGCTTACGACAACGTTTCAAGTGTTCCTCGGTCTACACGCTGGCATAATTATGACGACGTACAAGGACTGGAAAGAACGTGTTGTCAGGTGGCTGGTGTGGGCCGCGTTTTTCGGTTGCATAGGCTGCGGCCTCCACTTCGCCAACGTCATTCCAGTCAACAAACACTTATGGTACGCGGTCGGAAAACGTTTATTTGCACGATATCGCAACATTTGACGATTCATTGAATTTTTTAGGTCGCTGTCCTTCGTGCTGGTGACGACGTCCTTCTCTCTAGCATTCCTGACGGCGTGTTACTTACTCGTGGACGTCGTTAAAGTCTGGAACGGCGGCCCTTTTCGAATCCCTGGTACGCTAATTTTAAAGTGGACATTTTTTGGTACCTAAAAATGCTTGCAACTAACCAGTGTCATAGACACGGTCAAACAGCAACCTGATAATTCTTAGGTTCGATTCCTTGTAGGGATGAACGCGTTATTGCTGTACGTGGGCCACATGCTGTGCTACCAAATTTTCCCCTTCCATTGGAGCGCCGGGAACATGGAGAGCCGAGCTCTCCGTTTGATCGAAGCGATTTGGGGCGTCGCTTTGTGGACGATCATCGCGTATATCATGCACAAAAAGCGAACGTACATCACTCTGTGATCTACGTACGTCGAACTAATTTTAATGATGGATTGTTTCATTTACAACAGCTCGATATATTTGTAGCGGAACTTATTAATTTTTTTATTATAAAAATAAGCTTTAGATTAAGTTTATTTTTGTAATATGTACATGGACAAAGAAAACCATTTAGATTTATACGAAGTAAAAATTAAGGCGATCTTTACAAATAATTTATTTTACACAACTTACATAAATAGCACAATGACAGATCGAGGTAACGACAGTATCGATACAAACATACTTTTAGCCGGTTACATCGCGTCGATCTCTTTTCTCTCTAAACGAAAATATTGGTACACGAGTGTCACAACGAGGCATTGATTCTACTTAAACAAACCGCGTGATTTGGGTTCGGGTTGCTCGGCCGTCGATCGACACCGACGATATAGATAATCGTTCCGCGAAAAATGTTCATCCCTTAGCAATGTGCACACACCGGTGGGGATTATGACAAAAAAAAAAAAGAGGGGGGAAATAAAAAGAATCAAGGAGGACGAAATCTATCGGGCAACGAGCGCGATGGACGACGACGAGATTACTGGGAAGGTATCGTTAGCAGAATCGCGACCATCGATAGCCGTCGTGTAAACAATTGTTACGGATCGTCGTTGTAAACAAAATAAAAAATAATAAAAGAAAAGAGAAAACACACTAGCAATGCCATGTTTCCTAAGGTTGGTGCCCGCCTTTGATCAGTAATCAGTTGCATCGGGACCTGAAAAGCGAGAGAAACGATCATTAAGATTTATTTCCATATTCACGGTCGAGTTTCGTACAAGATTGCGCTCCTACGAAATACTGGCGAGCATGTTAAGACGCTTAATTCAGTTTCCCTGCGGTCTGTTTCCTCGAGCGAAAAAATCGTTCTACGCCAGAAACAATTCCGTGCGTTGTTCGAGTCTATGATCGGATCGAAGAAAGAACCGACAAGGAGGATTCTTCCATTTTGCTGATCGTATTGTTGGATTCTCTCCTTCGAACCGATCGTAATTGTGCCACAGATAACGACGACGATATAGTGTCCGTTTCTGGCGGTAACCGCGCGAATGACGATTTCGTTTGTAAAATAGAATCGACCAAGGCAGCAAATTACATTAATGTGCAATTTATTCAAAGCGTGTGATTACTTTGGCGAGCAGCTACCGGAGTGGTTGCTATCGATTGAAAATCAACGATCGATCGTTACTGCAATCGTCAACGATAACTTGTTTGTTAGCGATTTAACGCTTTTTCGCACGGATATTTCGTTGCGTGAATGAGACGTTAGTACAGTGAATTGCGCATGCATATCAACGGTTGCTGCAAATTACAAACACCATATCCGAGTAACAACGATTCCTATGTTATTTGTATCGCAAGATGCATCGTAGCTGATAGTACACAAACGCACGATCTAGCATGCATAAAACATCCAACGCGACCGCTTTTACTATCTACGGTGTGTATCCTGCAACACGATGCACGATTCTTCAATCATTCGACAAAAATTTTGAGAAAAATTGATTGCCATCGAGCGCGTAACAGACGAGGATAATAAAAATTTAAAAAACAGTTTGTTTTCACAAAGAAGTTAAGGTTCCCTTGGGTTTTTCAAACGAGACCACATATTTGCTTTCGTATTATATCGCAGAGAACACCTTTTACACGATATTTTTGTAACATTTTTGCATTCGGTAATCTAAGGCCAAACGCGTTTACATTCTAAAAGAGAAAAGAAAACGTTAATCATCAAACTTGTCAAGCGTGGATATTTCACTGTTCGCAAAACACTTCCGCAAAAAAAAAAAAAAAAAGAAAAACAAACAATAAACTCGAAGAATTAATCGGTCCAACAGAAAAAACAAACCTAGCCGCGTCGAGGCGACGTTCGACGCTGGTTAGTGACACATTTCAGCGAAAAAAAAAAATAAAAAAAGGTACAAAAAGTACTAACAGGATGGAGGTAGATTCGCGAAGTGATGCTCGAAACAACAGTGAGAAAAAAAATAAAAATTAAAACAAAACGATCACCCGTGGACGGGACACGTTTGCGCCCATCGAGGGCGACGCAAACGAGAGAGATGCGAGCATTGGTTGAAACGGTTCCGAAAATAACTGTTTTGAACTGTTACGTATCGATTCCGGATCAAAATAGTTATGGGAACCGACGAAATGTCATAATTGTTACGGATATATCGGTTCCAGTCTGTATCGAGCTTGGTTACGGTTCTGTGTACGTACAAGGCGACACTAAATTATTTATTTATTACACCTTTGGAGGAATATTAACGCATTATACACGACAGACAGTTAAATAGACAGATGTTATATAAGGAAATTGAATCTCTCGAAGTTCTACAACGTTTCTATCGAAACTATAAATCTACCAACTATAACATTTCTCGGTCCCCGTAACAGTTTCGAGAACCGAAACCGATATTGCAACGGTTCACCCTGGCGAGTACAGAAGAAGGAGGTGATAGATGAAACAAAGTGAACAAAAAAAAAAAAAAAAAGAAAAATTCAAAATCGAAGAAAAAAAAAAAACTGAAATAAAGTAGATAGACAGAGCGATAGATGAGTATTATGGAAACGATATATGTACCGATAGAAAAAAAAACCACGTAGCCTGCGTAGCCCCCCCGGGCATAGTCAGCCCAGTCTTGCGAATCTAGAGAAAAGTTGCGCGAGGCTCGTTCCGTGGACCGGTTGCTCGCGGCCAAACACGGCCTCATTCTGGCCCGGGCCATCAGCAATGGTCGGCTCTTAGGTTCACGTTGGACGTGGGATCGATTATGGTCGGGGAATCGGTGGTTCTCCGCGTTTGCAACGCCTGGGGCACGCTCTTGGTGCTCTTGATCCGCGGACAGAGGACGTTCACCTTGTAGGCCCACGGTGGTCTGTTGCTCTCGAGGGCCTTGAAGGCCAGCGACGGGACCGCGTCGTGATTGGAAACATTCGGGGACTTGCTCGTCTTCCAGGCCTGATAATAGGCGTCCTCCTTGGCGACGACGCGCTCCTGTCGCGTCGGAGGGTGACGGAACCCGTCTCCGTTCTGGTCCGGCACCCTTTGGCTCGCCAACGAACTGGCGTTTTCCGCCTCGTGGAGCCTCCGCCAGGACTGCTCGCAGACGGGCGAGTAGTCCGGCGAGGTCAGGCCGCTGGAATAATTCGAACAATAGCTCTCGTCGTAGCTGAAGCCGTTCTTCAGAGGCAGGCTAAGATACTCCCTACCGATAGCCGAATCGTTCGTCTTCTCTGCGTTCTCCGATAGCACCGAGTCCTCGTTCAATAGCTTGAACAGCCTAGAGTGCGTCTGGGTCCTCTGGTACTTTCTGATGTTCTTCGACGAGGTGCACTCCGAGTCGGTGTCCACCTCGGAGATCATCCGACTCATGTCGGACGTGACGCCACTGTCCTCGTCGTCCGTCTCCTCGCGCGAGTTCTGCACGCTCAGCAGATGCTTCGGCTCTCTGTTCGTTTTCTCTTCCTCCCCGTTGCACTCTCGCGACCTCTTCTTCCGTTGCAAGTTCGCGTCTTTGTCGGGCTCTGCGGTCCACTTGCACTCCGAGACTACCACTTCCGGTTTCAGGACGTTCTTGTTGTAATCGCGAGCCTCCAAGTCGTTCGCCTCGATCTCCGTAACGTTCGTGTCCCTGTCCTTGCTCGAATCGTCCTCCGTTTTCCTCGACCTGATCGTGAACTCCGTCTCGACCGTCTCCTCCACGTTGATCCTGCCCAGCCTGGTCGGTATCTTCCTCAGAGTGAAGTTCACGTGGGGCACCACTGGCTCCTCGTTCTTCTCCGCCTTGGCCTCCGTTGTCCTCTGGTTCTTCGCTTTGCGTTTCTCATCGGACGTATTTTTCACGAGAAAATTCGCCGACACGTCCTGGTTCCTCGTACCTCGAGCGTCCTCTTTGACACAGGGTCTCTCGGGCTTGATGGTACTATCTCCAACGATCACCGTGGTGACGTCCTCGTTGTTCTCCGACACGGAGAACTTGAACCTCAAGGGTAGGCTGACGCTGACGGTGGTGGTGTCGGTCTCGTCGGGAGGATCGTCGGTAGCTTCGAACGGCCGAGGACTCTCCGACTCCGCGTGCTCCACGTCCTCGTAGATGACGCTCAGCTGATGAGGGAACGCGGACGCGTCGGTCTTCCCCGGGTCGCGTTCCGTCTGCTCCTCCGTGTCGGAATCGCAGTCGGTGACGTTCCTCTCGGACGAGGACGAAGACTCGTGTTTGTCGTCGCAGGGCTCCTTGGCCCTGGTCGCGTTCCTCTCGTGAGGATTCAACCCGGTGGAGTAGGCCAGGTAGGAATCGGAGTCAGAGTCGTCGGAGGACGTGTCCTCGGCGTTGTTATCGCTGCTGCTCTTCGACGACTCGACGACGGACTCGTTGTCGGTCTGCGACTCCGAGTCGGTTTCGTCGCTAGAATCGCTGGTGTCTATGTAAGTGTAATTGGGTACAGCGACGTTCAGGCTACCGTTAGTCTTCGTCTCCAAACGATTCGGCTCCTCGACGTCCCCGTTAGTTTCCAACGCGATCATCGTCTCTGGGATCTCCTCCTCGTCGGTTATGTTCATCGCTGTGGTGCAATCGCTGTCCTTGCTGTTGGTGCTCGCGGTTCTGGACATACTGTTCGCTCTGCCCCATCGGGGCAGACCGTTCGAAACCCCCGTGTCCTTCGATGCTTTCGTTCCGTTGCTTTTGTTATCCGGAACATTCGCTGTCAGTTCATTATTGGCCACTTGATCGCAAGTGTTATCGGTTTGCGGAGGCGCGGGAACAACGCACGTCGGATAAACACCGGCGAACGTTGTTTTACCGGTGCTCGTCGGATCGCAAGGCGGATAACCTGTGTAATTCTGATTATATATCGGGAAGTAAATGTAGGCCGTGTTGTCGGCGTGACAGGGATAGGAGTCGTTCGCGGCGCCGGGATAAGGGAGAGGATAGTAGCCCCACCAGCCACCCTCGGGACTCCAAAATGAAGGACAAGGAGGGAGAAAGACACCCTGCTGATTGCCCGGCACGTTATTCTCTGTTTGGCAGGTGTAATCTGCTTGACGATTTTCTTGCGTGGCTACAACAAACAGCACAATGCATTCAGACAAGTTCAACTGTTCCCATTTTGGGGGGTGTGGTGTGGTCTTGCGTTCTTTCCTTTCTTACTGTATTTTTTTTTTTTTGTTTTCGATCGTTCCTTTTTTCCTCCCATTTTCCGGTTTCGTTTTGGTTTTTTTTCCCCCCGCGCACGTCTTCGAAGCGTCTGAATCAGAACGGTGGAAGGACGCACGGTAGACATTTACATCGCGATCCCCACGATCGGCAGGCCTCACGAATACTTTGCACGCGGTACTTGAAGCTAGAGACCGGATCAAGTACGCTGCAAGTACGCTCGAAACCCTCGATAAACGCTTTAAGATATATCTCGATCGAACATAACCGAAACTTTCGCAATTGTTCCTGTTGCAACGCGTACGAGGTAAATGTCTAACGCGGACGAATTTCTGATAACTAGAAACCGAATAGATAAGCGAGGTGACACGGAACTGGAGCATCTGACGGCAAGGATAAGCGACGTGTAATCGGACTGTTACGAGAAAGAAAAAAACGTCTGATCCTGTGTTCAAAGGAAAATCATCGAAAATTTCGTCAACGCAAAACCAGCTGGTCGATGATCTCCGACGGAAGAATACACGAATTGAACGGCATTTCTCCGTGTTAAGCGACGATTACGTTCGAGAAGGAAAACATGCTCGTAATATTCTGGACGGAGTTGTGTCGAGGTACTATTTTTCTTTTTTCAACAGTGTAACTCTGTTTGCCTTAATCTATCTTAAGGAAATATCGTTTCACGAGAATAGAATTTGGTAACATCATGCATCGATTTATCTCGAAGTATTTGACGAAACATTGAAAAGATAAATCCATTCATAACGCGCAAGATCTCGTGCAAGTATTTCATCAAGATAGATTCGAAAGTTCATCGTTAACATCGTTACTCGACGATTCTGTCCTGTATCAGGTGTCCAAAATATTCGTATCCAGATACATGCAAGTGATCACTTGTAATTGTAATAAATCCCAGCGATAGTAAACATGTGAAATCATTAATCTAACATGCAACATTCCCGGTTAAGTACCCAGTCCATTCGTAGCTTGCGATGCTTCCGTATTAATATCTAGAGACTATTCGTGTACGACGTGGCTATATCGAGTCAAACGTACGACGACAAACGGACGGATCAAGGAATAGTACTACGATACTATCGAGTCGATCGAAATAGATCCATGATTCACCTGCTGAACAGTGTTTACGTTACGTTTCGAATAACTCGCACTTAGAGTCACCCCTAATAATGATCGCGTTTCATGTACACCGAAAGAAAAAAAAATATGTCTCGTTGCTCGACACACTGTGTCGTAATTTGAGTATCGAAAATTGCACATTGCTGTGATTTCGCCTTCGTTCAGTTTTCGCGATAATGATTCGCGATCGAGGGGACCCGCGAACGTTTCTCACGCTCTCTGCCCAGAAATCGGACCCAAACGCCCAAGGAATTTTCGTTATTCCTGTGAACACAGGATTCGGGAATGTTCCAGCGACGGCACGCAATGATTATTTTTTCAGTTTAATCATTCGTTAGAATGGTGAGACGCTTGTCACCGAACATTAATGTACAAAAGGGTCAATAGAAGCTTTTTGCGATTAATCTCATGGACGAGTAGCGTGTTTGGTTTTTTCTTGCGTGAAATATGACGTGTGTACGCCCGAACGGATTACGTATTTAGGTGATTCGACGGTTCGATTTTCCTCTGTCGATACTCACCGACACTCTCCGGCGCCGTCATTGCTTGCAATATCCTGAACGATCTCGACGGGATCGCGCTGCCCATGTATTTCTTTGGTTCCAGAACCTGTTGCTCGCTCGGTGGGAGGTTCGCTTGCATTTCCTCTGCAAAGTTGATCGTTCGGTGTAAAAACAAACTCGAACCCTCGAATCGATAAGATTTACTCACCAAAATTCTTTGAATTTCTATTCTGCCTCTTGTTTATGGCGGACGGTGGCCGTGGAGCTGTAACACGTTATTCGTACTTAATACCTTCTATCCGCAATTTTCACGCTCGAAATAGATAATATAACGTACTCGTAGGCGGGACGAGGACGTCGCTGGAGTCAGTCATGTTTTGCAAGAAGCGAAAAGCACGGGACGGTATCGCCGCGCCGCGGTATCGAGGATTCTCCTCGTGATGGAGGGAAGTGTCGTTGTCGACTGTAAGAAAACTCGGTTGCAACGAAGTACCAGAAACAAACTAAAAATTCACCGCTCTTACGATCGTACTTTGTTCCTTGATTTTGTTCACGAAGATCCTGTCGTCCTCCGACAACTGTAGTTTACGAATCTGTTCTGGATCGACGTCGTTCGGCGCGTCCGTGTCGGTGATCTTTTGGAGAACACGGAACGATCGAGACTGAACTGGTCCCGAATCCGACTGTAGAGCTGGCGCTGGCCCACGTTGCTGTATTCTATCGACAATAGATCGACGAACATTTTCAACTTCTAATTACACCAAGATTTAGATTCCTGGGTCTCTGATAACTCACACTTTTACAGTCTGATTCTCGACGTTCGGTCCGTTATTTTTGACCATCGGTTGAGAGTACACGACGTTCGAGGCTGGTACCCCGGTAGGTTTCTTGTCGTTGCTTTCGACCATGATGGGTATGATGAAGCTACCACCCGTCGACGGTATAGGCTGCTGTTGCACTTGATTTTGGACTTGATTCTGAACCGGCGGCGGCTGCCCCCATCGCTGTTGATGGTGAGGACTCGGTTGCTTGAACTGATGATGGCCCTGCTCGTGTTTCGCGTCGAACACGGACGGTCTGTCCTCGATCTAGGCATAACAAATCGCCGATTAATCGCGCGACATGCAACGACAAACGCGTCGTTTCGATAAAAAGAAAAACTTACGCGAATCGGTATCACGCGTTCTTGATTGTTCTGTTGAGTGCCCGCAGGACTGGAGAACGGGCGTTTCTGTGGTTGCTGTTGGCCAAACTGCTGAGGCTGTTGTTGCTGCTGGTATTGGTATTGCTGAGGCTGCTGAGAGACCGGCCTCTGCTGAATAGGCTGCTGTTTCTGCTGAGTCTGCGGCCACTGGGGCGGCGACGACGGTTGTTGCTGAGTTTGCTGAACCGGCGCGTAAACAGGCGGCGACGTGGGGCTGTCCGGCGACGAGCTCTGCTTGCTCGAACGTTTTGCCCACTCAGGTAATTCCTCCTGCGGTTTGTTCTTGTTCTGGAGCCAGGGCGTCGGCGCCTTCGCCAGGGTCACCTGGGTCGGCGTACTCGGGCTCTCCGGACTGCTCGGTTGAACCGGAATCGTCACCACGGGCGTCGCTTTGGTCTCTGCTTTGGCTGGAACTTTCGGGGGACGTAGATTTATAAAACAGAATCCCTTTGACCCTTTGAATCCCACAATCTCAACTGAATTATTTGACTTAATGTCGATTTTTATTAAATTGCTAAATGGAAATCAACTTTCCTTCGAAACATTTAAAAAATAATGAACTTATAAAGGGTAACATAAATTTTCGAACAATTAAATAATTCATTTGAAGAATCGAAATCCGCTCACCGATGGAGGGGATCCTGTTGGCGGTCGGTGTCGGGGGCGTCCTGACAGCAGAGGGTTGGGGCGGAATATTGGTCGGGAAGACTGGGATCGCCACTTGGGGCTGAACGAACAAATTTGCCCCGGCGTTCGTCGCTGGGGTCGGTTTCGGCTCGAGTGCCGATTTCGGGGGGCCTTCGATGCCCTCGTCGTTCGCGTTTTTCGCCACTCTGCGCGCCATTCGCGGGCTCCGGATCTGAGAAAGGTCCAGCTTCCCGCCCATACCCGGCGTGTAGGTGAACGGTTTCTTATCTTTCGTCAGCATAGCGTTCTGAATGGCCGCCGGTGGCTCGTAGGCATCGTTGTTGGCGATCTGGGGCCTCCTTATCCCTGGCGCCTGCGGATGCAAGCAAAATTAATGCCTGCAACGTTCGTCGATTTCAAAACGAAGGTATTCGAAATATCCGTTTCCAACTTTAAACATTCCTTGCCCCAACATTTTTGAACACGTCGAACGTAAACACGAGCGTGAATCATACGTCGAATTATGTTTATCTACCGAGGCTTCGAGCTAACGTCGTCGATCGCATGCAGAACATGTCGTTACTTTATCTCTCAAGGCTTTCGACAACCGTCGCCGAACGAAATTAAATTTACTTCACCCGAATCAAATATTTGTCTTCGTTTCTCCAAATACGTTTCGCAACGCGAGTAACTTCGACCAGTTCCTCACCATTTTCCGTACGCTCAGCAAAGACGGATCCACGGAGAAATCGAAAACGCGAAGTTTCTTATCGTTTGTGCGTCGTTCGAACCGATGGGACTCGCTCGCGACGAGCGACGAACGCGAACTGTCGGGGCTCTCGACTTACCTCGACGGTGTTGATCCTCATTGCCGGCACCTGACCAGGTGCTGGAGGCGGCGGGGGAGGCGGAGGTGGCGCGGGACAAAGTCCTGGAACGATTAGCGTTTTAGTGGAATGCTAACGAGGGCCCAGGTATGCGAGCCCTCCGTGTCCTTTGCGTTGCTCTTTCGCGCGTTCGACGCCGCTGTGTTTGCCCAAGACTTACCGTGCGGTCTTCGACTCTTTTATCTCGTTAGATTGAAAATCTGTTAGCGGCGACCGCGGGTTTACGACTACGAGACCACGTCCGGCCGGGTCAGTGAATTTACACGAATTTCTAAATCCAGAGTCAACGGTGATCGATGGAATCTTTTTCCTTGAGTCATTATTTGCGCGCGTTGCGTTTTACGGTGTCCCTGTTCCCGACCGTTTCGCAAGCAACGAAAATCACGAGAATTATAAATAATTACTATACTCGACGTGAATATACGTACCTGTCACTAGACCGTCCGAATTCCTGCAAAGAGAACACGTTTCATTAATCGCGGGCCTGAATCGTATGTACATACGTATTGAGTTGTAGAAATAAAAACGTGCAAGAGAAAGTATCTTTTTTTAGTAAGATTGTATTTTTTGTTGGATTTGTTATAAAGAGCGCGTTGTTCGGTGAAGAATTCGGTACGAGCTTGCCGTTGAATGCAATTACACCATTCAGGATCGTTCGGAGGAGTATCAATAAGAGGAACACACACGTGGAATATCCACCGAAAGATACAAGGCAAGATTCGCTCACGCCGAATCGCATACCTGCCTTATCTGTGGAACGCAGTTACTCGAACGTTGAGTCACATTGCTCGTATTGGTATTTTAGTGCACCTACGTGAACCACGCGGTATTTGCGAACATACCGGTGTACGGACCGCTGTCAAAACGCGTCGTTTCGACGGCTTTACGATCGTGTCGGTGGTTGCGTTCCAATTACCGTTTCGAGGACGTAATTCTTTCGATGCAGGGCATACAATTACACGATTGCGGTTTGATCAAATTATACCAGGGTGCACAGTACTCTGGAACGCGATTATTTTTGGACATTTTCACTCCTACGAACCCTTCGAATGTTCAGGGAATAGAATCTGCTAAGCGTGAAGAAGACGAAGCGTTTTCGGTGGAAAGCTCGACGACCGCGTGATTCGTATCAGCCCGCCAGCTGAGACAATAAAGGAACCAGGTTTAAAAATACGTGTGCACGAAGCGAACACCGATACGCAAGGTGAAATTTGTCACTTCCACGCGCGAATGTACTTGAAAACGAGTCACGATTTATTTATCGCAACTCGCATCGTTGCGTTTGAACTGTTTTTGGAGCTATCAAGGAACGAGCTACGAATGGTAACCTACGTTGTCACGACCGCAAATTATCTTTCGATGACTCGACCATTCTTCCACAGACGAGGTATGCGAGTAGACTTCACATCCGATGTAATAAAATCCGTCGATACGACCAGAAGTTATGATTTTTCAAACATACGTATGAAATTTCTGGCCACGCATTATATTTTCGGAAAAGAATCTTTTATTCGAAAGTGCGTAGGATTTCGAGGGTATGTCTATTCACCAAAAATGATTGAAACTGACCCCCGCAACTGACAATAATTTTTTTAGAACGATTTGAAATTTTTGAATTTTGTCGAAAAATTTCACTTCTTGAATTTTTTTCTCGAAAATGGGTAGGATTTCGGGGATATGTCTATTCACCAAAATTGATAGTCATTGACCCTCGCAACTGAAAATAATTTTTTTAGAACCATTTGAAATTTTTTAATTTTGTCGAAAATTTTTCACTTCTCGAATTTTTTTCTCGAAAATGGGTAGGATTTCGGGGATATGTCTATTCACCAAAATTGATTACCATTAACCCCGACAATTAAAAATAATTTTTTTAGAGCGATTTAAAATTTTTTAATTTTATCGAAAAATTTCACTTCTCGAATTTTTTTCTCGAAAGTGGGTAGGATTTTGGGGATATGTCTATTCACCAAAAATGATTGAAACTGACCCCCGCAACTGACAATAATTTTTTTAGAACGATTTTAAATTTTTTAATTTTGTCGAAAAATTTCATTTCTCGAATTTTTTTCTCGAAAGTGGGTAAGAATTCGGGGATATGTCTATTCACCAAAATTGATTGCCATTGACCGCCACAATTAAAAATAATTTTTTTAGAGCGATTTAAAATTTTTTAATTTTATCGAAAAATTTCACTTCTCGAATTTTTTTCTCAAAAGTGGGTAGGATTTCGGGGATATGTCTATTCACCAAAAATGATTGAAACTGACCCCCGCAACTGACAATAATTTTTTTAGAACGATTTTAAATTTTTTAATTTTGTCGAAAAATTTCATTTCTCGAATTTTTTTCTCGAAAGTGGGTAAGAATTCGGGGATATGTCTATTCACCAAAATTGATTGCCATTGACCGCCACAATTAAAAATAATTTTTTTAGAGCGATTTAAAATTTTTTAATTTTATCGAAAAATTTCACTTCTTGAATTTTTTCTCAAAAGTGGGTATGATTTCGGGGATATATCTATTCACCAAAAATGATTGAAACTGACCCCCGCAACTGACAATAATTTTTTCAGAACGATTTAAAAATTTTTTAATTTTGTCGAAAAATTTCACTTCTCGAATTTATTTCTCGAAAGTGGGTAAGAATTCGGGGATATGTCTATTCACCAAAATTGATTGCCATTGACCGCCACAATTGAAAATAATTTTTTTAGAACGATTTGAAAATTTTTCTTTCGTCGAAAAATTTAGGCACGTCCCCCCTGTTGATTTTTCTTGCAATTTCGTTAAAAGTAGAGTGTTCGAGTATGTCGTGGTGGAAATTTCTTTGCGGTCGATTTCACGCGTCAAAACATTGGAAGGGGATCAAGAGAATGGCTTGTTTTTCAGTTTTATTTTCGATGGAAGGTTTCGTAGAGTCTATTAGAGCTGGTAGAAAATAACACGAACGCCGTTGGACGCAGTGGGTGGTCCTATAATTATTACCACCTCGATATTTCCGAAACTGTGACGGTTACGATACTGGTCCGCATTTCTGCCTCACACTTTAAGAAAATGATATATCGTCTACTTCAGAACAGCGAAAACAATGTCCAATGCTCTGTCCAATTATTGCTAAATAATACTCTGCTACTTTCATTTACGTATCCCACAAAATTTGTTCTATTTGTACGAATCGTACAGCAGACGTTGTTCGTTATTTTTTTTTAATAACGTGCAACACTTTCGTGACACGAAAAGTGGCCAGCAGTTATTCGACTGACGAAATACCGTTTAGTTACGATTGTGACGATCCGCTATTTAAAGAGACGATATTTTTACAACGGTTTCAAGGAGCAGTCAGTTACTATCTACTCAATATTGATACACATTTATTTTTACTATTCGCACTCCGTCGGTGCTTCTCTGTTTCGTCGGATGGGTGATTGAACTTTTGAAAATAATTCCCCGCAACTTAGGCCCGACTGATTGACCGTAAATAAATCAGGTTTCGCGAGAAGATTACCAACGCCTCTCAAAACTGCCATTTACTATCTTAATTGCGATCAACTAGATAAATGTACAAGACAAGAAGAACGCGAGAGTACGCTATTTAGCAGAACTTACGTAATACTAAATATTTCTCTTCGAGGAAGAGTGGAAACTAAGTAATATTCCTCCGCGTCGATCATAAAATTTTATCCAATATCGAAGGAAATTAATCGTCAAGCGATTCCAAGTGTTTCGCAAAGTGCAGTTTATCGCGAAAAGATTTTCTTTGGAACGAGTTCGACGAAGCCGCGGCAGACTTCTGGTCTGCTCGAAAATCCGCCGTTGTTAATAATAGTATTTTTGGAGAACAACGCGTATCAACGGCGCTTTTATTTTGGCACGCCGATCGTGGCACGTGGCGTTAGTTTTATACATAGAATTGGCTCGACCGTTATTTATTTATTTATTCATCGCGCTGAAATTCCAACGGGATTATTAGCATAATAAATTACATAAAGCGAAACACACAATTAAGCCTCTCTTTTTAAATCTTGAAGCATCGATCGTCGCGGATTTTTTTGCACGCGTCATCGAGGGTGCTTTCTCGAGGCGCGTCGATCTTGAGTAGCCCACCACTAATTTTAACATCGAATCAGACGCGTGACGTCACCGTCATCGTAATTCTTGGCGGGTGTTCGACTTTCTCGGGGAACTCATCGAACGTTTCCCCACGTTCTCCATTCGAAATGCGAGAATGACTGTTCGAAGCAATAAACCGCCTGGTGTTCTAGACATTGTTAGAAAATTTCCAAAGACGTCAACCTTTAAGCTTCAACGAAAATAAATATCTACCCATAGGGGTTCGTGATTCATATTAATTGATAGCATCGTTATTGGAGTTACGATTTAACAAACGATCGTCGAGATCTGCCAGGTCGTCCGCTGTGAAACGCACCCTGGAAAGGATGTGGTTCCGAGTTTTCGGTGGATCGAACGGAATCGTGGTCGATCCCTGGCAAAAGCCGGACTTTCTCGGAAAAGCTCGGTCACGGCGAATCGAAGGCGCGATGTCGCGATGCTCGGAACCCAGCCAACACAGGCCGTGGTGCGTACAAGTGTATTTAGGTAGATACGCGAGGCAGAGTTAAATTTAGCGCGGTCCGACCTGCGCGTTACCGCGCCGCACAAAATGCTTCCGATTATTTTATTTTTAGGGTTTCAACGTCGCGGTTTTTCCGCGGAGGCGAATAAGACACCTGACGGTGCCCGGTCAAAGTGACCCGCGTATTTTCAAAATAACAAATTCCCGAGCACGAACGCGCGGGTACGCGATTCCCGTTCTAGAGCTCTCCTAGACATCTGTTTCCAACTACAAAGCAGTGTTTTCACTTATTGAAAACATCAGTTGCTAGCAATTGCGAGATTCGTTTCTGGTTATGGAGACCTTACAGCGATGTGTTTCCACCTGTGGAGGCTTGCTGCGTCAATAAACATGAGCTTCTGGCTATAGAGATCTGCCCCTATCTGTAGGATTCTGCTTCGAGCTATAAAACTCTGCCTCCGCTAAGAATTGTTTCCACATATAGAAATCTCCTGGAGGTGTTCAGGTTTTATCGAAAACGACAGTTAACGGATCGTATGGCTCACGTTTTCGAGCTTGCTAGAATATAGAAAGAATATGATTTTACATGTGTTCTCGACGCGAAAGCAGTTTCGCAAAAAGAGGCGCGCGAGACGATGCCGCGTCGGAAGAGAAAGCGCGGGCCCGCAAAAAGGGGCCCGTTCGAACGACGCGTAGCGTTCATCGACAGTGAACGGGTTGTCGGCCAGACAAACAAAATGAGCTGCAAAGGACTGCCGGGTGCACGCCAAACACTCCATTTATGGTCGATTCATATAGGGTTTTCCAACAAGAGCGATGTCGTGGTCATATTTGTTATTTACTTGTTCGAGCCGTGTAAGTCTTCGTGGAAATTATTAAAATTTTATGCTCGTGAAATAACAAACTAGTTTCACCGAAAAGTGTAATTTTTCTTCCGCGAGCGTATTAATTTGACTACGTCCGCGTGTCCGACGTAGACTGATGGTAGAAACGCTATGCAGGGAACGTTGCTATGTAAAATATTAAGCGTAATAACTCAAATACTTTTAGAAATATAATTAATTAAAGTACCATACCATGTTATATAGACTACGAATATCAATCTCTGTCATCGGAACACCGTGGCGCAAACGGTGTAAGCGGGCAGATCGTGTGCTTTGAGGTCGCGGGTTCAGACCCGTTCACCGACCATTTTCTTTTACCTTTTTGGTTCTTTTTACCATTGCAACGGGGATACGTACGATATCGAATCCCTGTTGTGTATACATCGAAAGCATAGAGAAATACTTTCATCGACGGTGCATCACGGACACTTAACAACAAAGTGTGTTACGTGTCTAAAAATATCGAGTTATTGCGTCTAATATTTTACAGATAGCAAGTAGGAACCTGTGTTGAATCATTCTACGAAAGTAGGTTAAGGGGTTACGCCACCTTTGCAGCGGAGAAAAGCGAAATTTTGTTAAAAATTGATGATCAGAGTTGAATGGTGTTGGGTTGACTAACGTATGCAAAAGCGAGTGCAGTACAAGTTCAAGCGAACACGCATCGCTTTATGACTATTTCCTCTGAGTAGAAAGGTGAGCAGTGACGAGAATTATCGTTATGCGAACTAATTAAAAATTTTAACGGTTTCGTTCGACCCTTGGTTTAAACCGGTGTACCAGCGTGGTAGCGCGATGTGAACGATAGACGACGCACCGTTAAAAATACACCGAGTCGGTCGGTCCACCGCGGCACGTGGCAATGAACAATTTTCTTCTACCTTCTTGATCAAAGGGTCATTCACACCTGCGAATTTCCCTGATGACGAGTTCGTTTCGTGTGCCTTGGCGTCGCGCGACGATCGGAATCGTATCGGGGATGCGAGCAAGGTTCCGAGACGTTCAAAATTGGACGATTCGTAGGCGTGGACCTAGAAACCCGTCGGTGTATTTCCATCGCGTCGGACGTTCGACGATCCTCGCGTCGGTCGTGAAAACGCGAAGTTAGATCTCGGTGAATTTTAGGTAAAACGTTCCAGACTCCCGTCGAGTCGATTACTCGAGGATCTTATTAATGAGCAGGCTAATACGTTGGCTAATACTTCCAACTACGATCATCGGATGTCAAGTTTGTAATTACTGTTATCAAGACCTTGATAGTGAAGTATCGACAAGGTCGCTAACACTGATCGCAATTTGATTATTGTACTATCCTGTATTCCAACGTTTAATTTTTAGAGTTTCGATCGATATTTGAAAGCAAAGCTAGAACCAGACGCTTTGGGAATGGCCAGCGCGTCGCGACGAAGATTTCGAGCGCAGCTGACCAACGTCCAAAACATTGCTTTTTTGTTCTCGCCTAGAAATTCGTGGACCGTTCCAAGCGGGACGTCCAAGACTGGATCGGACGTGGGTGTGCGTCTCGGTGGAACCTGGCTAACCGTGAGATTATACGTTCGTGCAAAAATTAACGTGAACTTCGAGACCGAAACAAAGGACACTTGATTCGCTAGATAAATGCGAAATAAATACAGGTGGGAGGATTGGTCCGTGATCGATGATCTTGCACCTTAAATTTTGAAACGAGAGGTAATCGAACGGTCTGGATGCATCGATTATTTCATCGAGCTGCTCGTCGAGATTACTCATCCGCTTGGATATAGAATCTCGACGTGGGTGGCGACTATAAACATGCCTCCGAGCTTTTCTTGCTCCGATGCATCGAATTCTATAATCCTACATGGTGCTCCGCGTCTCTGTTACCTTTCTCTCGTTACAAATAAATGAAACGAGTTGTTTTCGGCGATGTTGGATTTTTAGCCACGATCGACCCGTATAAAACGACACGATACAGATGGGGCTGGTTGCAGCGAGGTCTTGGAAATATGAATGATCCGAGTGTTCTCGGCGGAGAATCCCTCCGTTGGTCGCTTCGATGAATTCGCCGCGGTGTTTTCCTCCTCGACGACGAAATATAGGTCGAGGAGCTCTTTCTTGGAATCGTCGCAAGGCCTATCGTCAGAACAGCCATCATCAAAGAACAAGTTCCGCGCGATTTACCATTTTTGACTCGAACGAGTCTCGCCCGGAGCAACGGGAGATAAAATTTTCCACGCGAAGGCTCTCGAAACGCCGATGCGAATCAGGAAACGGCGTGGAAATCAATGGATGGCTCGATCATTGGGTCGGCTGTGTTTGTATTCGAGGAAGTTTGATAGACAACGTGTTCAACACGAACGAGAATAGAATCCTATGAGTCGTATTACAGATTCTATCGACAAACAATAGACTATAGATAGGTAAACGAAAGAATTTCTGGCGAACAGAAAATTGAACAATACAGGTGTACGAATATACGACGCAGAACATAACGGAGTGCGTGACACCATGAACGCGAAGCGAAAACATCCCGACCTTTCTCAATCCCCTAACGTGCTCCAAAAAGCTCCCTGCTATTTCCGTACAACCTGGAAACAGAGAAAATCAACTGCGCAAATTACCTCGGTCACCGAAATCGCGACGACCGTCGTTACCCCTGGATCTCCTACAAAGCACTTGGCTACCAAGCCACTCCAAACTATTTGTGCATAATGTTGTTTGTCTAGAAAGGAAACTAAAGAACCGTTACACCATCCTCCAAATACGAATCCGAATAGTTTCGAACGACGAACCAGGAACCAGTTCCGCCTATCCTACCATTTCTGGCAGCGAAGAGACGCGACGAACACCACCGACGGTCCTCGGACCACCGGTCACATTCAACGGGAAGCTCGAACGCGGTTTTGGGTAACTAGCAAACGTTACGGGAAAATCCAAGTCTTACCCCACGAACGCCGGTGTGCTCATGTCGGTGTGTCTTTGGTATCCGGTGGACGATACGAAATCCGGTGTCCCGGGTAAGCTCGCGCCGCCTCGTGCCGCTTTCCACCAGCGGATAGGAACCGGTTCTCTCTGGCCGTGGTCGTCCCTCGGAGGTCCGTGAGCGTACGAGGAGGTGGAAGGTGGCGGATATGGAAAGGGACGAGCAGCACCGATGCCGACACTAGCGCGCGCCCGCTGCTACTGCGCGCCGATTCCTTGGCTGCCGGATCTTGCTGCTCCTACCCGACCGCCATTCCTCTCCTTCGTCGCCTGATCGCCGATGGCGCGTACGGACGAACCGGTGTTCGAACGTCGCGACGTCCGATCGACCAAGATAGGCTGCCCCCAGCCTCCGGAAGGAGCTCGCTTTTCCATTTCGACACCGGTTCTTACGAGACATCTGTGAGTACTCGTTGCAACGATCCTCCACTTTGTTAACGGGTTAGCGACCCAACAAGTTGCAAACGCATCGATATATTATCAACGAGCTATGATCTTGGCTCTACCATGCAATGAGACCGCTTAAAACTTTGAAAGTTCCGACTGTAGAACGACTATCGCGCGTACGCAGCTGTTCGCGGATTGCCGTTCTACAGGCGTAACTTCAAACGTTAATAACTTTTTAACGGAGTCTCGATCAACAAATTGGTATTCTTGGTTTTCGTCTTATTTTGGTCTCTAAAATCTCGTGAAAAATAAGAAAATCGATGCGATCGTGGACGCCAAACGCAACGATTTTCGCGATCGTAGAAAACGGGATTCGTTCCAGCCGATGGACGACGGTGCCCGAAGAAAATAATGGCGACGGTTAACGCGGCAGGTGGTTTCTTGCCCGACAAACGAGCTCGGCGTAAAAACGATGTTTCCTGATCTGGCATCACACTCGTATCGCGATCGCGGTTCTTCCCCCTCGGCGTTGGTCAACCGAGACGAAAAAGCGACGTCGATTTAGCTTCGGGAATAAACAATAACGCGTATCGTGCCCGTATCGTGGACTTTCTTCCCGCGGAACGCCGACAAGAACCCGTCCGGTCCTCTTTTTTCCGCGGGCAAAAACCAAAATGCGAGATTGCGTGTCGCGAAAGCGCGCCGCAGAACGAGCGAAATCTCCCAAACGATATTGAGACCGTGCTAGATCGACCGTAAAACGCCTAACGCGATCTCAATGGCCGACATCGGTTTCACTGTCGTTCGAACAAGAAAACAGTTTAATTACAAACCCATACAATACAGCAATCGATCAATTACTTAAAGGCTAAATACGTATCGTTGTTTTGCAAAGTGCTTAATAGGGTCTGACAATTTTTAACATATTCTCAGTGACCTTCGAAAAACTGAACCACCAAAGCTACCAATGATACAACATTCTTAAAATCTACCGGAGGACACGATCCTGTCGAATTCCTCTTCGTGATCGGAAGTGCTCAGCATGTACGCCGGAAGCGTCAGCCCGAGGACCTTGTCGAAGACGGGTCTGGTCTCAGCCACGTACTCGTAGGCCTCTGCTTCCTTGGACTCATTCTCCTCGGAGTTCTTGGTCCCAGGTAATTCCCTCTTACTGTAAACATTCTCGCTGGCGGAAGCGTCTGCGTCCTGAGGAACATTGTCCACGCGTTTCTCGATCAACATCGACCTGGACTTCTTAACAGGCTCCACCTGGACCTCCTTCGACTCCGCGGACTCCGCTTTGTCGTCCCCAGGTTCGTCGGCGGTCACAAACGCGCATTCCTCCTTGTGGAAGCCTTTCTCGTCGGCGCACTGGTAGCAGGTCATCTTATCGCGCATCAGTTTCTTGCAATTAGACCGATCCTCCTTTTGGAACTCCTGCAGGACCTTCTGTATCTCTGCTTTCTTCTTAAAGGCGTCGTAAAAGTCAGCTTCCATCTTCTTCGGGGCGGATTTGGTCGTGGACTCCTGCCTTGCCTCGGGTTTCGACTCGTAGGCTCGTTCTTCGAAGGACGATTTCGGTTCGCTGCTTTCCTTGTCCTCCGATCCGTCGTAGGACCTGTCTTCAGCTTTCGCGGGGCTGCCAAAGGACTTGGATTTGGTGTAGGAGAAGCTCTTGTCGGTTGGCTGGTACCTGTAGGAGCACTGCTCGGAGTTGCTTCCGGTCTTAGGGTCCTTGCACACCTTGCAGGTCATCGAGTCCTTCTGCACCTCTTTGCAGTTGCTCGGTTCCATGCTCTTGGCGATCTTCTCCGACTCCGACCTGGACTTCTCGTAGTCGAAGGACTCGCTGTCGGAGCTGGGCTCGTCGTCCTTGAAGTAGGAGCTCGACCCAGGCGACTGGCGTTTCTCGTAGAAGCTTTCGGGGATCGAGTAGTCGCTTCTGTACACGTCGTCTCGTTCTAGCTTCTCCGAAGATTTACCTTCGTAACTTGGACTGTCCTTGGACGAACGTGGGTTCCCGATACTCTTGGAGCTGCTGAATTTGTAGACCTTGTCGTCGGGTTGATAGGTGTACGAGCATTTCTCATAGTTGGCTCCTGTGTCCGGGTCCTTGCAGACCGTACAGATCTTCGAGTTCTTTTCCACTTGCTTGCAGTTGGACTCCTTGGACTCCTCCTGGGATCGTGTGTCCGGTTTCTCCGTTTCGTGGTTCGAGCGTTCTCTGACTGGCTTGCTCTCGGAGTCCTCGTCCTCCCACGACGCTCGTCTTTCGGGATTCTTGTAGGAGCTCGACTTGCTGTACGCGTACTTCTTCTCGTTGGGCTGTCGAACGTAGGAGCACTGCTCGTACTTGCCGTTGCTCTTCGTGTCCTTGCACACCATGCAAACCATCGAGTCCCTCACGACTTTCTCGCACCTCTCGTCCTTGTTCTTGTATTCCGCTGGAACGTAGTCCGTTGCGTCCGAGAACAGCTTCTCGTTGAATCTGTACGGGCTGCCGTGATCCCTGTAATTATCGGAGCCCTTGAAACCGGAAAATTCCTCGCCAGAGTTCGATCGTTTGCTCCTGAAGCCCGACGGGGTCGCGACGACGTCGTCGAGGTCGCTGGAGTCGGTCAATGGTTGAGAAACGTAGACGCATTGCTCGTAGGTGGATCCGTTCTTAGGGTTCTTGCATTTGTAACAAACCATGCTGTCCTTCGCGTTGCTGTCGGACCGTTTCGTTTTTATCTTCTGACAATAGGGCAAGCCAGACTTGAGCGCGATGTCTCTGTACTTCTTAGCATCCTTCTCCGTGATTGTGTAAAACGGAGACACCAACTTCTTGAAGCTCTTGTTCTCTCTGGGTATCTTCTTAGCGGCGAACCATTCCTTCGATTCGTGGAAAGGCTCGGTGGAATCGACGGCTGACTGTCTCTTTTTCAATTCTGAGAAACGACTGAAAGACGGCGAATCCACGGAGGAACCGAAGTCCTGACGAATCCACGGATAGTTACGATCGGCAGGGGATTTGAAGCTTTCTTGGTCGAACCTTGCGTTTGTCGAGACGCACAAGATAGCCAACACGAGACACACCTGAAAGAAAGTTCAAGCTATTCGGAACGTTTCTCGTTTCAGGAAAATATTTGCAAGAAGTACGGAGATCTTCGAGCGGTAACGAAAAGGGTTACCAGGTAGAAGCAAGGACGATTTACCTTAGAAGCGGCCATCCTGTAAATCCAGCGATCAGTGAGTTTAGTACGTTTCCGGTTCCGGTTCGACGAGCCACATCACTTTCCCATGAAATGATCTCGCCTTGGCGTGGAAAGGCTTTATATTGACTTCGTGATCCAAAAGGACACACCCCACCTTCGTCTTTGCGGCACGGAGTCAGTGAACACCAGGCGCGTTGATCAGAACGATTTGAATCAGCGACCGTAAAACAGTGCCGGACGTTGTCCGGCTGCCTGTGGCGACTGATAAAACTGTCATTTTTGCTTCGTTAAGAGCAAAAAGGGTCGCGGCGACTACACGGGCGTCGATTCCAATCTGAATACAAAGAGAACTATTTCTTGCTACCGACAGTTCAGAGACACTTCGACTCTGGAAGCTGTTTTACTTTCGACGCCTTGTTTTCCGTTTCATTTTAATCGACCAGAGGTTTTTACGACGGCGCAAGAAAGTAATTTGACGATAGAGAAGATCGTTTCGACGATACCTGTTTTTTAATCGACCGTTTAAGGGAAACCTTTGTCGTTGGGTGTCTGCTCCAGCCACGTGGTTTTCTGAAATGATCTAAAAGGGCGATTCTGGGTCCGTCACTGCGACAAAACGTTACGAATCGGAACGACACAGACGACTGATTGCTAACTGCTCACTTTCATTTATGCAATTCCGTTACCGCGTTCGAACTAAAAAGCCACCCGGAGAGACGAAGCTCCGTCACGAAAAAATCGCGGTCTGGTCGAGCGTTGTTTTCGCGGCAAGAAACCGTTAACGCGGATCCAGCGGTTGAAAAATGCAGAATATTCAATTTGAAAATTTCTTACGGTCGGAGATCGTTAAACACCCTTACGAGATACAGTCATTTCGTGTGCAACGATCTGATATCCCAGAAGAAATGTTTACAGAATCATTTAGTCGGATAGTTGTTCGCGCGATTTCACATACCAGTTAGTTTCGCAATAAACTTTATTGATCCACAGCTGGAGTAAACAGATGTCGTTCGTTACAATTTCGATCTGTGTACAATCATTTCCAGAACCGACGTTAAACGATAGCAAAGTTTTTAAAGAGTGAAAGACACTGGCCGCTGCAAAGGGTCGTTGTATAAAGTTTATTCGTATCGTCGTTGCTGTGCAGTGATGTTTATTAACAATGCGTATCGTCTGATCTTCGAAACATGGTCGTTTATACAGAGTAAACGTATTATCTATTACATATTAAGAGCCTTCACTCTTTGAAGGTAAAGTTGCGCGGATACACCGAGATATGAGAAACGCGAAGGGGGTTCGTATTTTTTTCGAAAAACGGGTTAGTGGGGGCGGGTTTCAGCTGCAGCTTCGACGCCATCTTCTGCAGCATCACCTTCTCGTTCTCGACGCTGTTCGGTTTCTTTTTCTCTTTTCGTTTGTCCTTCTGCGAGTCGCTGCGTTTCCGATAATAGAGGACCTCGCCGGCCAGGGTGATCATCGCCAAGGCGAGCCCAAACAGGGTTGCTATGAACACTCCGCCTACACGTTCCGTTAACATTAATAAAATAAAACTAATCAGTTGACAAAAAATAAAACAACTGACCCAAACTTTCCAGCGTGATTCCCTCGTTGTCGTCAGAGTCCAGGCACTGGGCCTTCAGAGACTGGTTCCAGTATTTGGACGTCAGGGTCTCGAAGTACCTATCCTTCTGTAGATCGAGGATTCTGCAACGAACCGATCGAATTAACCCCTTCCCGTACTTTTAACGAGTCTGACCCGCGATGAAGAAGATCGATCCAAACGTAAACATCACGAGCCAGGCTCGAGGACAGCAAATGACGATCGTGATTGAGTTTTAGTTCCTATCGGTACGCCGCGAGAGTTGCTCGCGTTTCTTATAATCTCGACGCGGGATGCTTGGTCTAAACGCGTACCTTCTGCTTATTTCCTCCTGCAGGTGACTTCCTTGTTGCACGGCGATTGCGTAAGGTTGCTCGGCGAACACCTCGCCGACCTCCGTCAGATTGCAGTTCCTAGTTACTTCATACTTTATCGCCGACGAGTCGTGGATGAAAGCGAATTCTGAGTTCTCGCTTTCTATCACCTGAACACCGGGACAAAAAAAGGCGACGGTGCTTGTCAGTGATTTTCCCTAGCGTTCGTTCCTTGGACGATTACCTTTCGAAAGCCTTCCTCGGCGCTCGCCACGGGACCAACCTGCGTGATCGCCTGCAATATGTGGCCGTATTGTTCTTTGATAGGGTAATCCCAAACTCTGTACTCCACCTGGTCGCTGGTGCTGTTCAGCGTGATCTCCTTCCACACGCTATAAACCAGCCAAAGGAACGAGAACAAATAAGATCGATGAACTCTGTGTTCGTTTCTATGGACGAATCATCGACTCACGTGTACAGCTTGTCCTCCGCGTTTTTCATGTTCATGAAGTACTGGTGGACGCTGGAATTGGCCAGTACGGTGTAATTTATTCGCGACTGCCTCGCCAGTTGCTCCAGGGATTGCACGGGTGTCTACATAGAGAGACGTATGTAAGTGGTATAAATACAAATCGCCAGAGATAATCGTTCGAACAGTGATCGAGTCTACTCTGTCAGCTGTATAATCATTGAAACGAATATGTTTAGGAAAACAGTCAAGGAACCTGCATTCTTTCCACTGTGAGAAACGCTGCCAGGTTCGCAGTGAACGTGGCAAGCATCAGAACGACGAATAGCCAATAAGCAGCCACGAGGGTTCTGCTCGACAGAGCTTTGGGAGCTTCGCCTCCTCCTTGAGGCGTGAACGAGGTCAGGGCGAACCAGAAGCTCTCCTTCAACGTGAAATCTCTGCAGAAAAGACAGGTGTACTGTTTAAAAAATCATTTTCAAATAGAAATCTTTCTCCGATCCTTTCCATTAGATTTCAATATTTGGAATCGAATCTACGCGATCCTTACCGACAAGGATATGGATACAGGCGTTTGTTGTTCCTCGCGCTGTACGGGGAATACTTGTCCAATATCCAAATCATGATTCCTGTCAGCGTCAGTGCTCCCACGATGCTCAGCCAGACTTCGACTTTGAGGACCGTCATGAATTTGAACAACGACGGTTTGCGGACAGGCTTTCTTATCACTTGCAAAGAATAATTTCGCGAATAGAAGTATTAATAACAGATAGAACTCTAAAGATTAAATAGAGAGGTGACGAGAGCGAAGTGCCCTATATAGGAGTAGCTGTGCAAATAGAAATTCCTTACCAATAAGTATACCAGACTGCTCGAAGTAAGGGGCAACAAAATCGATGACCTCCTCGCGCTCTGATGTCATTGTCAGTGCTGCAACCACGATGTCAGTTTCCTGCACGATGAAATATTCTCTTTTTTATAGAAAATATTTTCCAACGGATCGAGGACACTTACTCCTTTCGCGAGATCGCCGATCAAACCGTTCCACTGTCCATTGTCCAATTTCTTTCCGAATTGTCGATCCTCCGGCACGATCAGATCGTAGTCGAATTGCATGTCCTCGGCGAGTTTCTTTATGAAGTCTATGCAGTAGCCATCCCACAATTCTTTCCCGTTTTCGTCCTTCATTACTTGTCCAGTCGCTGCGTCCACTTTGGGCATCACCCAAGGGATTGCCTGACACGATATTAAAAATCGTATTAAACGCGGCACCAAAATACCATTCGAGCAATTCGAGTAGAAGATTTTGTAGAATTACAGGCGCGGTTCCGATTCGAAAGAACTTTTTCGCAGGCTCTATCTTCTTTCCCTCGACCTCCTTTATTTTGCTGCGCCTGGTCCAGGTGGCCAGCGGCTCCAGAACTCCATTTTTCATAATCTCCACGTCAATTTCCGCTTTATACGTGATCAGTCCTTTGTCCGACCAGTAGTCGAAAGTGTCGTTGCCTCCTAATCTCTGGCGGCCACGGAACCATTGCAATTTAATAACGCGCCGAACAAGAAACGAAGTATTGTCTAAGTTCGCGGAGAGACTCACTGCTATCAAGTTTTTGTTGAACGTTTCGGACGTGTGGTTTGAAAATGTTTGAGTAGCGTTTGGCGAATTGCATCGAGTGGATTTAGGCTCCACGCTGATCCCTGATTTCTGAAGATCGCTCATCAAGCTCACCAACAGGCCTAATAATCGTCTGAAGTAGTGGGGGAATATCTGCGTAGACATGGAACGAAAGAAGCCAATTATCCGTGGATCGTGATAGATCGGGAGTAAGGAACAGAAAAATCTTGAAATACTTGTGCATCGGGGGGACAATTGCAAGATGGCTCGCCGATCAACCGACAACAAACGTCCGATCGCATCGAGAGAACGGTCACCGAAATGTTTAAATGCAAATCGCTGTTTAGGTACTTAAAGTCCTTGTAATTGTTGTCGGTGAACACCAGGTTCCATATTCCATTCCTCTTGACCAAGCCTCCCTGAACAGCCTGGAAAGTTTCGCGGCGTTACGAGACACGGTTATTTTACAAAATTTGTCAATATGATCACCGTTCTGAAGAGTTCCTCCATCTTCGCGGTGCTGGCATAAATCGCGTAATAAGATGGCGACGGTCTCATGCTGCGTATCTTGGACACCGTTTTGTCCGTGAACTCGTCGATCACGACCAGCCGTATGATCGAGTTCCCGATCAAATAGTACAAACTCTGATTGAGCTCTGCAAGAAGCAAATACGTTTGGGCAAACAGTCGCCGGAAGGTGAACGGATATCGAGGGAGTAACGAAGTCAAGGTACCCCTTTCATCTTCGAAGATCAGTCCCACGTCCGTCGCGTTCTTCAACATCAAAAGATCATCGATCGCCTGCACGTACGAATTTATCTGGCAATCCCCGCGTTTGTATATTATTCCGTTCTCGTCGGCTACGTTTCGAAGCTTCTCCCAACCCGTCCAAGTCAGATCGAGTATGATACTGATTCCCTTAAATAAGGCAGCACATACTGCAAGTTGATTTTAACGAAACCAGAATAAGAATGGCGCGGCTACGGCGGAGCAGATTAATAATAGAATGTTGCTAACAATAGGTCCGGGTACAAACATGCGAGTCGTGTCTGTTTGGAAAGTTTGATGGATTCGTAGCATCGATACCCATTTTTTTGAATTTTAAAATTAATTAAAAAACACGACTCGCACGGTTCCCTGCTATTGCTACGTTGCTTCTTTAACCTTTTTCGAAACTGGCAATCACGTTTGCTCTGTCCACTGTGACGGTAGAAATGTGAACAGTGATGATGTCGTCGCCGAAATTCTTTTCCGTTTGGGGTATAGCGTCGTTCAGAATACTCAAAAACGGCGTGTCTGGTTCCTCGACCACGATCACTATAAATATTTTCGTACATTCATACGGATTTCCTATCGTAACATTTTACTGAAATACATAATATCCCAAAAGCACGCGACCTCGCATCTACGATATTGCAACGTTGGATACGCGTTTATTCGAACAGATAGGATCTAATGGTGCACTAATTATCTGCACGTTACTGACGATCGTGAGAAAATGCCTGTTCCTTTAAAAAATATTTAATGTCTCTCCCACGTGTCCTTTTTATTTCCCTGGATCATCGTCGATCGTTGCTTAAAACGTTTCCTTTTCGTGTCAAGGACCACGGACGATATAGTGTCGGCACTGGAGATGGGAATGTTTTAGACAGACGTTTAGCATGTAAATAATTCAGCAACAATAAGGTCGGTTTTCGTATCAAGGTATCGGAAACGAATAAAACTTTCATACGATCCAATCAATGTTTAACACGTTCGCTACCACGCGTCGCACACGGAGTTATGATAACAGGACTGTTGCAAGAATATCATTGAAAATACCGTGAAATAAAACGCAGAAGCATGAACAATTCGCTCGGCACTTAACGCGTTAAACGTAAAGATAGCATCGTTGAAATATCTTCTATCTTCTAATGTATCCATGTTCGAAAGACATAAAATGCAACTATAGATCGAATCCATCCATCGGGCATTGTTATTAGTCCAACTAATACGCTTGGCAAAACCGTATCAGATTATTTTTATCACGTTAATGTAAAAGCATGGTACTAATGGTACACGATCGACAAATCGATCCGAATTTATGAGCCAATATGAATTTAGAATGATTCATTAGTCTCTGGACATTTTCCACGTCATAGCTATTTGGAAACAAACTTTAATCTCAATTCTCTTTGAAAATGAACAGAAACATCGTTAAAACTTATTTATCTAATTGGTAAATTTAATTTTAGAATTTTCCTGGATGACTAATGGTAGCGAACAGAGTCGACCATTTTCCTGCTCGCCATGTTCGATGAATTTTTCAAGACATCGACGAGCAAAATTTCTGAGTACCGATTTTAGCGGTTCGAAAGTTGAGAAAGTTATCGGTGAACGAGACTTACGCATGGCCATCGGCGTTTGACAGAAGGACGAACCGAAGATCGAGGCGAGGATCAGCAGACTCGCGATCACCGTCGACTCTGACATTGCGGAGGATCCCGGAGTCGGTGCCGGATGAACGGACAACAGTTGTATACCCCGCGAACGAACGGAGAACCTGGAGGATAACGACGACGACGGCGACGCCTGCGCCGGATGTACACGTTGGCTGCTTATGAATATTGTACCGATGCCTATCAAATCGTGATCCTTATCCCCCGTGAAATGCACTTTACCTACGCGGGCGTAGGAATCGCGACGGAACAAAGAACCGGCCACGATGTGACATCCTGCCACGCTACGTCTTCCATCGGGCATCGATTTATCGGTCGACCTGTCCGCCGCCAAGGATTACCAACCTGATTGCAACGCGGTCGATGGTACGGTTCCGTGAGTCGCGAATTATTTCGCGTAAAATTGCTGCCGGTCAAGAACGCGATTCGGGATCTTGGGAAGGGACACGCTTCGTAGTAGGGGTTCCGAGAAATATGGCGTGGACGGGTCACGAAGAACGTTTGCGAATCGTGGTTTTATTAATGGGCGTTTGGTGCCTTTTATCGGCAGGGAATGCTGTTGGCTGGTAGCCAGGGTCTGTCAGGACCCTATTTTAGGTAGATTCCGGATCGTTTTGTTTGTAACGCGATACGCTGTTTATTAGACATGGCCATAAATTCGACGGAGATCGAGACGAAACGAAGAGGATTTTTTTTATTTTGGTAGTAACCGATTAATCGAGTCTAAAGTATCGGGAAAAAATTCCCAAGCGAGGTTTTCGGTACTGAAGTCGAGGTTGCCCCTCAACCCTCTTTTCCATGGCAATAAATGATCGATACGCATATTATTGATTCGTTCCGCGTAATGTACAGTTACGGCCAGGGAGAACGTTCATGGAAAGGAAGTCTGTAATCTCGAATCGCTTATTGAAAACTCCAATTTTCTAATCGATAATTGATTGTATCGCGTTGTCGGTGGCCATGGAACGCAGAACGCGGGGAAGCATTTTCCGTTCGCGGATAGAGCGAGAACCCGGATCGGTTGCGATCCCATTTTCACGTGCGCTGAACGATAAAAGTACGATCTTCGATCGGTTTGCAGGTAAATCGCTTCATCGAACGTAGGATTGAATCGCGAGCGACAGGGGAGAGAGAAAAAAAAAAGGAAAAGGAAGAAAAAGATAGGGAAAGACGAAGGAGGCGATGGAACCTCAGTTTCTCGATCGATGAATCTTGGCACGCCGGACGGACTCCGGCCACGGTGGCCATCACGTTTTCCCATTATCAGTCCTGATCATGGTCTAAGGTTGATTAATTTCCATGGTTGAGGAAACAGTGAATCGACGATGCGCGGTCACAAAGGATAATGACGCAAGGATCGAGATTGCGCCGCAGATGTTTCTCGCCGTGGCAGGTGAAGCGCAATGCTTCAATAATCTCGCACTATTTTTAAATGGATTTCGGATGTCCTTTATCCGTGCGCGATCTTCGGGAACTCGAGGAGCACAGAGTCGTGGAAAATTTTACTCTGAGATCAGTATTCGTGGCTACCAAGTTCAATTTAAATTTCAAAATATAATTAATATAATTATACAAAGTCACGATCTGTCTTCATAAATTTTGTTGGATCAAATGCGTGTAAAGCATAAGGTATGACTTGGGTTTTAATAAAACGAGAACAACTTTGTAAGGTTTCAAAAGGAAATAACATACTATTTATTTAATACAAAATTTACAAAATAATAATATGTTTTCGGGGAATCCTCTTCTTGAAGTAACGGTAAAGAAATTGTGCTAATAAGATAAAAAAATTAGAAATAGGCAGTACCGATAGGAGGGCGCCACGCTGCGTTTGCCTGCAATCCGTTTCATCAAATGTTTATATATCGTTAACAGATGTCGCCTCTTGTACATGCAATAGACGTTCGGAAAGACAAATCTCGATTACCGTTCCGTCCGTTGCATTTCGCTTTATGAATCGGCGCATCGCATTGCGTCATATTCCGCCTTGCATAATACGATACGAGATTTTATCGCGACTTACGTGAATAAAGATTGATACAACCGGCGGAACTCAATAAAAATGGTCGATAAAATAGAGACTGACATCGACGTCCTGCATAAAAACATTTTGTTCTCGCATCGATCTAATAATTCGCTGACGATGGAAAACTTCTGCTTGACTATAATCATCAGTCGAATCAGTAAATTATATTCACGAGTGAAAAACACAGATTTTTTATTCTCTCGTTTAACCTAAAAACCTTTCCAAGTTTACTTTATGAACGAATGAGCCTGGTCTTAAAATTGTTTTCCTCTTCAAAGTGTTATTTAAACGTGGGAAAGTATTTCGTGAACAGTGGTGCACGTAGAAACGGGAATGTATTCGAATCGAGATGTTTAACTTCAATCGTCATGACTGTAGCCACAAATTGTACTTCTTTCAACGTGCCGGGACTCGGATGGATCGTAAAGGAATGTTTGAAAAATACGCGTGGAACGATAGTTAAAACGGCAGCTTTTCCGCTGCGCTGGCGTATCTTGTCGAAGAGCGTCGGTATATTTTTCTTCCATAATTTAGTTCACCAGACGTTGCAGTTCTTTTAATCGACGCCAATTTTGAGCCCGAAATACTGCTCCAGTTTCATGGAACATGGAACATGCAACGTGCAACTCCCCCACTGATTTTTACATTCTGGAACGTATGTTTTCAATCAGTGGTACTTGGCGCGGATTCTATAAAACCCGGGCCGTAAATATTTATGTACAACATAAAAAGAAAATCGATGGACGCGATGCGAGCCGAATACGGTTTTATTTCGTTGGATAATAATATTAGCATACATCGTTCGACGATATAACCGCGTACGTGCGATCGTCGATACACAATTTAACTACCGTTACAAGATACTCCGGGGAGGAGGTTATGTCGGTTGAACGAGGAAGGGAAAAAAAATAGAGGAGAAGAAAATGCATGCAGAAGCGCTTGCACTAGAAACAAAATGCACGCGTCAAAACGTGTTACAATTTCACGCACGAAAAGTTTCAACGAAAGGTTCGTAGAACGCGAACACGGGTTCAACGGATTACGGGTCGTGTACGAGGCGCGAATCGATCGCGGATAACGAAATCGCAGCACAGTGTTTTAAGTACGGATCGCGTCGTTGCTGGGAAATTCGAAAGAAAGTAAAGCGGTAAGATAGCAGCGGCGGGGAAGGAAGAAAGGAAGGAAAGAATGGAATTTTATTCAAGAAACGCTCTAATACGGGAAGTCCGAGTTCGGTGATTTCCGGATGCGATCGGTTGTTTCCGGCACGGCCGCCCTCCCGAACTAAACCATTCATTCGACGGAGCGAGAGACGTCCATTCGACGAAGAGGAGGCTAGGAAGGCGGTGGGTACGAGAGAGAGACGTTGGTGGAACGAGAACGGGAATATAGAGCAAGCGAGCAAGCGAATGAGAGATGCACCGAGGGAACGGGACGAGGAAAGGAGAAAGAGAGCGACAAAGCTAGGAGGGGCAAAGGGGGGGGGGGGGTAAAGAGAATACACGAGAGGTAGGCACGGCCGATTCGAGAAGGCTGGCAGACTGGTAGGCTGGCAGGCAAGAGTAAGAAAGCGAGGGAGCAATACTGACTGGCAGGCAGACTGGCCGGCCGCGCTGTAGTTCGCAGAGCACTCCCAGCGAATCGGCAGCAGATGTGGCCAGTTAGCTCGGTGCTGTATGCTCGTCCGGATCTCGGAGTGCCGTGGATTTTGATGCACCGACCGAATCCGCAGTCGACAACAGCGACAACGATCAGTTCACGAGCGTGACCCTCGCCGCGCGACGAGGGTTGAAAGAGATGCGAACGTAAACCGCTTCGAGGCCGGTGACAAGTCGTTGCGAAACGGAGAAACTCGTAGCGGAGGGCATTGACGTAGTTACGAAAAGGTGACACGGGGTAATAAGGACGGTGTCGAGGACGATTACCGGAGGAAGAAGAGGAAAAGGAATCGAATGGAACAGTCGGTCCCGCGCCAGATCCAAGAACGCAGTGACCGTCGTACCTGTCCGTCGGTGGCCGAAGACTTGCCCGATCGAGACTCGGTAGTAGTGATGTGGCAACGTTGCTGGTGGCTCGCGAGCGGAGGAGTCAGTCGTCGTTCGACTGTTCTGTCGTAGTCCGTGTCTGACAGTGCAGTGTCGCTGCCAATATAACCGCGAGGGCCCGTCAGGGCCCACGAGCAGCGCGAATACACCGCGGTGTCACGATGACATATTTAAGAAGATCGCGTACGAGCAGCACGAGCATCGCAGAGACACGTACGTTGCTGCTACGATAGCGCGTTCGTATCCGTCGGGCTCGATATCGTTGTTAAATAGCCCATGGGAGAGGAGAGAGTTGGTTCGCTCGTGAGAGCAGTAACAGTGTCGAAGCGTATAATCGTCGCGCGGTTGTGTCCATTTTCCGAGCTTTTGCATCGTAAACAGTTCCTAAAGTGCCGCGCGTTCTACGCGTATATCTCGCGAACGTCGAGAAACGAATGAGTGCGTGAATCGTGACAACACGTCGTGTCGGAGTGTGTACGACGAGAGAGAGAATCTCTTGGTCTCTTTCGCTCTTCCCTGGTCGGACTTTACGCCGTCGTACGCGCTTCACCCCCCTCCCCTCGTGCGGTTGTTCCTTTCTCCTTCTCCCTCGCTCTAAGGCCCATTTATCTATCCCGTATCGGCCGTACGTCTGCCTCTCGCAGCCTACCAACATTCCGTCTGTGTGTGCGCCTGGTAGTTTTCACTGGCGCGACACGGCACGCGCGCACGCCGCACCACCACACGACCACACGACGACACGTAAACGGAACCGATTGTCGGAGAGACGAGAACACAGGAGTGTCAAAGATCCGAGGAAAAATCACGGGCATGGGAACAGTGTGTGCCGTGGACTGAAAAACAGTGCGCGACCGACCGGTTGTCCCGTCCGTTCGCGGTGGATATCTTTTGCTCGCTCGCTCGCTTGCATTTCATCCGGTGTGCCTGTGTGTCCCTTTACCGAAGGAGGAAGAGAGGTTAGGTTAGGCTAGGACTCGCGTCACCCCCGGCACCTATATCCGTCCTTGTCTCGCACGCTCTCACTCCTCTTCCCCCCTCTTTCTCTGACATACACGAAGAGGAACGCAGCAGCACGAGAGACCGACCGACTACCACACGCAGGACAATCGGTGAAAGAGAAGGAAAACACAAATGCCGATCGCCGGTGGAATTCTGGTCGCTGGAACCGCGGCTCATTGCCTGTCTTCCGCCGCTGGCATGCTTCGATTCCTCGCTAGACTTTCAGGTTAGCACGCAATCATCTCTTACAATGCTCGACCGTAAAGTCTGGTCGCACACGGCCGCGTAGTCGACCTTTTTTTTTTTCCATTGGGAAAAGAACGGTGCATGGGAATAGTGGATCGCGATACGCGTATCGATGCCACGAACTATTCGTCAACGAGATCGTACTATCGATAGTGCGTCTCTGATCGTCCGAAGTTTGACCAATGGGAATAGAAATGTATCGCTTTTCGCCTGTTTCCATGACGTTTCCTTACCATTTATTTTTCGCAGACTCTCCCCTCGCTTTCTCAGGCATATTTTTTTTTCCCCCCCCATCGTCGACGTCGCGTGCCGTTTCCGAGATTCCTCTCGTAAATATCGCAATATTCTCGACGGCGTCTAGACGCGGGGTGTCGGAGAATCCGTGCGGTTTCGATTCTCAGACTTTCGAGTCGGTGCACCGCTACTGCTAGCCGTTAAATGTAAGCGTACAGCAGCGGACGACGTAGACAGAATAAGAGGAACAAAAACGAGAGACGGCCTCGCTCGTACGCGCGCGGTATTATACGAGTCGCGTGTATATCCCGTGTAGAGAGGATTGACGCGTATCGACTCGGATTTCCACCGTGTCGTGTGAAATTAACCTACCCCGTTGCCCCTCTGTAATCCGTGTCTGTCTAGATCGTCGCTAATACGGCCTCCTCGTATTTCGCGAATTTTTTCCGCGACGAACCTTACGTGCCCTCTTCCGAACAATTATAATCAATTTTAACGCGTTCACTGCCATGTCGGTCACTGGTTACCGACACTTTAAGTCTACACGTATCAATGGTGTTTACAATAAAGAGAACACCGATACTTATAAAAATTGTAAATTACCCTACTTTGATCCTCGTACCAAAAACGGGCTACCTGGGTTCATATTTCATTAAAGATCTTTTAATTTTCTTGTCAACGCGTTAAAGAATTTTGCCGACAGACGATAAAAACATATCGAAAGCTTTCGCAAAATTCGAATTAGGAAACATTCCAATCCCGTTGCGATGCAATTTTCGCGTATCCAATGCCGATAACGATTCGCGTTTATTGGGATTAACCTTATCGTTGGACGATTCTCAGTAAACAGAAAGAAAATCTTGATTACCCCGTTTAGTTATTTATATCGATTACCTGCATTACTTTTCGAGCGATCAGAGTGTACGTTGAGCAATTGGTTTTTTATTTGCGAATTGATCAAAGCCGGATAACATGTAATTCGAATAATTTTTATTTTAACAGGTAAAGGGGGAAAAAAGCAATCGTTTGGCTTTAGCTCGATATTCGGTATCTTATCAGACGGTCTGGATAAAAATTTTTCGTATCAAATTTGAACTCATTGACGTTAAAATAGAACGTCTTGCACGCATTAACGAATATGCCCCGCACAAAATAAATAAACAGCGATTCATTCAGCCTCTCGTAGTCCTCGAACGCGAAACATTTTGGTAACAAGTTCCAAGTTTACACGCGTGTGTTTCGAATCGGTTCGATCGAGCGTCGTGAGAGACAACGCCCGAGTCTCTCTCTGTCGCTCCGTCGTGTATTAATTCATCGACCGGTGAATGAGTAAGCTGCGCGCAAAAATCGGGCGCAAATACATCAAAATATAAATAGAAGTGTCCGAGACACTCCGGCGCGGTGTCGACGTGTCGCCGTTACGGGCACGGAACGAGCCACCAAGAATTTACCGTCGGGTTCTCTCGAAACTCGCGAAACGCAGTCAAAGAGAGAAAATTGGTGGTCTCCTAGCACGGATAGCGGGGTCCGCAGCGTCGAACCAGGGCGGTTTGCATCGCCGGCTGGCGCATCCGTGATATCGTTCCGCGCTTACCGAGCGCATTTTGTGCATTCGACGCGTATCGGCGAGCGCGGCGAAATATATGGAAGAGATTCGATGCAAATCGCGGCAAAAGTGAGAGTAGCAATGAGTCAACATCCGCGTCTGTTATTTTCCAGCCTTCGTTATATTCCGAATAGAACCGAAGTCGACCGCATTTTTCAACGTTTTTGTTTTCTTCTCTTTTATCTTTTTTTTTTCTCTTCTTCTTCTTCTTCCACGTCCTCGTCTCTCTTTTGTCGGGGCTGTCGACGCGAATCGAATCCGATAGAGCGGATGCATAGCGAGCAGAAGGCCGATTTTCTTGTTAAATCGCTCGCAGACGCTTTATCTTTAGAAGCCACGGAGACAGACAGTGCCACTGGTTTTTTTCTCCTTAACGGAAATAGCTATCATTCTATGCGCCTTAGAATGAACCGGCAATACTCCGCAAAATTTATTTTCGTGTAGGTTTACGTATCCGCCGTCTGGCCGGGATATCATCAAAGGGGCCCCGATAAACGGGGAAATTTGCCGAATTTCGATTCTCGCGCGATGTCGTCCACGCTCGAGAGCGTTGTAACTTTATTGCCAGTCGGGGCACGAACCGTTCGATGAAACGAACGATCGAAATATCATATTTGCATATTCATTTGTCGTCAATTATCAATTTCTTTCCAAGAGTTGCAAAAAATTTGCTCGTATTGCGAAAATATATGAACGAACGATCTTTTTTTTTACAATCGTTGTATTTTGCTCGGTGCCTTATCGCTGGACGGACGAATCGTAAAAATATGGGCGCGTCTCCGTTCGCGAACCCGAACGTATCGCGTATCTCGGCGGATCGAACGGTTATTGGCGGTCGCCGTGTGATCTAGAAAGCCTGTTTCGTCGATATGATTCACGGTGTTCCGGTTAATCGATCGCGGCGATTAACCACGGTTATACGGACCGCGGACGAGCGAGCTTTATTCGACGGGTTCGCGCGAGCGGCATATGAAATTTCGCGGCGTTAGACGTTCAAGAGTATTTCTGTCCCCATTAGCAAATAGCACATGAATTATACATGGCGGTCTGTTAATTAGCGGCGATGTGTTATGTGTCGGGTTTATCGAGTTGGAAAATGAAATGGTTCGATACGCGCGCGCGTATAGAAACGAAGAGAGGTTTGAATCCGCGGTATGCATCCTGGCGTAGGGAATCCCTTTGCTTGGATTTCCATTGTCCGATCGTTTCGAAATTTCTGTCGAATTAAACCACCTCGTTCCTATGGTTCGCCTGGAAGCCACGTGAAATAGATCCACCAGCGTTTCGTTGCTAGAAACTTCAAAATTTCAAACGAGACGATCGTTTCTCTTTGATGCGCAAAAGAACAACAAGATCTCGCTTATTAAGTAGACTCGATTCGCGAAAGAATCCACTTTCTAAGTGTACGGACTAAGAAGATTGCACTGGCACAATGAGGCTCGTTAAATATCTACTCCCGCAGAAATTAAAAAATTCTTCGAGCGATCGTGCATCGTCGGTGCACAAAACATCGTTTCCCTTGTTGTGGAAATCCAACGTAGACCCACATTAACGGGAAAAACATCACCGCGGGGCCTGGTAGGGATTGAAATCTCTGGAATTTCATCGTTTAATAAAAGTCATCCTGCACACGGTTGCATCCGGCTGTGGTGCACCATTCAGGTCTCGTGCGTACTTACACTACCGGCCATATGAATGACGACTCTATATTTTGCATTTATTGGACGTTCTCGCGAGACTATGCACGTTCTATACATAGAACGACGATGGAATCGATTTATATAGAGTAACGTGCAGTGGTTGTAACTGCATCGAAGTATCTTTATCTTAATCTTAGAATGTCGGTGTCTATATTAACAGTATATTCGATCTCGTTAACCAGGGGGGGTAGGATCCAAGGGCGACAGTTCATTTTCCCAAGCACAATTACGATTTCTGCTTTCCTCTGAAAGTCGACGTAAAGCCTGTTTCTAAATGGTCGAGACGGGCGTGGGACTCGTCGATACACCGAGTACCGTTATTATTAGGTTTCCTGGACAAACAACTGTCCACCAGTCGAGATCCGTCCTCTTTCGTGCAAATCGTCCATCGAACGCGAGGGCAAAAGCCTGGATTTCCTTGCATTGTGAAAGGCTTGGAGCCTTCGTCTCGTTGCTCGTTGTTTGTCCCTTCGTTTCTCGAATCTGGGGGATTCTCGAGTCTCTTTTTGTATTTTCGAAACTGCCCGGAAAACGACGCTCCAATTGTGTAGGGAGTAATCGTCGACAGATCAGGATCAGGATCAGGATCTCGAACCTGAGCGTTCGAAACTTCTCCTGTTTGCGCTCTTCGCCGTTAACAACGAAGATTAATTCAGTGGCTAGGTTCCAGCGAGGCAAAATTTTTTCAAAATTTATTCGAGTATTGTTAATTGGATTATATGCGTTGATTACTGTTACTCCAGATTTCGAATGTTGCGTGTTCCTTATTAGAAATTACGATCATGAATTATTTACTTAAGTAGATCAACGATACGTCGGATAGCGCGCGTTGAGATAATCGGTGTGGTTATTCCAAGTATTGTAATCAGATAACTTTGTTTACGATATTATATTAGTAATGAAATAGAATAAAATGTAGGTTCACGAGGAAACGAACGTTGTAACGACGCGCAGGATCGTTGGAATAATCATGGACGGGTACCGTTGTCCGATTCGTTGGCTCTCTATTGGCATTTTGACCGATTCGAGAGCCGCTCGATCCGGAATTCACGAGGTGAAAGGGCGATTTTGGTGTTCGTTGTCGCTAACGAGGATGCTTCTGTGACTATGCTAGCTGTGTATCCGGTATCGTGTCCGATCTCGGATGGTGAAAATCGTCGGCGTTAACGGTGGACTGCGTCGCATACGCGACTGTGTCTCTACCTGCTTGCCAAACAGGAGGTCGTAAAATCCAGTGGAAACCGCGCTCGCTACGCTGAAAAGCCTCTGTCGGGATGGATTTGGTAAAATACTTCCCTTCTGTCTGGTACAGACTTGTTCGAGGACTCCCTGCCCCCTTCGAGAAGCTCTAGCTCGGAAGACGTTTGTTAGAAAAAGTCATGGCTAACCTATTTAATAAAGGATAAAAATAAAATAACACCTTATCGGTGCAGAGATTGA